TAGTTGTTTACCATTTGAAACCTTCAAGAATTTACATAATAGTAATATTTACTTATTTACCAACCAAAAATGTCATTAACCCTGACTAAACTACTTTTCCATAATTTATCAGGAAAGCCATAAAAATTAAAATAGTATAAAACTGATTTAACTTTCTATTTTAGGTCTGCCAATAGAATGCAAATGCTGTTGTTCAATACTTTATCAGAGACCACTTTCAAGAATAACTTGAAAAGTGTATCAACACTCTCTTAGAGAAGTATTTATTTATTCTAAAGCAAGGAAGCTCTGAATACTTGCACCTATGTCGGAGAAGATACCAAGGGAAGAGTTAAAGCAGCAGCTTTAGTAGCCAAATTTATACCAAGTAAAACATTTTGTTACCATGCTGTTGCAGTTTGCAGGTAAGGGGAACTTTCAGGAACCTATGAGTTTTCATAACACAGCTGTGCTATGCATAAGGGAAGGCATACAAAAGTTTTAAACAAATAAATAAAATATAATAATCAGTGAAACAACTGATTTTTCCAAATACCAATAAGCTTCTGGTGGGGGTGGTACTTCCACTGTTTTAAATGGCTGCTTACTTTCTAGCTCCTTCAAAGCTCTCACTGTTTTGGATTATTTTATCAATAATAAATAATAGAATACAGAGAAAGGTGTACAGACACACACACACACACACACACACACACAGAGAGAGAGAGAGAGAGAGAGAGAGAGAGAGAGAGAGAGAGAGAGAGAGAGAGAGAGAAATAAAATAAATAAAATAAAATTGCCAAGGGATTTTGAACAAGTATAACCAATACATTCAAGTCCACAAATTTCTAAGAGTCTGAAAATATCTATCTTTCTATTATTCAATACACTATGGAAGTTCAGAAAAGGGGAGTTATTATTCTATATACTAACAAATTTTGTAATCACTTCAAATCAATTATAAATCATCAATTACTTTTTAAAGAGCTTCCTTTTACATCCTATTAATTGTACTGGGTATGATAAAATTTCCATTTGTCGTTAAATTCTTCAGTGGGTTTTCTATTTACATAATTAGTTAATTTTGCCATCACAGCACACTCTGCCAATTTATTTTTCCAGTCTTCAATTCTTGGCAATAATGGTGTTTTCCATTTAGAGGCAATTGTAATTCTTGCTGCAATTGTCATATATTTAAATAACTCTGACATATTCCTTGAAAAAGTCTCTGGCCTTATATTCAAAAGTGTTTTCTTAGGACTCATAGGAAACTTAGTTTTAAAGGTTTTTTGTGTTTCCGTGCATATCAATTTCCAAAATTTTAACTGTTTCACAAATCCACCACATATATTAGAAAGTCCCATCTACCTTGTTACATTTCAAACTTTTTCCATTACAGTTCTTACTGATTTTTCTATATCTTTTGGAGTAATATACCACCGATAAAACATCTTCTACCAATTTTCTCTAATGCTGGGCTAGCTGTGAATTTAATGTCTTTCTTCCATAGAGCTTCCCACTGACAAGCTGATATTTCTTCTCCAAGATTTCGCTTCCAAATTTTCATACATTTCTTGTCTTGTTGGTTTTCAGTGTCATGCTGTAGCAACTGTTTGAAAAGTCCTCCTAATAAATGATCATTTTGTTGTGTTATCAACTTTTCAAAACCTGTCAAATCTCTTACAATACTTTTGCCTAATTGTATTTCCCCTTTCAATCTTGAAACCAGTTGGTGATAAACAAAGCACTGTATATTTTTCCCTTCATCTTTTAGTTGTTGCCAAGATTTGACTTGTCCTTGTTGATCAATCATATCCCCATAAATTACAAAATAATTGTTTTCCTTAAGTATTTTCCATATGCTTCAACTGGGGAAGTCAGAGGGTTGGCAAACTAATATTTTTTCTCATGGAATACCAGATTTTTATTAGGCCATCTCCTAATACATGATTATTATTTGATATCAAGTCCTTTTTAACTCAATCATTAACCCATAAGAGGTTGCATATTCCATCTTCAAGAACTGCTATTTCTAACTTCATTTGCCTATCATTAGCTTCTTTTAAAGCTCTCTCAAACAACTTTTGGACCTGAAAATGGAAGAGCAGAACAATACTACAAATCATTTCCAAGTTGCAGGAACTGGGATTAACATGCATTTTGTTGCCAAATAGCCTACCATTTGGATTCACATTCCTGATGTCCAGGATCAAAACAGCCCTATGCATGAGCAGAAATACTTCTGCTTACAGAGAAAGATACTGCAAATTTTTGTTTCTAATTGCAAGCTTTTGCATAACTGTTAACCATACTCTGAACAGTCCCTCAAGCTTTAGGGGAAATTACTTAGAGCTCACAAGGAACTGCTGTGGAAAGGGAGTCCTTAAACATGTATGCATGATAATTTGTATTCTGGAATGCATATTTAAATAGAACATGTTTTGAGAAAACAGTCATTACAAAAATCTGCAGGATTGGATATCTATGTCTAGGAAATGAGCCTTGAGAAAACAAAAGATAGCACTCTTCAAGTACTTGAAAGGTTGTCACACAGAGGAAGAACAGGATCTCTCCTCGATCATCCCAGGGTGCCAGCACACAGAATAACCAGCTCAACTTGCAGGAAGCCAGATTCTTGCTGAGCATCAGGAAGAACTTCCTGACTCTTAGAACAGTACAACAATGGACCAATTACCTAGGGAGGTTGTGGGCTCTCCAACACTAGAGGCACTGCAGATGCAGCTGGACAGCCATCTGAGAAGGATGGTTTAAGTTGGAGTCCTACAGTGAGCAGAGGGATGGACCTGATGGCCTTCTGCCTCCTTCCAATTCTACAATTCTATTGGTTTATGACTTCCAGTGAATTGTAAAGCCTGTTATGATAAACTGAAAATGCATAAAACAAAGTTATCTGGAACGGGTTAATTAGACTAGTCAAAACATTGTTCCATTGTATGGTGAAACCATATCAAAGAATCACCAGCCATGGATATAATTGAAGTATATATTATTAATTGTTATAGTATGTGAATGGTGGTAGTATTGGTCTCCAGGGTGGTGGGTCACTATTCTTTTTTAATTATTGTGTTCTTATGTTATATTAACATTGTTGTGAAGTATTATATTTATGGTTTTTTCTAATTAAAAAAATAATAAAAGGGGGATCACTAGCCAAAGTAGAAGGCACTTTAACACTTACAAAAATCAGTGCATAGTAGCAAGACAAGATAGTGTTCTTGTTGTTACATTGCATTTATATTCCACCTTTTCTCCCCTTGCAAGGAAACCAAGGTAGCTTATATAGTTCTCCCCCCGCTCCATTTTATCCTCACAACAACCACACTGTTAGGTAAGTTAGGCTCAGAGTCTGTGACTGGTCCAAAGTCACTTGGTGAGCTGGTTCATACCCAGCATTATGTGTAAACAAACAGTAAAGCCACATGAAAACATCTGCAAGGGTTGACTTATGACAGTCTTTCAAGTTCCTGCTCACCCTTGGCAACTAATACATGATTATTAGGGATTCTTACAAACCATTTGTGCAGGCTTCTGAAAGAACTGAGAATGCTTCTCTTATAAGCATCTCTCCTGCTACATGGAATACAGAGGTTGATGGGAACTGTGATTCTAAGAAGCAGAAACCAGCAAGAAGCAGTTTTGAGAAGGATGAAGGTAAACAAACTGAAGCTCACTGCAAATAAGACTGAAGTATAATGGTGGGAAAACCTGCTGATCAGGATAAAGTTTAGAGATCATTGCTGGATGGGCTTACAGTTCCCATGAAGAACACAGCTTGGGGATTCTATTGGATGCAGCATTATTGTTGGAAGTGCAGATGTAATTGGTCACCAGGACTGTCCTTTATCAGCTTGAACCAATTTGGGACTCAGCCAACTATCTGAAAAAGCAGCCTTTGCTACAATTACCTTGCCCTCCTTACATCAAGTCTAGACTACCATCATAGTCTGTACAGAAGCTTCAGCTGGTACAGAATACTGCTGCCCAGATGTCTGCATGGGACTAAATGATTAGATGAGTCTTTACCAGCTGCAGTGCTTGCCAATGTGTTTTCTAGGTCCAATTTAAAGTACTGGTGTTTACCTTTAAACATAGGTCCTGTTCATGTTCTTGCTAGTATGTTCTAATAGGACAGTGGGCACAAGCGATATGGTCTTTACTGTGAAGGTTCTATTCTTATGGAATATCATATAGGATTGTACATAGCTTATTCCCCATTTTTAAAACTAACTTTAATATTCTAGTCTGCTTTTAAATAAATAGATGCACATTTTTATTTTATACATTTTGCTTTTCAGTGACTGGTGCATATTTTTCCAGTTTTTTCTTTTCTATGGAAAAAATCCATTTCAAAGTTTATTAGTAATACAAAGTAATTCACTTCCATTCTGTTTAAAATACCAGTAGAACTGCACCGTTAGGTAACTTATCCATAGAAAAACCTTTACTGAATATGAGAAGTTTTTCCAGACAGACTTGGTTTATGTCTCTGAATCCAAACTTTTGGAGATAAGACAAGTTTGATAGTGGTCACCTTAAAACAAAAGCTGCAGAATGGGATAGCCATGTCTAGGTCATTAGCTCCCAAAGATCTGATCCATTTACAGTTGAATCATTCTTTACCTTTGGTCCTGGTGAATATTTTTCAGTTTTGTTTTTAAAAATCTATTTAACAGTTTGTGTCTAATTATATGGAAGGGTGATAAAGTTATGAAAGATGTAAAAAGGAAAGTAGATGATGTTTATTCCCTAGGAAAATGTAACAAATGGACTGATTCTGGAACAAAGGGAAAGGCCTGCAGCTTACCAAACATCCAAGCAATACAGCATGAAGACATTAAGACTGTGAACCTAAGTATTAGCTTCAGATTTGGAGGTTTCCTTAAAGCGCAGGACCCTCCTCCTTGCCACTGTCACTACTGTTTCTTCCCTGATTCTTTCCTAATCTGCAGCAATTTCCTCAAGATGGAAAAGCAAGTAAGAACTGCTGCACCTTTCCTTACTTTTGTCACTGGTCACACACTTGGAAAAGACAGACAGGATGCCATGAAGAGCCAGGAAGTCCCTGCTAGGGTCTGGACTTCAGCAGGTGCTCCATGATGCTTGACCTATGTGTGAATTTTCCTCTGAAAACTGTACTATGAAGAATAAAAGCATTCATGTTTAAAGAATGTTGTTAAAGCTATTTCTTTACAATAATAAATTAGTACTACTTCCCTGGGAAGCCCCTTTTTGGTTTCCATCGCATATCTGCAATGGAAAGTCTCTCAAAGGAAAGTCCCTCTTAAGCTGTAAAGTAAATATTCAGCAAAGGTATTCAGACAAGCAATACGTAATTAGCAGGGCCTTGGGGCAGTTCGGAGAACAGTAAACCTTTTGGCAACAGTCTTTCTGAAATACCTAACCAGAGGAAGCCTGGGCCTAGTCCAGCAAGCCGGTCTCTGCCTCCTTGCCCGCAGCTGATGCTGGGGCTCAGGCCAAAATGTAACCCCTTTGCCGCCTATTTCCTCGGGCTAAGAGGATGAAAAGAAGAGCAGTTCCCGCCCATCCAGCGCCTTCCTCCGGCGCCTGAGCACTCCAGTCCCCCCGGCACTCAGGACCACCGGCCCCCACACACCCGGCACTCCGCTTCAAGCCCACTCACGTAGCGAGCCGTCCCCCGGGAAGACGCCCCACCTCCCCGGCAAGTTCTCTCCGTCCGTCCGTCCGTCCTCCCTCCCTCCCCCGACCCCTTGGCGCAGGCAGGCAGCCAGCTCTTCCCCTTTGGAGACTCACCCCGGAGCGTCTGAGGCGAGAAGCCCTCGCCCTCCTCGCCAGCCCCACACCCGGAGCTGGGCCTTTCGCCACAGGTCGCTCGGCTCCCCCGCCCCCGAGCGGGGAGATCGCGCCTCGAGGCTTCGCGAGGACCCTTCACTCAGGCAAGCCCCACCCCGGCCAGCTTCCTGTAGCCTCCTCCCTTCAGTTCCTCCTTGGCCGCCAAGCTGTCACCCTCCCCACACCCGAGAAGAGCTACCGCCTCCTTCCCTACCCCTATTTCAGAATCACAGCGCATTGGCCACTTCGGCAGGAATTGTTTATTGGTGAAATCAAGTGACTATCAAACTCTGGCTCCAATTTTCACTTCCAAAGCTCGCTGATCCACTTTCCTGTCCCTCCTCTTCCCACCCATTTTGTTTTTAATGGTTTGAATGGGTACAAGCGGGAAACTATGATATGATATGATCGGGCCAATACCGGCAGTGGAGACACCTCTGCCTCTCGACTCATAGGCTAATGTAAACAGATTAAAAATCAAGGTTATGATTTGCTACAAGACTGGATATCCGAATCTTTTCTGGACCTAACAAAAATAAATTTTACAAGGAACAACTAACAGCTGCTACTCAATCCTGTAGATGCTGTATACCCAATCCTAAAATATCCCCCCTCGAAATTACAGCACAACAAACATCTCTTGTTGGCATAATCTTCCAAATCTAAAGGGGTTCGTGTCGGCCTATTCAAGTTTTAGATTCATTTGAATTTAGGATAATAATGGCTTCATCATGCATATCAGGGTCTGCTGGTGTAGTCTCCAAGGCAGACTTGTCTAAAATACTCATAATACTCTTGTATTGTCTCTTACAATAATAATATCCTTCATTATTCTATTTTAAATTAGAATTATTACTCAGAATAATAATAATACTTTTGTCTGCAATACTCATACTTGGTCTGTTGTAGATAGTGGCATTTCAAGTTCTTCAATATGCTTGGTAACGTAATCTGACAAGCAACTGGTCTTCCTTAAAAAACTACAGGTGTTTGTTTTGTTACATCATCTTTTTCATTTCAAGAGTAGTTCAATTAATTTTCTTTTGCGGACGTGCCATATGTACTCCAAGGGCTATTATTTCCAGCAAAGGTCAGTTAAACAATTTTTTAGAACTCAGTTCTTTAAACAGCTTCCCGCCCCGCCGTGCCGCGCCGCGCCGCGCCGCGCCCCGCCCCGCCCAAAAAAACCCTTACAAGTCACAGCATTCCCCAGAAGGTGTTTTTTTCCTCCAGTTTAAACATGCATAGGATCCCACCCTTGTTTATAAGACCCATACCCATGAGCACAGGTAGCTATGTTGGCCAGAAGAAAAATCCAAAATCCAAATTCATGCAGTATCTTTATTAAGCCAAAACAAAGCTTACCCTAAATATGCAAGCTTTTGAGATCTCGAGATTTCAAGATCTCTTCATCAAGTAAGATATTAAAAAAGCAGGTGGAGTGGGGTAATAGGAGGGAGAGAGACTGGCTTGATTTTGAAGTAATAAGATCTGTATTTTCAGACATTTCAGAACTTGTTGCCATCTTCGTTTCCTTTGAAAGAGTTAAATGCGGATTTGGGTAACATAATTTTGAAATAATTAGTTATCTTCATTATAGAGTGCAGCTTCTGCAAGTCTTCTGTTATTTCTGTGTAAACTTAATCTTTGCTATGCTTTGTTTATAACGTTAAAGAAGTAAGAAATGCTCCCTGTGCATGTTTATTCAGAAAACAATTCTCCCTGTATTCGGTAGGACTTAATGCCCTGTAGCGTTACGGTCAGAGTTACCAAAACTATACTTCCCAAAATACACCGCTCCTTGCCTTATTCGAATCACAGTTTTCTGACGTGGATTCCTATCGCTGTGGCTCTGCGAAACGCGTTTGTATGAGACGCAAAACTACTATTCCCAGAATGCAAAAGCAGACAGGTTTTGCGTTCTCTGATTGGTTGAGCGCAGGAGGCCCTTCCCGTGCTGTGGCGCGGTTCAAGTCTCCGGAGGAGGCGGCACCGGTGCAGGGGCCTGGCAGGTTGGTCTTGCTGGGTGGTGGGCTCGTTCTGCGCTGTGAAATGAGGAGGGTACCACCTGTGAGTACTGAGTATTTCATTTCGGCGCATGAGGTGGACGCTGAGATTAAGCATTGGCACGTTTGTAGTCTGAACTGGAACGTTTTCGGTTACTGCCGTCTATGGGGCGGGGAGCCTTTTTGGGCAAGATGTGAAAGTAAACCTGTGCGGATGGGTCAGAGAGGGAACCATCTTTTCAGTAGTTTGTAAACCTGCCGGTCACGTAGCTACCGTTTATGCGGGATTTTCTCCTTACTCGGTCATTTTGAAACAAAAAACATTGTATGAGTAAAATCACCCAATTGTAGAGTTAATGCCCAATCTGAAACTTTCATTTTCTCTCGCAAGCTTCCTGGGAACTTAGCAGAGGTAAATATTCCTCCATTATCACTTTACACTGTTTCTGTGCGGCAGTTAGGCAAAAATGAATTGTAATTAGGAGCATTTTAAAAAGTCGGAAAGAGAGAATGAATGCAGGTATTTGGACTGCTAGTAGCAATGCTGCAAGAAATGAGTCGGTATGTATTATGTGTCAGTTGTTCTTAAATTGTGGTCTAGAAACCTTGGGGTATTTGGGGACGTTCCCTTGGATAGTGATGAGAATAGTGATTGAGGATGCTGGAGTAAATGCAAACAGTAAAGCAGGCAGTCTCTTTTGCAGCTCAAGTCAAGTTTTTATTTGAGTAAACACTTCAAATAAATCTTTTGCTGTGTGCTCACATACTAGCATGTGGATGGATTTTGTCACATTTTGTTGGACTGAAGTCCAAAAGAGAGATACACGAGCTGAGTATAATTTGCAAGCCAGCCTTTCAAGAGTTTTCCTATACAGAGTAGGTAAACAAATACAATCCTGAAAGAACAACCTAGAATAGTAGCCCTCAATACAGTCTTGTGTATATTTAGATAACTGTTTTCAAATGTGTTGTATAATTATGATCATAATGTTAGCTTTGAGAAACTGTGATGTCATAAATATCAAATTACGTTATTTATCATTGACATTAGTGCATTATCTGCAAAAAAAAATCATTGAGGCAGTTTGCAACAATCTGGAACAATAAAAACAAGAATATTAAGAAATAATAAACTACATATTTTAAAATACTAAATTGAAAAAGGGCATATTCACACCAGTAGAGGAAAAAGCCTTTGCTCACACTCCCAACAAATGGACCTCTGTGGGTAATGGTATCGACCATGGTATTCTTCTGGATAGGCTCGCTGAGTTGGGGGGTTGGAGGTGCTGCTTTGCGGTGATTCCACTCCTGCGTGGTAAGCCAATTCCAGAAGGTGGTGCTGGGGGATTGTGACTGCACCATGGCCGCTTTGCCATTCAGTTCCGCAGGATTCCATTTATCCCCCATGCTTTTTATCATCTACATGAAACTGCTGGGAGAGGTCATCCGGAGGTTTGAGCTGCGGAGTCATCACTGTGCTGATGACACCTAGCTCTTCCTCTCTTTTACATCTAATCTAGGTGAGACAATGGAAGTCCTGAAACGGTGCCTGGCTGGGGTGATGGACTCGATGAGGGCCAATAAATTGAAGCTTAATCCCAGACAAGACAGAGGTCCTGCTGGTAGGCAGTTTAGCCTCCCAGGTAGGTGTTTCCAACCCTGTTCTGGATGGGGTTGCATTCCCCCCAAAGGATAGGGTTCACAGTTTGGGAGTGCTCCTTGACCCAGAGCTGTCCCTGGAATCCCAGGTGGCGGCTGTGGCAAGGAGTTCTTTCCTTCAGTTTCAGGTGATTTATCAACTACACCCCTATCTGGATGGGCAGTGCCTGGCAGTAGTGACCCATGTGCAGGTAACTTCCCAACTGGTCTACTGTAGCGTGCTCTACGTGGTGCTGCCCTTGAAGATGGCCCGAATACTTCAACTGGTCCAGCACAGAGCTACCAGGTTGTTAACAGGGACCAGCAGGTATGAACACATAACGCTGGTCCTTTACCACCTATGCTGGCTACCAGTTGAAGTCCAATTTAAGGTCCAATTTAAGATGCTGGTGATGACTTATATAGCCCTAAATGGTTTAGGGCCTGGTTACCTGAAGGAGCATCTCCTTCCATATGTGCCTGCCTGCCCCTTAAGATCTGGGGCAGAGGCTCTTCTTGGGGAGCCCTCCTTGAAGGAGATTAGCAGGGTGACTACCTGGAGAAGGGCCTTCTCTGTGGAGGCACCATGATTGTGGAATTCGCTCCCCAGAGAGGTTTGCCTGGTGCCATCACTGTATTCTTTTCAGCACCAGGCTAAAACCTTTTCATTTTCCCAATGTTTTAAGATTTGTTTGTTTTAATTGGGTTTTTATTGCTGGTTGGAAATTTTATTGGGATGCTGTGTTTTATTTTATATTGTCTTATTGTTAAACTATCCCAAGGTCATGGTAAAGGACGGTCTAGAAAAGTTTTAAAAAAAGACAGTCTCCTTAATGTCTGGTCACATAGCCAGATCTAAGCTATTCAGGACACTAAAAGTTAAAACCAATACCATGCTTTTACCTAGGAAAGCAAATGGCAGCCAATCTAGGTTTTTCGGGTTAATCTAATATGATTCTGTTACTGTGTACCAGTTAACAGCCTAGCTGCTGTAGGTTTCCTTGACTGAAGATTCTGTACACTCTTTTAGCGGTTACCCCCACATACAGCGTATTGTAGTAGATTATACAAGATGTATGATCCATGGATAACTGTTACCCAGTCAGACTGATTTGGAAAGAATGACACTAGGAAGCCAGTGCGATGTAGTGATTAAGAGCACAGGGCTAGGACTTAGACAATCTGGGTTCTAGTTCTCACTCAGCCATGGAGCCAACTGAGTGATTTTGGACCAGTCACAGACTCTCAGCCCAATCTACCTCCAAGGGTTGTTGTTGCAGGGATAAGAATGAGAAAAGGAGGGGGACAATTATGTAAGCTACTCTGAGTTCATTGTAAGGACTAGGTGGGCTTGGGTGTCAAAGGTGGGATATAAATCTAATAAATAAACTGATGCATCAAGAATAATGCAGCAAACACTTTGCCACCTGAAAATCCAGGGACAGCAAAGGTTCAAGGAGCATTTCCAAGATACAGACCTGATCCTTCAGGTGAAGTGCCACCTTTCCAGAACAGGTAGAATGCCAATCCTCAAGTCAGGCTTTCTACTGCCCAATAATACTTCAATTTTGTTTTGAGTTTAACCTCAGCTTGTTCACCCTCATTCATTTCCATTATTGGATGTAGGCAATGTTCACAGACTGAGCTGCTTCCTTGGGCTTAGCTGTCAAAGAGTAACAGAACTAGGTGCCATCAGTATGTTGGTGGCACCTTACTCCATAGTTCTGAATGATCTCTTGCAGCAGTTCAATGTAAAGATCAAATAACATGCAAGACAGGATATAATCCTGTGGAACACTAAAGACCAGGGCTCATGGAATTGAATACTAATACCCCAACACTATATCCTAGACATTGCTCAACAGAAAGGACCAGAACCATTGCAAAACAGCATCTCTCAGGGATCAGTCCTACCAGATGGTCCAGAAGGATAACCTGCTCAATGGTGTCAAAAGACATTAGGCGATAGAAGAGAATGAGTAGAGTCATATGTTCTCCCTCTAGTTCCTGGCATAGTCTGGGTGACTAAATTCTGATATTCCAGGGGGAAAAAACAGACTGAAAGGCGTCCAAGATAATCGGTTTCATCCAAATGCATCTAGAATTGCAGCAGCACCTTTCCAGTCACCTTAGTCATTTGATACTGGCCTATAGAAAGATCCTTTAATAAAAGTTATTCATTCATTCATTTATTATTTTTAAACAAGAAGGAACAATCCCTTTCTTCAAAGAGGCATTAATCATTTGCCTTAGCCATGGCATCAGTCCAACCTTGGCTGATTTAATCAGCCAAGATGGGCAAAGGTTGAATGCACAGGTGATGACCCTCACCACTTCAGATACCCTCTCCACGTTCTTGAGTTCAGTAATTGTAGGTTTAAAAGTAATGCAATTACCTAAATATTTTATAGCACTTCTAGTTTATTTAAAAGAAAACAAACATATGTCCTAGCAAAATAATTACTTGCCTTCATACATGAATGTAATGCAAAGTCCATTAAGTGACAGCTACCACATAACCTTTCTAAAATGTTTCTAAGCTTTCCATATTATGTATCTTTTGATGAATCTCTGCTTAGTAGGCCTGATAGTATTTTGAGATTATAAAATATATAATTTATATTTTAATATACAAATATAATGTATGCTTTTGCTTAATATAAGTTCTTCATATACCACATTATGCATTAATGATGAAAGACTCAGTATCTTAAATGGTTATTACTACCTTGAGAGAATGTATTCTCAGCTAGGGTAGGTCATCTTATTTTCTTCATCACTATGTATTGCTTTTAGCTTGGTGTTCTCTACTGTAGGACTCTTTTCTTCAGGAGTACTTCCTTGTCTTGCCGACCAAGAAGATGGAAAATCCCATTCTTGCAGCATAGGTACAGAACGGCCAGCAACAGTGCAGGTTTTTCCATGTCATCAGTGCTTCTGTTTTGTGCTCTGGAAGAACATGTATCAGGTGAGAGGATAGTTCACAGCTTGTTGCCACTTATAAAGGCAGCACTTTGAGGGACTGATGTAGGTTGGTTTGCTAACCAGGCTCTTTTGAATGCCTATTAAAATTAATTAGTGTGACAAGCACCTATGTTTAATACCTCCATAACACATTTTCATTAAAACTTGCTTAGAAGTAACAAATTCAAATATTTGTCCTTTTATTTGCATTTCTGGAAATCCAGCTTCCCCCCTCTAAATATTCTAGGTCAGCCATGCACCCTCCTACTTGCTTTCGGTCTGGCTCAAGTTTAGAAAGTAGCTAGCCCTAGGTATCTCACAGAAAGGCCCATAAGAGATCTTGTTCCATCAACCCAGTCATGCTCCAGTTGTGGAACAGAAGTTGTATCTGCTGTCATCAGTAGAACCTTTGCAAAATTTCGAAGTTAACCTTTCTTTTCATCAAACTTCAGTAAATAACTTGCTTCCTTGCAGGCTTTTCTCTCTTTGATCTTTGTTCCTCTATGAAAGGAAATTAGAATGGCCACATGCTTATCTGGATACTAATGGAATATGGCCCTTCTGCAAGAAAGCATCTACTGAATTGAGCTTTCCTTGAGATCAAGTTGGAAAGTGTTTCCCAAACTAGCATTGCACAACAGAATATTCAACAAAGTGCAGTACTCCCTATTAGATGACCTCTGCAACTGCCTCCAATAATTAGCCTAGGTGGGCTCATGAACTAGAAAACCATCCACTAGAAAGCGGATACTTGTGATCAAAATACCATTTCTGGATAGCCCTATGCCTTATAAAATAGGAGTACTTTCATATCTCTGCTGTGCAGCCAAACTTGTGTCTTTGAAAATCAAGTCTATTTTTCTCAGCATCCAAGCATACAAGACTTTGGGGTCTCTGGCAGATTTGAGTGTTGGAAGGACTTCCTGTGATGTGGCATGATTTATTTTTGGAGTGGCTATAGCAAATCTGTAGAGGAGGTGGTCATAGTGGATGGGACTTTCCAAACCATCCTGCTTGTTGGGTGATGGCTCCTCAGTTGGTGTTGTTCTGTGGCATCAGGAAGGACAGATGGCTCTTTGCAGTTCTTTACATTGGAGATGGGTCCTATGGAATGAGTCAGTTTTGGTTTTATGCAGTGCTATAGAACAAGACATTATGGCCTACTGAGAATTGTAATGTTTTCTTCTATAAAATTTTCTTTCCAGACAATACCATTCTGATTTCAGTTTCCATGCTGCCCTTTTCCTGTAATTAGTTTATTGCCTCAAGAATTAAAGGTGGTCTAGAAATGTAAGAATAAATAAAAAATAAGTAAAAATGTAAATCCTGAGAACAATAATTTTGATCAGAGTTTATATGCATATATAAAGATTCTGTTTGCGTACAGCATTGCTGGGAGCTCCTACTATTGACAAAGTCTTTCTCAGTATGTTTAATGTAGTGCTATATCATTTCAGTTCCCAAAGAACTTTGGGAATTGGGAGATAAAGGAAATAAATAAATAGATCCTTTGACTCAGTGGTACACTTAGGTATGAATCTGTGAATATGTTTTCTAACAGTAATGAGAAATCTTTACTGTTAGAAAAAAAATCTTCTGAACTGAGGTTTTTTTAAATTATTGCATGAATAATCCAAGCAAATGTGTATTAACTACAACAATGGTGGGAAACCTCATTTAGCCTGAGGGCTCAATTCCATCTCAAAGCAGCACTTGCACTCCAGTGGTTGATGGAGCTGAAAGGCAAAGGGAGTGGGGTCAGGGGCAAAATGGGTCAGAGGCAAAAGAACAAAACTAACCACACATTTTTACCTTAAAGTTCTTACTGCCAGTAACTAAAAGCCTGCTCAAAACCTGGGAAACCATCAATTGATAGGCGGTTGAAGGGCATGGACATATGGAGAACTTGGAAGGACCCGATTTGACTACTGGGCCTGAGGTTCCTTAACTCTGAATGTTCAGCATAACCCCTCATGCACTGAGGAGAAAGTGGGGTCATGCGCATGCACATCTCTGTCAGCTGGGCATGGGAAGGGTCCCTTACTTAAAAATAAGTAGGGTTCTTTATTCACATTCATTAACTGTATTGTTGGGAAGAGGGTAACCCATGAAATATTTGGGAGTCTTTTTGCGGGAGTCTTTGAATCATCATTTAGGCTGACCTTCAAAGTATCTTCGTGAAGCTGTAAACAGGAAGGAAGTACAGCAATTTAGGCCTGGATCTACTGGGAATCCCTCCATGCTCACTTACCTGTTTGCCCCATAACCTAGCCACCAGCGTTGGGGTTAGAATCTCCCTTTTTCTTTGCACCTCAGGGAAATGAAAACCCATCCTCTCCCAGGCTCCTGGCACCAGCCTTCACTCTTGCCACTTGTGTTTGCCTTCTTCTGAACCAGTCTATCTTCTGTCCCAGTGCTGCTCCAGTGGCCTAATAGGCTCTTGATTTGTCCAGCCCATTAATTCATCCATTACCAGGCCCTTTCTGGTGAAATGTTATAGTTACCAGTCAATGGGCTGGGCTGGGCAGGGACATCTGTCTGTCAAGTAGAACAAGGATGCCCTAGCCGCTTACATTCTTTAACAGAGCACCTTAGGGAGAAAAAGGAATCGCAAAGGAATACATCCTGCCTGTATTTTTGTCTCTTTATTGGACCAGGAGTCTTTTGCCTTCCAGTCAGTGCTTTGGTGCCCATGAACCATGGGTTCCTGTTTGTATCAAGACCCATGGTACCTATCTCTTTTGGCAGCACATAATGAGTGTATGTGTTCTTTGTTTCTTCTGCTTATTTTATCTGCCCTTGGAGTGGTGGTGGTGGTGGTGGGGAAAATAGTTGCCTCTAGGGAAGCCTGGTTGTATAGTTAACTTACAGACATGCATTATTTGTTTTGGAAGGCTAACTATGCAAGAGCTTGGAACCTTATTGCAGAACTCTTTTGCTTTTTGGAGTGAAGTCTGAGTAGTCCCCTGTACAAAAAGAAACTTGTTCCTGCCTTTCATAGTAGCAGCCAATAGTAGCTGCATTCAGGCAATATTTTTAGCCCTCTCTTGTAAGTGGCCGCAGTTGATTGGGTGCTTGACCTAAGCTGTAAACTCTTCTTGTGATCATGCCTAGTTACTCTCATATTCTAATTTGCCAAAGCAGGTGTAATTTTAGAGTCGCTTGGTAAAAGTCACTTTAATGTACCATGTTAACTGATGCTAAATGTCAGGCATACTCCAGTGACCTTGTCTCTTTTAAACATTTCACTTCCCTGCAGTCTGGTGAATTCCAGAAATGCTAAGCCAATTTTAAGCAATATCCTAAACATATGAAGAGCATTAATTCATTAACTACAAAGTGATTCTGGCATGGACTATTGGAAGTGTAGAACATATCATGGCCCACAAGTAAATCCACAGTATTCCGTATAAAGATTAGCACTTCTGCTTTTAAGAATACTTGGATGTTCCTCTTCACATTAAAATAATCTTCAAAATTTAAAGGAATGCTTATAATTTTGCTGCCTAACTACAGTGATACTGAATAGCATTTTGTTCCTTTTGGAGTCGTGATAGTTATACTATAGCTATGAAACAGTTCCCAGAATACATACTTAAAACATTTTCTGCCTAACATGAAAGCCATTTCCTAGTAACGTCTCCCCAGTGAAAAGAGTATGGCTGTGATCAGAATTTAATTGAGTAGCTTGTTGATAGTAAATAAATCTCTTCCTAAGAGCTGTAGGTCTTAGATTCTGTATATACATCTGTTTTTTTCTATTTAAAGAATATCACTTCCTATCACTTAATCCTTTTTCAGTTTCTATATGTAACTGTCAGGAAGCATATGAAAATGCTATTATGTGTAAGAGATGTAAAAATATGTATATGCATTTCAGTAATAGTTCATTCTGTAATGGATCTGTTAACCTATTAGCTATTGAACAGACCTTGTATCCCAGATTAAGTGTATTTTATATTCTTATTATCCGTGTCCTTTAATATGTTGACAGATGTTTCAGTATATTAAAAATCAGGCAATACTGGTTGTATTGTATTTTAGATTGCAGAAGGATTAGGTTTGCTAAGGAATTGGACAGCTTTCCCTGAGCCATATTTTGTCATTTATTGTGGCCAACCCTCCGAAATAGAAGGGGCAGTGCATTATGTGGGCAATGATTATTATTGTTCACAGATAGTAACAGTTCCTAGCAAAACAGGACAAGAGTCTACTAGTTCTCAGATTTAAGCACCCAATTCTATTCTTCATCACAGCCTTCTCCTCTGCATGTTTTGGACTACAAACCTCTGAATTCCTGTCCATTGGTCATGCTGCCTAGCATTGGTAAGAGTTGTAATCCAACACATTTGGATATTGTGATTGAGGAAAACCCTTCTGTTACACTGCAACAGAATATGGGGTTGACTGTTACCACTTGCTTGGGGGTAGACAACACAAGGTCCAGTAAGATCTCCTGTTTTAGCAATACTGTGGAAGAACACTACATAAATACAGGGGGTGCCAAAAATGTATACACATTTTAAGAGATGTTACCTATGTATTGCTTTTCAAAGTTGAATTGAATCATGGTAGTAATATGCAGTATGACATTCACTCAAAAGATGGGGTTAATCACATGAATGCTAGCGTCACCATGCAACAATTTTTAAAACCATTTCCTCCCTTTTTAAAATGTGTATACATTTTTTGGCACCCTCTGTATTTAGTGTTGACATGTCATGCCCATCATCTCAGTGCTTGAAATAAGGTTGTACATTAGGCCAGCATTATTATTTACATATTACGAATAATCGGTAGTGATTAACTTATGAAACCCTATCAACAGCTGAAGACAGATCAGGGAAGTGTCGCTCACAGGTAATACTCTTAAACTCTGCCTTGTAACACCTGTATCCTACCTTGCAAAGCCCTGTGCTGCTACTTTGACAGTTCACTCTCCAGTGGTTATTGAGGGAAGGAGACTTTGACTAGATAAACATGTTGCTTTTTTGTATGTGTCTGTTAAGATCAGAAGTCTGGTGTGCTTTCATTGCTGCTCAGAATCTTTACTTAATGCTTTATTGGAGATGAATAGCACTTAGGTTGCTATAAAAATGCGTTAAAGTAAGCTGAAGATATGAATCAAAGAGCAGAAATAAATTGGTATGCTACATGATTCTTCATTTTCTATAGGAAGAAAACCAAAGTTGATGAAATATTAATAATCTTTTCTTACTTTTTAGGGGTAGGATAAGATCTTCGTAGTTCATTATGGTCCGAGAACGAAAATGTATATTATGCCACATCATATACAGCTCAAAAAAGGTAAACTGAAATTTTAAGACAATCCCAAGAAAAACATTCAGTATCCAAGGCTGCGCAGATGCCTCTGCTGGTACAACAGAATTCCAGCTCTTCTTAAAGCAGCCCTGGAATTAGCCAGAAGGCTTAAGTTCTAGAACAGGACAGGTCAGTAGAGCTCCTTCTGTGAACTCCTCTGACCTGCCCCCTAATAGAGGCAAGCAGTTTGGCTTATTTCTGGGATTGCTTTAGAAAGCACTTTATTCCTATGGCACTAGCAGTGAGTTCCATTTGTTTAAAGAAGTTTTGTTATTTAAAAATAGGCCTTTAAGAAAAAATCCTACGTTGTAGTAATGTGCAAACCTGGCCATGTAATGTGCAAATTAGCATGGGTATATATAAAATCAAATATGTGTCTGTCTTGAAAACAAAACAAAACAAAAACCCTGGAAAGTAGCAGCAAAGAAAAAACCCTTTTTAAAATACTAGTACGTGTTATTTGTTCTTGATGCTTGGTAAGAAATACATACAACAAGTATTTTGGTGTGTTTGCTGGAGTAGATAAAGCAAATTATGAATGGTACTTTAGATGTTCTTCATCATGCAAAGCATCAGAGGAAAATAGTATTATATGAAATGTGTTTGTACAAGTTAGATCAAGATCTTAGCCATTAAGGAATTTTGAGGGTAAAAAGGCAGAGATGGGCCAGGGGAAGGGTGTCTTTTAAATACTTTATTTTCTCTTCAGTTGGAAGTGCTTCCTCCCCTTGATAGAAAGACAGGTTTCTCAGAACTGTGTTACGTAGTCTGGCCATGCTTTCTGTCCAGAATGCATACTATACTGTAGTTTAATATAAATTGTAACAACATTCATTCTCCAGCCATTGTTAGCACTCTGCATTTTTGAAGTCACTTAGTGTGACTGAACTGATAGTGTACATTTTACTGGTGAGAAGAAGAGCTGAAAGAAGACTTAAGTACAGTTATATAAAGCAAGATAAAGAGAAAAAAATGGTTGGACATATTCAAACCTTTTTGTATCCACATACAAGTCAGAAAAGAGTACCTTTCTACTACTGAAATACCATTACTTTAATTTATAAAGTAGATTATACACTCCAATACTTTATAAAACAAATTACATACTTTATACATTTCATTTGCTGTGTCGCACAACATATTTACAGGTGCCTTCTATATAGCATAAGTGGAGTTCTTTGCTAATATATTTAAAACATTGTTTCTCCTCTTTTGAATACCTTTCCATAAACGTGACTTGATATTCTAAAAACAGTAACAACCACTTACAGGTAGTCTTCACCATGGAAGAAAGGAATGGAAAAGATACTTTGGGTGGAGGTCCATCATCTGGCAATGGGGAAATTGATATGTAGATGAGGACTACTTAATAATACTCTGCTTTCTAGGTATTTATAGCTTATCATATAATTTTTCCTGTTTTTAGGAGATGGATGAGCATATGAGAAGTATGCTTCACCACCGAGAACTTGAAAATCTTAAGGGGAGGTATGCTTCTCAGTGTATGATCTATAGCTTGATGCAGTGTTTTGGAAAACTCATTTTTTGTGAAATGAACTAGCTTTAACTGTAGTTATATTGGTACTATTTAAAAATGTTTCCTAAGTTTTCACTTAATTACATTTTCATAGTGCTTTAAGTTCACATGCAAACTGAAGGGTTGGGGAATATTAATTGTACTCAGTTTGTTCCAGTGTACTCAGTTTGTTCCAGATACTGTCCTGAAGCCTTGGAGTCTGTGTTAATCAGTTATCTTACCTATAGTTATGTAGGGCTTGACTTCAAATGTATCAATATGCATATTTTGCATGTGGATACACAGGTGGTCAAAGCAGTATACAGGTGTTAAAAATGGCAGCTTTCAAGATAGTTGCATTTGGGTGAGGGAAAGATGTGACTAGTATTAGTTCTTTTAATTTTTCAGTCAGTTCTGGATCAATGGATGAAGTATTGACCTAGTTTGTGCATAATCCTTTTCCATGATATGGGTTCTTGAATTCTGGGTTGTTGTGATATGAGATTGTGACCATGATTCATTAACCACAAAGAACCCAGAAAGTGAACCCATGGTTTGTTGTTGGATGTGAATTCTGGGTTATTTAAGCCATGGAATGTCATTGCATGCAATCCCTGAATCACAGGTGCTTTGCCGGGCTGCGGAGTCATCACTCAAGAGCAGTCCAAAAATCCAACCATCTCCTATAGCACCATAAAGGCATTTGGAATGCAGGGAGGGGTGGGTGAAGGAGGAGTGAAACAAACAACCTAGGGATCAAGAAAACAAACACAGTGTGTTCAGTCATACATCAGATAAACCCTGCATAGGGGAACAAGCTACAGGTTAGCTATATGGGCAAACCATTGGGTTTGTTGAAGGCTTAGGTCAGTTATGATCTCTGTCATGGTCTGAACACAGTAGTGCTTCCTGACACAAAGGTCAGTGGATCAAAACTGACCTCTGGTATGTGTTTGTTTAGCATTGACAGCTAGGCATGGATTGGAAAATGGTTGGTACATGGGTCATAATGGATCTGTTATTACAATACCAAAACTAAAAACAAAAAATAGTCCCATATTTAAAGGTGCTGTGCATCTGGTCCTCCATCATGGCATATTTGTGAACTTCATAAAGATGCCTCACTCTTTGCCTTGAGTGCCTTTGTTTGGCATAAAGGCAGAACACTAAATAAACAAGCAAACATTGTGGATGAAGAGGCTTAAACTTGAATTTTTAGTGTTCCAAACTGGAGTAGTGAGTGCTGTATGCACACATGTGCATGTGCTCAATTGCCAGAGGATGTTTGTGTTACAACTCCCATTATTCCTGAATATTTGGTCATGATGGCAGGGGCTGTATTTGGCAGGAATTGTGGTCCAGGTCATCCAGAAAGTACCTGATTGGGAAAGGTACTATGGAGGACAACCAAGAAAGACTTTATCTTTGTTTACCATTTTAAAATGCTTTAAGGTGTGTAGTGCCAAGTGATCAAAAAAAGAGAAAAGGAAACATTTACACTTCGGCTCTTTTTGGATACAGGTGGAGCATCTTTGCTTACTCTTAAAACTGATATTTACTGCACATTGACCTTGTTCTTGGCAGTAAGAATCCATCTGTTCCACTGTTGAACAGCTGAGAGCTGGTTGCTCTGATACTAGGAGTGTCATCAGCATTAACTTTAGCCTGTAACTTGAGCTTATGTATTTCAGTTAATTTTTAGAGTAATAATTTTAAACAAAGTTTTACAACATCACATAAGAAAGCAGCATTTTTTCTGGTTTGCTGTGGTTGCTGTCTGTCTAGATATCATATCTACTACACACTGCAGCATCAGGAATCTTTTCAATTGTATTTTTGCACTCAGATTTCCCTTGTGTTCTTCTCTGATTACTCCTCTCTTGATTAATATTCAGACTTGGACAGTTGTGAATATTTTCCATTTATATCAGTGGGTGCAGTGCTTATACTTGCGGCAGGTCTACTTTTTATGTTGCATGCAACATGTGTCCATGGGCTCTTCCTGTTCCCTGTCTTGGAGCCTCCTTTCATCTAAATCTAGAATCAATTAACTTCTCCTGGAGTTATTTGGATATGTGTGACATCCATAGAAGCAAGGGACTCTACTCCTCATATGGGGAGTGGAGGGCAGTTGGAGATAGCTGGGAAGCCTGTGTGCTATACTAAGATTCCCTATACAGGGAGTGAATATTTTGCTCACTTAAGCATGTGCTCTGCTAATCCATTGTCAATGTTACCTAAAGTAATAATTATTCACAGACTAAGCCATGGGGAACAGATCTTTTTTCGAGTTTCTGAAACTTTAACATAATTATTTAAAATTTTGACTAAGTTCTACAATTTTGCCTTGGGTGCAGTGGTGCCATTGTGCTGCCATGCATCTCATTCAAACTGACATGTTCACACAGATAATATCCAGTAAGCCATGGTGTGTACAAGCAGATCTGTGTGTTGTGCACTCACTAAAGTGCACACTCCAAGGCAGATACAGGCTGAACTGTATGTGCCGTGCATCATAAGCCTAATTACCCATAAGAGTGTGACTTGTCATATCATCTAAATCCAGGAAGCATGATGTGTTTGAGTGGGGAATAACTCTCAAATAACTCTCAACAACAGCCCATGAGTTATTAGATGGTTGCTTCTCCCTCCAACAAACCATTCCATCCCATTTCAGACAACACAACAAATAGTGCTTGTGCAAAACAGAGTTTGAAACGAAGGGAACAAAGCACCTGATGGCTCAGAAACCAGACGTAGGATAGCTTAAAACAAAGAGAACACAAGTTTGGTTCTGGGAACTGAACAGAAGGTTTGGTGTGTTCCTTGTTTGATTTTACACCTAGCTAACTGTACAGTAGTATAGCATGCAAAACAAAAGGTATCAAGAATTCTCAGGTAAAATTCAAAGGTACATCCTCAGTTACTCAACAGGGTGGTGACATGCCTGTCATCAGGCAAGTGTTGGTATCTTTTTACTAGGAACAACTTCCTTCAAATAGGAAGCAAGTGTCTTCTAAGGCTTGTATGCCTCTGTAGCAGTTTGAGAGTTTTAGCCCTATTGCTGGCAGCTGTGCGTTGCAGAACAAAAGTGGATTCTTAAGCCAAGGCATCTGGGCATGCCAACTGAAGCCAAAGAACACAGTGCACATGTTAGAGCTCCCACATGTCTGAAGCTTCTTTGCATCAAAGGGCACAGATGTGGGAGTTGAATTTTAATGGAATTTTTAATTAAAAAAAACTTTGAACACTAAATCCTTATGCCATATTATAAACTGCTCTTGGAGACCCCTTCTATCTCAGATCTAGTTTGATGGTTACTGGGGTTGGGAGACTGCTGTTGAATACAAGTCCAAGGTCCTCTTGGGCTTACAAGCCTAGGTTAGCTTTTTCATATCCCACTATTTGTAATTATATAGGTGTAAGCTGAAATTACACTGCTTCTTCATTTGAGAGCCTTTTAGAGAAGCTGAATGCTTTATTTAACAATCAGCTGGTCTCAGTAAAGTATGTAGAAGGCTGTTAGTTTAACATCATGTGAGTGGGTGAAGGATTTGTCTGCCACACTTTTAAAAATGGCAGAGGTGGACAAAGATTCCTAGGCCTCCATTTCCTTTGAAGGAAATTCTTGACAGAATAGTGAAGATGGTTGTGACCCATGAGATGGGAACTTCTATCACTTCATTAAAGAATATTCTTGGCAAGTGGTTTCACAGCTGTGCTGACACACACATAACATGAAACTTTAAAGTAAAGTAAAATACCTAAACTCTGTTTGCTTTTCCTTTAATAAATAATGAAAGGGTTTTAAATAAAAATACTTAGTACAGTAAGTCCCCAACAGCAAGTTGCAGAAAGTTTGAATTTGTGGACAATATTTGGGAAAAGAAAAGTTATTTCTGGGCCGAACACTTAAGTTTTGAACAAATTTTCACTAATTTAGACCTGTTATTTTAATATCAGGCATACTAAATGCAAATTCTTTTTTCACCTTTTCTTGAGATGGTTTGGAGGAGAGATCATTGTGCCCAAACAGATTTTGCTCTCTCTCTTTTTCCCTTGTTTGTACTTATATACATTACGAATCTATGGAATTATACCCTGGAACCTACAGTGAAGCCTGTGTGTCTTGAAAAAAACAAAAGAATTATAAAACAGCCTTCTGAAATCCCCAATCTGGGGATGATCAGAGCTGTAGTTCAAGTTGGGAACAGTATTGTAGAACATATCATAATATTGGTATTTGCTGTCACTCTTCTCCCAAATGAATTTTTATCTCTATGTGTAGATTGATCTAAGCACTGTGAGGATTGCAGTCTCTTTGTCTTTTTACTTGAAAGTACAACTCTGGAAGCAAAATGTTGCCAGCATTTTTTTTCTTTTTGGCAACGGTCACTGAAACCCATACTATGGCCACTTGTCTGACACAGTTGTCAGCTTCCTCCAGCTGAAACAATTTTATGCCTTTCAAATAATCCTTGCAAAACAGAGAGTGGACTTTATTTGGTTCAGAAGATGCCAGTTAAGTACAGTGAACTAGAGGCTCCCTCCCTTCATTTGCTGTGGTGTGGAGTCTTTGAATTCCAGGCCACTGTGCCAGCTGTCCCAGTTTAGGTTTCACTGTGTTAGGATTGGCTGCAGAACTGTTCTCTCCCCTCCTCTCTGCTGACTTTCACTGGGGGACAGCTGAGACAGAGCTTAAATCTAGAATCCATCACTGGGTTTTCCCAGTGCAGCTGGCACCGTGGAGGTGCTTCAGAGCAGCTTCTGCTAGCTCTGCAAGCCCTCCACTCAGCCACCACCTACTCTGCTATGTTTCCTCTGAGATGATTTTGAGTACAACAATCCAAGAAGAATCCCAGCTGACACTGATCATTCTCAAGTCTTTTACCTCTTGATTGTTGGAAAAAAATCTGCAAGTCACCAAGAAATCTTTAAAATCAGCTAGTACTATAAAAGGAAAAAGGCATATAAATTTCTGGGGCTTTTTAAAAACAACGCCACAAATCACTAGGTCTTGTATACAACTAACCGAAGACTTTCAAGTTCAGAGGAAACTGAATTTAAGATCAACACTCTTTGCAATGCCTGTGGGAAGAATTGAATGTCCACCTTCTCCATCTTTCCCCAGGGACAGCAATCATGAGTGCCAGGTGTGTAGGGTGATGGTGGTGGGCTTGTCAGCATATGCTAAGCACATTTCCAGCCAGCTGCACAAAGACAAGGTTGAAGCTCATGATGCAGAGGAAGGGAAAGAAGAGGCTAATGAAGAATACTTTGACAAGGAACTGATTCAATTAATCAAGCAAAGAAATGAACAGAACAGGTAAGTATCTCCACTTTCCTCTGGTATGTGTAATGTGGAGCTTTTTAAAGGTGCTTTGAACATTGAAAAATAGACTCCCAAGAGTGGACTGTGTTGTTAGCGTTTGCATACAACTGGGAGATTTCTCAGAGCTGTATAAGTTACTATTTTTAGTATCCAACTCCGATAGTTTGCATGTGGCCTTTTGGATAAGGTTTTCAGAACAGATAATTGTAGATTGATATGGACTCCTATTCTCTATGTGATAAAGGTGGTTTTCTCATGCATGCTTATGTTCTTTAAGGGTATTAAGATTGGTTCTTGGGATTCCTTTCCTCCTTATTCACATTGCACATGCGTACCGCGCATGGCAAAACTTGGATAAACTTTTGCAGTAGGTCACTGCACCTATAGTGTTTATGGCCCACTTTATTATAGCCAATGAAATGAATGTGCATGTAGTGTAGGGGTAGTGCACTATATTTCTGAACTAAGTGTGCTTAGAAAATAGTTAATAGAAATTATTTAATGGCAGAATGATGACAAGGAATCTAGAACTGTGAAACTGCCCTTATTCCTTACAGTTTTATCTGTCAAGTGAAGCTAGAAATCTATTTGAATTCACTGTTGTCTAAAAATGCACTGGAATTTAATTCTTTGCCCACTTTATATCTAACATATGCACTTTATGCAGAGTGCATGCATAAAGGATTTTCTGCATAATTGCACATCATTTTTCATGTGGCATGTAAAACTGTGGTATAGTTTTCATTGCTTTTGTCCAGTTAAGTTTGGTAGTGGGTGGTTTAAGGGTAAAAATCTATTTTGGCTTTAGATTACAAACATATAATTTATTTTATTTAAAACATTTTTACCCCGGCCTATATGAAAAAAAAGTCTCAGATGGCTTATATAGATCCAACTACATTAGCAGGAGGCACTTCTGTAGTGGAGATTACTGATCACCCTGCTTTGCACCTGTGCAGCTGCCCCCAAAACTGCTCTGGAAGATTGTTTGCCCTCTGGACCCAATTTTATGGAGGGAGTAAGGCTGCAGTGAACTAACCCACCGATCTGGTATAGTGAAAGTATCTTCCATTTACACAGCTGTGTCTCTGGATATAAGCAGATCTATTGTTAAGTTACAGATGATCCATTCTGATTAGTACTAATCTTATCTAGCTGGAATAAACTAACCTTTCTATACCCCAATGTTTAAAGTATCTAGAATGTGATTATAAAATCTCCTGGAAGAATCAAACTTATCAGGGAGAAAAGGGTCTTTGGAAGGTTCTTTGGAACCCCACCAGAGAAGGCAGCACATTTTCATATTCTGCAACCTAGTCATGTTGACTGATGCTAAAAAATGTTTAATCTGCCCTTACGACTTTCTTTTCTCCTTGAAAGCTGCAATGATCTACAGATTCAATAATCATTGAAGCCCATTTATGGAACTCCTAGAGAGATTGAGTTAAAAAGGGATATGGAACTTGAAACCTTAAGCATGCCTGTGGTCAGGGGTTGTGAAGTTGGATGCCATAGTGTGAAATTTTCCTACGCTTATGTCTCCAGTAGCTTACAGGGAGAAAGCAAAATAGACTTTGATTTTTACAATATCAAGTTCTGGTATTTGACTTAATGTTACTGGCAGGACTATGTTCTACCTATGAAAAGTATTTTTCTTTGCAAAATTCCATTATAAAAATTGCTAGGTATTATTTTTCAGGGACCACATAAATCTGGTCATGTGGGCAGCCTACTGGGAGACTGGCAAACTGAAAGGATTCTAGCTGTGAAGTCTTAGAACATTACATTATACATGGCACATGCAAGCCTTTTTTTCCAGTTGCAACTTGGGAAATTCAACCTGCAAAGCATGATTTGCACTATCTATTTTGCAGAACAAATTGTGCTTTAAATGTTAAAGTTGCATCTTTGGAAGATCTGATTGTTTTTCTCAGACATTGAGAAATAACAGATTAACTATTAAATAAAATAATTTAATAAGATTAAATAACATATTAACTATTGTGCAGTAGGTTGGAGATAGGAGCAGGTATATGACATTTCTCTTCCTCTCTGATAAATATTGCTAAAAGGCAGAACAGAGGGAGAGTTTCTGTATTCTTAAGGAGCCTCAGAGAAGGCCTCCTGTCAGAGCTAATAATAATTCTAGTTTCATTTAATTTAATGTTAGTTTCATTCATTCTAGTTTCAAATAGTTCTAGTTTCATTTAACAACTGGGTGCCATGTAATTATGCTGTATTTGCATTAGAGTTCCCAAACCTGGAGATCTTCAGATGATTAAGAGCATGAGTTTGATAGCTGATGGGAGCTGCATTCCAGCCCATCTAGAGGGAACCAAAGGTTCATTGGATTAGATTAGATTTGCCTTGTTTTTCTGGACAGACTTGCACAATCAGGGAAGGAAAATAAGTAGTGGTTTCATTTTTCCTTGCCCCACATATGCTGCTCACACACCACCTCATGTCCTTAATTACTGGCTCTGACTACAGGTTGCCATGTTTTTGAGGGGGCGGAGTGGCTTCCAAACCACACCACAACCCATGGCTTGTTCTAGGATTCTAGGGTGGTTTGGAAGCCATCCCTCTCACCTTCACAGGTAACCTGGCAACCCATGGCCAGCAGAGATATAATGGAATGGAGGCTCAACTGACATGTGTAGGGTTAGGAAAAGAAACTGTAGGAACTTCTTTTGCTTTCCAAGTCATGCGAGATGGTATACATAGTGAATATGTTATGTCTACCAGCTTGTTTTCCCTTGAGGAAGAAGATGGGAGGAGATGATATATTTTAAAAATAAGATAAATGAATAAATGACTGGCTAAGTCAAGTTCACCTTGCAGTGCATACTGCAGCTCCCTTGGAAGAAACTGGTGTTTCCCCTTGATGAGCAAACAAGTGGCAAACCATAAGCCCTCTGTATTCCAAGAAATGTTTAGACAAATCCAAATTGTTGCGTTTTTTTAAATTACTGAGAATGAGTGAGAATAGCTGCTTTGCTGTCTTTTGTTTTTATAGAGCAGGTGAAGTATGCCGTGTGAACCATGAAACAGAAAGTGAAGACAGACGATTGCAAAGACGGCAAGATGAAAGGACCTCTTACCAAGACAGAGACACTTATGATTCATCAGTAAGGTACCATTGTGGACCATCTCAGAGAGACTGGAAATGGGAAAATGATGGCTTCTTAAACCCCCGACAAGAAAAATTTGCACATTCTTCAAGGAATCCTAATAATACGAACAGGCATCTCAGCAGCCAAAGAGGACGACCTGGGTGGCATCATAATAATCCCGGAGTGTCACCAAATCGGTATCATAGCTGTGGGAATACTGGAGGTGCTTGGCATCAGAATGCTGGACGAGGATCATCAGGTTGGCATCATGGTGGAAGGGGAAGAAGTTCCAATTGGCTTTCCGAAGGAAAGAATGGCTTTTCTAATTGGCAGTCCAAACATGTGGGGGGAAACTGGAAACCAGGTCTACAGAGTGGACGTGGATGGAACTTAGGAAGGAACAGGGCTCCAAACAGTAGTTCCCAAATAGACAATCTGGATGCTTCCTGGCTGAAAAGCAAGAGTATGCAGGATAAATACAGTGGAGAAAGGTACGCATGGCAATGGCAGGATAGTGGCTCTGTGACATCTTATACAGGCATTGTTAATGAAAATGACATTAATTGCTTATTGGATTTCACTAGTGATCAGCTGCCTTCTGATGGGTTGCTAAATTTTGGTGCTCCTGAGCAACCAAATAGCAAATCCTCCAAAGTCAGTGGAAAGCATAGCAGCCCTTCCCGAGAAAAAATAAATCGCTGGGCTCCTTATCCTCCTCAGAAAGCTTTAGAACAGCAGTCAGTGGCTGATGAAAGTGTAACTAAGATGCCTGAAAAAACAGATTGTGCCCCTCTGTCACCCTCTCCAAAATGGACAGATCCTAAAAACAACAACCCAAAACTGAAAAACTTGGAAGAGACCTCTTCTGTACCCTCTAAGTACAAAATGTCATCCGGCAAAACTGCCCCATGCAAAGGGCCAACAAACTGCACCAGTGAGACAAAATCAGATCAAGCTGAAGACAAAGGTAACAGGATGCCATCCCTGAAATCCCCACTTCTAGCTATTCCAGATATAAAGCCATCTCAAAAAAGAAGCCCAAATAATCTGTTGAAACATGTCCAACTTCTGCTTTCCTCATCTTCTGGAGACAGTCAGAGCCAACCAAGCTCACCAAATTTAGAGGCTAATCATTCTTCCACAAAGACGTCCACACTGAGCAATGAATATAATAACTATAGCAGTTTTAAAGGAATCAAACATATCCTTAGTAGCAATGAAAACCTAAGTGAAGATTTACTACAAACGGCCAAAGAGGAATTCCAGTGTATCAGTTCTTTTCAAAATTCCCATTCAAGCCCTTCTGGAGGTAATTGGACTGATGAAAATGAAGAATGGAGCATTGAGAATTCTGCCCAAATCCAGAAGATGTGTGAGACCCAGATAGGTGGACTGAGAGATGAGAGCTGTGGAGATATAGCAGGAAACAAAGGTACTCCTAATGCTTGTTCATTGTGTGAGCTTGTTGAGCCTGACGCTTCTACAGCTAAAAAAGTTAACTGTCTAGGAGAATTGAGAGATACTAACAAAAAATATTCTGAATTTCAAATGGACTCTCTAGACAGTCAGTCAAATGGTCAACAAAATTTAGTTACTCACTTGAAGACATCATTAGAAGAGGATGGTGATGAAGTTACTACCAAAACAAATGCTCCTGAAGAGGAAGGCTGTGGAGGTCATTCAAATCATGAGTTGCAGAAAGATATCCCAGGGCATTCTCCAGGTCCTCTTCTTCCTGAATTGAGCAAACTTGGCTTTCCAGCTTCTCTCCAAAGAGACTTAACATGGCGCACGAGTTTGAAGAACAAAACTGGTTCACATCTACCTGAGCCCAACCTCAATAGTGCAAGGCGCATTCGAAACATTAGTGGCCATCGAAAGAGTGAAACTGAGAAGGAATCAGGGCTCAAGCCTACCTTGCGGCAGATTATTAGTGTATCTCGTAGAAATGTAAACTGGGAGCAGGTCATTCAGCAGGTAACAAAGAAGAAACAAGAACTTGGCAAAGGCTTACCAAGGTTAGTAGTTCACCTGCCTGGAAATGTGACTCTTACCATGTTTTAGCATGTATGTAAATATGCCATGTATGTACCAGTGGCAGCTGGTGCCCACTTTTCTTGGTGAGGCAAAATATGTGTACTAGAGGCAGAGGCAAAGGGAGCACTTGAAATGGAGCATACTCCTGAAAACACAAGAATGACTTGCATGAAGTTCAAATTCATGAATGCACAGTACAGGAACAAGGTGATAGTGATCATGATCATACTAACACTGTCCTCAGAGCAAACACAGACACCATTCTTAAGCAATAGCAGTTAGGAAGCCATAGGACAGAAAGTGGGGGCACATGAAATTTGAATTCATAAATGCATAGCACAAGATGATGATGAAAGTAATTCTACCAGAGCAAATAATTCATGATATGTTTTAAGTGGCTATAAAGAACCCAGACTCAAGCCCCCAAGCAGCTTTTTGTAAAGTTAAACAAATCACAAGAAGGAGAAGTACGTTTAAAATTGATTAATAGGGATCCATACAGGGAATTACCACCCCATGGGAAACTTATTTTTAAAATTAATTTTTGAATTAGAGAGAGAGAAGGCATAGTAAACCGCAGATCTCCCCATGTATTCCCTCAGATGTAAGCCAAACTTACTCAGAAGTAAAGGAAAGCAAAATACTGAAAACACGTCTCAGCTTTCTTCATTTTTACTCAGAAGTAAACTAGGTGTTAATCAGAAAGCAAAGCACAGAATTTGTATTTTACAGGTTGAAGCAGCTCAGTACTCATAACCAAGCATAAGCATCAGGTTGGAGCAGCAACAGCAGGGCAGTTTTAACAAGCACATTCACCAAAATTCTCTTACAAATTGGAACAGCACAGTGGAGTTTTCTCTTGAGTTTTCATTTATTACTAGTAAAAACATTGTTTAATGATGCTCAGCAGTTTTAAAACATGACAGCAGATCTGTTGAACGCAGAGTATATCCTTCCCACTCTCAGAGAAAGAAAACTCCTTCCAAATACAAGGAAAGGGAATTCCCTCGTTCCTCCATTGTTTTCACTAAACTTTCATAAGCAAAATGAAGTGGCTGCAGCACATTTACTGTACATGAGAGCGCATTAAGCAGTGGTCACTGAAATCTGCCAGGAAACCAGGAAGCCGAATGTGGGACATTTTTTAACAGCTAATCAGGGCAGGAGGAAGATAGGAAGAAGCCAGTTGAGAGAAAGAAGCAATTGTTTGGCTAATTGTAAGACTGTCCCAAAACCGTTTGAGAGTGGATGCTATACAAAAGTTTTAAATAAATAAATAAATAATCAGTAAAAGGAGGAGGCAGCTGTGTGTATGCAAGGATGTCCATAATGGGGGAAAAAGATGGGGTAGGTTCTTATTGGTTCTGCCTTGAAGAAACTGGTAGGTGGGTTCATAGATCATGTAGCCCAGCACGGTATATGTGGGCAGCCATTTTTAATACTGAAGCCACATCTGCAATGTCATTTAAACTGATGAGGGTTGGTTGTTTCCATGAGAAACAAATTGCCCCAGCCCTAAAACAGCCTTGGGTGGTTTGTTAACCAAACCAACAACCCATCCTCATTGGATTTGGATGTCATGTCAACCTGCAGTCGTGGCTTGCCCATTCAGAAGTACCCATCAGGCACCAACTTGAACCAATACAAGATGGGAAATACATGGCTCAACAGAACTGAAAAAGAAATAGACTTTGGAGTATAGGTGGGCAACAGGCTAAATATGAGCCAATGATATGCAGCCGCCAAGACAGCAAATGCTGTATTGGGATGCATTAACAGAAATATTACTTCTGAAGTACTAGAAGTGGTAGTTCCCCTATACTCCTCACTAGTCAGACCCCATCTGGAGTACTGTGTCCAGTTCTGGGCACCAAGATTTAAGAAAGATGCAGAAAAATTAGGGTCCAGAGGAGGGCAACAAAAATAATCCAGGGTTTGGAAACACTGTCCTATGGGGAGAGACTGAGAGAACTGAGCATTTTCAGCCTTGAGAAGAGAACATGATATCCTTCCATAAGTACCTCAAAGGCTGTCGCAAAGAGCCTTCTTTTCTTGCTGATACCAGAGTGTAGGACATGAAATTATCAAGTCAAGCTGCAACAACTCAGATTCAGGCTAGATAGCAGGAAACGTTTCCTCACTGTCAGAGCAAAACAACAGTGGAACCAGCTGCTTAGAGAGCTTATGGGCTCTCACACACTTGAGACTAGACAGCCATCAGAGTTGGATGACATAAACTGGTGTCCTGCAACAGCAGGGGGTTGGACCTGATGGCCTGCATGGGTTCTTCCAACTCTACTCTTCTATGATTCTATGAACTGAAACCAAGCAGGACTTAGATAAACCACAGTGGCCTGAAATGATAGTGAGACTCTTGTGGCTGTGTCACAGAAACAGCTTCCAGGGGACTGTTTCCCTAGTCACCCTTTTGAAAAGGCATTTCTTTGCACATTACTGGCACAGCCAGCCTAGGATAATGAAACATAGAGCTAGGCAGAGGCAGCTGAAGTGAGAGAGACATTTGTATGCACAGCACTATGAGTGAAGTAGGAGCACCAAAGCCACTGCTCTCCATGGTTCAAAGAAATCCATCAGCACTACACATTTATGTATATGAGTACCACCCATATTAACAAAAGATAACCAGTTTACTCCTAAGTGGAAAAATTATTGTCCTTTCAGTAGGCAGCTCCATTTATATATCTACCTATCAGTACAACATTTGGACTCTATATGAGTGTGTGTTTATGGATTTTGACTTCATGAAGCGGAAGCCTAGTTGAAGAATTTTCAGTAGTATTGTTCCAATTCTCAGGTTCAAAACTTTAATGTAATATAGAACAACATTACTGAGCTACCCATACATGACACTTAATTGAAGTCTTAACTATGTATCAACTGTTAATACTTTACTAAAATAAAGTTTAATGTCCCAAAGGTGTTCCGTATGGAAATGAAATGAATAACAATAATAAGAAAGTGTTTCCCTTTTGTGTTTAAGGTTTGGCATTGAGATGGTTCCCCTCATCCAGAATGAACAAGAGGGCCTTGAGTTGGGTGAGGAAGCTGACCTGAACAGACTTGAAGGATTCCACTGGGAAGGGATAACCATAGGTTCCCCTGGGACTGTTAGGAAACGTAGCCTCTCTGAAAGCAGTGTGGCTGTAGATAAGACAGCCTCTGTTTACAGTTTCTTCAGCAACCAAGGGATAAACAAAGAAAATGAACAAAGGCAAACCTGTTCAGTTGCCAACGCTGAGGCTGTAACATCTGGATCTCAGATGCTCGCAGATGCTGTGGCTAGCATGAAACAAGAGTCCTCTTCTCTTCCTTCCTCACCATTCATGCCAGACAGAACTGATTCCATTTCCAGTGGAAGGAGACTCAGCCTACAGACTCCCCTTGATGTCAACAGGCTCACAGCATTTAGCACACGAGAAGACCTGAGAAGCCTTGAATATAATGTTCAGTTACTGGAGACCCAAGACATGCCAGAGAGTCCAGGGGAAAAATACTGTATGGCTTCAGGTCTGGCATTGTTCAGCACTCTGGATGCAGCCACAGACAGCAGCTATACATCAGGCAATGAGCAGAATGACAGCCAGGGAACTGGCAAAAAAAGACGAGCAACCGGAGTAAGTTATCTGAATATCAGTAGAAACCTCCTTTTGCACCCATTTAAAGCATGTTACAGTATCTGGAAAATGGCTTTCATGTGTAGTTTTTAAAAACATTTTGTGAAATTACTGTGGTTCATCAAATGCCTTACCTGTACAAAGTACAGAGATTATTATTGGTTATGAGAATTACTTTGCTTAAGGAATGTGTTCTATGGCAGTATGATTCCCCATCCCATTTGAGCCATAATTCTGATATTATGTTTGTGGTTCTCAGAGTATTCTTACTTACCACTTTCAGAAGTACATTTGTCTGTTTAAGGTTTTATCAATGAGTGGCCTCAGTAAAGAAATGTAAATTGCAGCATCTTGGCCACTTGAGTTTCATGAATGTGTGTCTTTTAATAAAGTACAGAGCAGCAGGATCCCATATCACCTGCAGATCAAAGTGAGATCACAACAATTATATATAATATACCTAACATGCTTTGGGTTGGACTTGTGCTGTAAACCTATCCATGAGGTTTATTTTCGAGTAGGCACATGTAGATTTTTTTTAGTTGAGCATAGTTTTTATTGAAATCTTGCTAACTCTGTGGATTTTTATAGGCCTATGTTTAGTTTTGACTACTTAAGTCATATTCATTTCAGTGGGTCTTTTAAGTGACTAAGTCTGGATCCGGCCCTGTGTTTTTAAACATGTAGGCTTGAAATAGGCTTGATGAATACTTGAATATGCATTAAATCTGCAGGTTATGTACATAGCCTTGACTGAACTAGTTCAGCTAATGAGGAATACGTATTTTTTAATTTGCAGGAGGGTTCCTCTCCTGAAATTCCCAGTCTAGAAAGAAAGAATAAACGAAGGAAGATTAAAGGCAAAAAAGGTTGGTGTTTATGGGAAATGAGTTTGCACTGCATTACTATTTCTAGTTTACATCCCTTAGGATACCCTCCATAGAAATTCTACTTTTTATGCTGGTGTATGTGTCTGAGTGGAGGTCAAAGAATTATACTATAGGTTTCTCTGAACAGTGCTTTCCTCTGGGGGGGGGGCAATTATTTGTAGGGTATTCTGAGCTTACCAAACACAAGATTATTATGTACACATTTTGTACTGTACTTTATATAGTACAATAGATGCTTTGAGTGCCATTTCCTTGGTAGAAAGGTAGAGACTATATATTTCAAATTTGCCAGTTGCTTTCACTAAGCAACCATGTAGCAATTTACACAAATGAAGCGGGTTTTAGAAATGGACATAGAGCAAATGCAGTGGCTTTACAAATGTCCTGAAAGTGGCCATGCCAAATCTTATAACTGATTCTCTTTTGCAGAACGTTCTCAGTTAGACCAGTTGTTGTCTATTTCCATGCGGGAAGAAGAACTGATCAAGTCCTTGCATTGTGTAGACGGAAGCCTTCTGCAGGCTCGAGCTGCTCTGCAGGCAGCTTATATTGAAGTCCAGCGACTGCTTGTACTGAAACAGCAGGTACTTCCACATTTTGAAGCCTGGTAACTTTAGCTTTGGCAATTCCAGATGGATGTATTTTGATGGCCCTGATTAAATCTCTCTCATTTTGTAGGTATCAGTAGAAATGGGAGCTTTGAGGAGCCAGAGAATTCAGATCCTGCAGGGGCTACAAGGTAATCAGAGCATTCCACCTGCTACAATGACATGTGGAATCCTTTATAAAGTGTCCACTAACAATAGTGATCTGGGCAATGTGTCATTCCCATGCAGCAGCAGAAAGGAAATAGCTTTAAAACACTGCTCAAGCTATCTTTGGGGGGGAGGGTTGCTACTTTTTTTTAAACTGTGCATTATAACCTCCCCCCTCAAAGTATACATTAAAAAAGAAAGTTTCCAGAAAAACAAAAACAAAATGGAGTATTGCAATGTTTGAATACAGTGTTAACAACCCCCTTAAACAATAATTACATATATATTGCATATCTATATGTTAGTATAACAGAGCATACTACAGTTATTAAAATAATTATGTGTAGACTTCAATAAAGCTACCCTAAATATCTGTTTATCCATTTGTAGATTACCCCCAAAAGCCACCCATTCAAAAATTGAAAGTTCGATTAAGTTCTCCACCCATTGTTTTGTTGCAAGTGGCTATTTATCTTTTGTCTATCTTAACAATATTAGTCTTTTAGCTATCAAAAGGATGCAGAAGAGTCAGATATGTTGACCTGGCATTGAATTCCAAGAGATAGGAATTTCAAAAAACCATGCATATCCTTGAATATTAAAGAACATTCCAACACAGGGTTTGTTCAAATTATTACCTCCCCGCAAAAGGAAGCTGCCATTTGGTTTTGTCAAAACATAGAAGAGAATCATTAGCAACATTGCACCTCCAACAATCGGGATGGCTTAATTAAGCCCTTATCAAACAGACCTTAAGGCATTCATTGTACTCAAAACATCATTTTTTCTTGAATTAGGCATAGCCTAAGATCCATGACACCCTGTGAAATTAATAATAATGAAGCATTTCATTTTTGGGAGGAGAAGCTACCACCTAGTGTCTGACATCTCTACTGCAAGCTTCAGACTATCTGGCCTATTTAAATTAAGTTTCCTTGGATCATTTTGAAAATGAAACTGCCCCCAGTGTTCCCTTAGTATGCATACCATGTTTCAGAAGTCAAGGCTTCACAGTCTTGGAGCTATTGCACTGACAGATAGACACAGATCTTTGTTTATTATAGAAGACAACAACTGCTAAAATAGTTATAAAAGAAATGCTAAAATCATTCAGAAGCTGAAAGATAATGTTTTCAGGGTCCTAAATGCCTATATAGATGGAGGCACAGATATCTCCCCAGAAATAGAGGTCTAAAATGAAGGGCATCACAGCAAATGTCCTGTCTCTGGTACTTAACAGCCTAATAGTTGTTGTTGTTGTTGTTGTTGTTATTAGAACATTTCTATGCCGCCCCTTGCCGAAGCCTCGGGGCGGCTTACAACACCAATACAATACAAAAATAACAATATAAAATTAAAGTTAATAATATAAAATAAATAAAAATATAAATGATATAAAAGAAGTTATAAAAGAAAAGTTATAAAGGAAAAGAAAAAGAAAAGAAGTCGCCCTGGCCAGATAAATAAGTAAATATTGTTAACAATTAAAATGACGTTTAAATAAAAAGGTCTTCACCTGGTGCTTGTTTTAAAATTATTTCCACTTTTGGTTTACTTACTTTGAGTTACTCAGTGAATTCTAAAACTGCCATAGGGAATCTTCTCAAATGGATAAATTAATCTCAGGAAGAAAGGATTAGCTGAATGCTCACCCAAGACCTGGGGAGACACAAAAGTCCTGTGAATGCTTCCAGTTCCCTGAGGTATTGTAATTCAAAGAAGAAAAAGAAGCAAAAGAGGATACTCCACTAATCCTGTCACACCATTTGTTAATACAAAGGAACAGCAGGGAAACACACAATTCAAAGAGAGCAGGAAGCAGGTTGTCAGTTCACCTCCCAACCCTGTCAAAGTGCACATAGTACATGACTCAGGAAAAACCAAAATAGAGCTTTACACTTCATAAAGAAGAATTACTTGTTTAAGAAAATGTAGACCAGGATGCAATACACAGCTACTCTATTCAGGTCTGAGCCCTGCGTTTTGCACGAAATCTTTCTCCCCTGCCCCACCCTGCTACAGAAGTCAAATAAAAATCATTCCTCTTACTTTAACCCCCATGCTAGCCAAAGAGCGATGGCTGGCAACCAAACTTGGATGCACCCACCATCTCAGAGCAGCTCCAACTTAGGTTCTGGCCCAGCTGCAGGCAGTTAACCTACAAATGGCCATAACAGTAAAATACAGCCAGTTGTCCGTGGGAAGGACTATCCCCTGCTTTCTGATAAATCCAAGGAGCAAATCTCCCAATTTTCCTCAACTGGGACTTACCAAGACAGAGAGACCCCCCCCCCCACACACACACAAAAATCTCCATGTCCATTAACCATTGAGTTTTCATTTAGTCCTTCTTTACAACCTGTAATATGAAATACATTTATTCTTTCTCCTTAGAAACCTATGAGCCTTCTGAGCAGCTGCAGCAGCTTCATCCCAGCAGCTCAAGCGAAAAAAGAGCTAGCAAGCTTCAGCTGACCCACAACCTTACTGCAAATCCAGGTGGTCCTATTCCTCTTTTGGAAACTGCCTCATCTGTTTCTGCCCAGGTAGCTGCTATTCCTTTGGCAGACCCCATCCAAGTAAGCACTCAACCTACATTCCAAACTACTGGTGGCATTGGAACCATCATAGCTCCTGATTCATCTGTTCAAATCAAGCAAGAGCCTGCATCTCCAAAACCTGGGGAGGAGAGCATGAATATTCCCAAACAAAGCTCCCCATGTTCTCTGCGAGCAGATCTTCAGTTTCAGGATGGTATGTTCACTTATTTTTTGTTAGACGATAGTAATTCCATGTGTGTGCATGCATTTGTGTTTATGCATACAGAGTCTTGATTTCTAAGACATGCTGAGTGCTACTGGCCCTGCTCTGTTCCTGGGCTGTTGAAAAACAAGAGGTCAGCTTTAATGGGGGTTTGCATAACTGTCTTACTTCCCCAAGCACAGCCTTCTCTGGAAGGGGAGACAAAGGGAAGAGGAAATGGACAGAGTGACTCTGCTGAAAAACTTGCAGTATTTACTATGCTTCTTCTGCAAAGACAGTCAACAAACTGGAGAAGGAGAGTGTTGCTCACACCAGCCCAAGATAGGCCCTTTCCTCCAAATTTGCCTCAGAGAGAGGAGGAGAACATCCAGAGTTATATACCTACATGTGTCACTTATACCACTTATACGTCAAGTGAATAGGAGAATTCACGGGCAAGTCTGAATGCTCTGTTTAGAAAAGGATCAAAAAGCAAGTGAATGAAAATTACCATGTTCCTTTAACTTAGCCCAATTCTCTGCTGACTTTTTTATTCAATATGTTTGTGTGGAGTTGGAAGACAAACAACTGAGCAAGTCTTCAGTATCCCACCTCAGACACAAAGTAGAAAGTGGCAAATTCTTCATTAAGTAATTCCCAAAGCCTGCTATTTTTCAAGGTGCTCTGTTTCTTCAGATACCTTATTCATTTAAATGTGGCAAAGCCTATATCAGTCGTAGTTCACTATCCTTGAATTGTTTAACCCATTGGTTGTTGGGTCCGCACGAAAGCAAGCATGTGAGCTACCTTATGGTTTGTTTTGCTTCCTGATTATAAACCAATCCAGGATTGTTCTGTTTGCTGTCATGACCAAACCTGGCACTCTGAAGGACAAAGAACCCAGAGTTTGAACCAAAAGTTTATTGGTAATTTGGTGAAACTTATCTCCAAGAACCAACCAGTCAGCTCAAACACATCCCAGAATTACATAAAATTCTCAAAAGCCCTGGCTGCTGCTAATTTCTCTTGCACTTTAGCATATAAAGTATATTTCCATAGGTATTACATGTATCCTCTGAACAACTATGCAAAGTTGTTATTATTTCTGTTGGGTAGATTTTATTTATTTATTTAAATACAGAAAATGACATTGATTTGCCAAGCCCCTAAAGAAAGGAGTGGCAACAAAATGTTAGATGCCAGAAGACGCTGGCTAGCAAGGTATTTGTAATCTACATAGAGGTCATAGTGTTGATTAATGGCTTGAATCTGAAGTTCTGTAACTTACTCTTGGAAGATTCACAGGTCTACAGTTCATATATGGGTAAAAAAGTATTTTCTGTCCTCTTTCTCCAGGGACTGCAAGCCAGCAATCTTCATTGTACCCAGTTATCTCTGCTACCATGTCCTTGTCAGGACTCATTGATTTCCAAGAGCCCAATCAAGATATTCAGACACCTGTTCTGGATAAGGGGGAAACCATGTTATCTGGTCAGTCTTCCTCTAACTATTCTCTGTTGCTCTCTTCACTGAAGATTGAAGAAAACAGTATACCATTGGACAATACTATCTCAGAGCAGTGCAGCAGTTCCTTTCAAAGCCAGACCTTTCCCTCTGAACTGCCTGCTAAAAAAGATCCCAAAGAGACAACTGAACAGCCTGAGCAGACAGCTGTCTCTTGTTTAGTTTCCAAGGAGAGCAAAATAAGCAAGAAAAAGAAGAAGTTGAAGAAGAAAAAAGCACTGAGGGCAGCCCATGTACCTGAGAACAGTGACACAGAACAGGATGTAAGTGATTCAAAACCTTATAGGAAAGTCAAGACTATAAAAGTGCCTAAAGGGGAAAAAGTGACAACCTCCACTCCTCCAAAGCAAGAAGATGCAGGGGTTGCTCAAGAAGGAAAGCAGAAGAAAGAAGAGAATGAGAGTGACACATCTCTGGAATTTGTGGAAATCCCCAAATCTCTTGAAGTGGTGGCCATCACTTCATCAGAGTCAGGAGATGAGAAACCAGATAGTCCTTCCAAGAGAGATGCCTTGAGCTCCTCAGAGCACCTATTGAGAGAAGCATCTCGATTTGGCTATGATGAAGTGAGCTCTACCAGTGAGATTGGAACGAACTATCGAGATAACATTCACAAAAGGTGAGCTAGAAAGCTGGGAGAATATCCAGCACAATGGTTGTGGAATGCACACAAGCACAGTGCAAGCAGAATCTAGTGCAAATTAATGCTTCTGGAATGGGACAGATCCATAGAGCTGCTTTCTTCAGGGTGCTCTGGCTTGTTCATTTCCTTAAGCACTAACTGGGGCTAATTGCCTGAGTTTCACTAGCAAATGATAGTTTCTATTTGTGCTCATATTAGTTGCTCTAAGGCAGTATATTTAGTGGTAGCCAACCAACAGAATTTGCTACTGCCTTCATTTGTACATTGATTGTGTATTGGTGTTACTGCAGTGCTTTTTAATCTGATGATGATGGTGTTGGGTTTTATGGCTTCTTAGGGTGCAATCCAGTCTGGATGCCTGGAACCATCTGAATTTGGAGGATTGCAGGCATCCTGTATGGGGTGGGAGGAATATAGAGGCAAGAGAGCATGATGCTAATGGGCGGCCTTTACACTAAATAAATAAATAAGGTTTTCTGATGTCACTGTTGTGACCTTGCAGGGCAGCCGGTGTGCTCCTTTTTATACTGGCTGTGAGGTGAGCAAGGAGGGTACTCAAAGTTTGGAGAACAAGTTGTGAGGCCAAAGTGCTTTTCCAACCTTGTAGCTTGGTCTCAAAAAGTCCTATTTTTTCTAGACTCTGTCTAGCAGCCATAGAGTTATTAGTAAGTTCACAATTGGTCTTTTTAGTCTTGTTTGTTTCCTCGGGAGCTTCTGGACAGATATGAGTTTTATAAATGTCATACATAATTAAGTAGAAATCTTCAATACAGAACATCTTCTGTAAATCCTTCCATAGAATGGAACTCTTGTTCTACACAGCGCTTTGCAATTGCTAATGACAAGGACTTTTTCCTAGAATTCAGGTCAGTTCTTCTTCCCAATGAGTACTTTCCCCAGATCTTACATTAAACCGTCTTGAGAATCTGTCTTTTTATGTGCTTTGCTTAACATTTTTGTAATAGCAGGACATTCTGTTTCTTCCATAGTGTGGCTGAGACTCAGACATCCATATCATCAATAAAGGGATCAAAAAATTCATCAGGTACATCCATTTCTATATTTTTTAATGGAGAAATGAGTTGAATGATTTTGAGAGAAGGGGGGTAAACAAAGTCATATATAGATTGGGGGGGCATTTTTATATCCTGAAAATTCAGTGGCCAGAAACTTGCTTTAAAATGACTTCGTAATAAAAATAAAGATTCCAGACTGATTTTGGATTTTTCCCATGGAAAAGAAGCCAGACATTTCTTAGTTCTTGGCTGTCTTTTCTTCTGTCCGATTAGAGTTTAACTTTCATTTCTCAATTGCCATTCAGCCTCTGTTCTTTCAATAGATTGTTATAGTAAGTCCACCATGATTGCTGCCACCTAACATATACTAAGAAAGAACTAAAAGACTGAGCGCTTAGCATAGTATCCTTAAACCCAAGACCTGAGGCATTTCAGACATTTTTTTAAATCTGAGGTGAACTTCAACAGCTTACTTACCCAAATGTAAAACATCGGGCAGTGAACAGATGGTTGAAGCTAGCTTTTATGGTGCTATGCTATTTGTGGTTGCCACTCTGCTGTTTGAATGTATCTAAAGGTTTCTGTGTTACAGATTTAGGTGGCTCAACTGATATTCAGGCAGCACAAATGGGCATCCACATTCCAAACAATCCAAAAACAAACACATTGTCCACAAATAGAATATATAGTTTTTAAAATTTAAAAATTACTTTAAAATTATTTCAAGGAATTTAAAATGTTGAAACCTATGAAATCTTTTAATTTTAAATTGTTAACATCTATAAAATGGATGCAGTAATGGTAGTCATTTTGTTTGCTTTTGATAATAGAATGAAACTATATACCCCTTCTCCCAATTTAAGATTCATGACACATTTCTAATGCGTCCTAAAGCCAAAAACTGTTTCAGTAGATTTATTTGTTCATCCCGTACTGTGTTATTTTTCTAGCCAGTCCTATGTTAAAATTTGGCTCCATTTCTGATTCTTTCAGCCAATAAGCTTGTAACAGTTATACTTTGTTTTTTTCCGATTGTGTGATAAATTTAATTAGTCCAACACCTGGCAGTTTTGAATTGAAGTTTTCTTTCTTTAGTTTTCTTTTCCCGTGGTATTATGCGCAGCCTATTTAATTAACTGTAGCTGTTGACAATTGCATTGGACAGAAGTCTCTTCAGAGCTGGGTGAAGATGAAGAACCAACAGAAGGGGTCTTTGAGGGACATTCTGCTGCAGTGAATGCCATTCAGATTTTTGGAAATTTGCTGTACACCTGCTCAGCAGACAAAACTATCCATGCATATAACTTAGTGGTAAGTAGTCTTGTTAAGGAGTTTGTGCTGGTTTCACAGCTTCTATTCCCACGTAAAGTGTCATGAGAAATGAGCATGGCTTACAGCAGACAAATGCAGTGAAACCATTGATATTTAAAGAAGCTCACATTTTCAGTATCCAGGAGTGTGAAGTGCGGGGACAGAGAGCTAAGAATAGCAATGCATTTTAGCTGTGAGTACTTGGCACCTTTCGTGAGACCAGACGTTTTGGCTAGTTGAATATACATGCATAGCTAATGAAGTGCAATAAAAATATGAACTCTTGTTCCTAGGGGTATCAGAATTTATCAGTACTGCTTTATGAAGAATTTGCTGTTCAAGATACTGCTTGTTGTTGCCCTATCAGAAGTGGTCTCAATAAGAGAGGATTTGTTGTTGTTGTTATACTGCATTTATATCCCACAGTTTTTCCTCTTGTGAGGAACCCAAAGTAGCTTATGTAGTCTTCTACCACTCCATTATATCCCCATAACAGCAACCCTTTGAGGGGTGGGTTAAGCAGAGAGTGAATGACTGGCCCAAAGTCACCCAGTGAGCTTTAGGGCTGAGTGGAGTCTAGAATCTGGGTCTCCCAGGTCCCTTGTCCAGTACTCTAACCACCAAACCACACTGGCTGTTGTTTCCATTGTGGGTTGCAGGTGTTACCTCTGGTGCCCCCTGTACACGTTTGTATACCTCACCTTTTTTCTTCGTGCATGATAATTATTAGCTTTTACATTGCACATCATGAAACAGAAGGGGTTAAATTCATGAAGTTATGGGTTGCAGCCAACTTTAAAATGCTGATTGATAGGTCATTTCTCCCATCTACACTACAGTAACAGAAAATATAGGGTGGTCTCAGATATGGATCTCATAAACTAGCTTCAGAGAGCCTAGGTTGCTATTACATTTCTGTTTGAACAGTCATGTGCCCCTACTGCATGTGTATTCTGATGAACCTAAAAGCACTTAAACCAGAAACTTGTGTTTGGTTTGTAATGCAGAATGTGTGGGTGTGCTTTGGTTGGTGATCAGAACGTAATTGAATAAATAAATCTTGAAATGCTTTGCTCTGCCTCTCACAGAACAGGAAATGTGTTGGTGTCTTTGAAGGACATACCTCCAAGGTGAACTGCTTGCTTGTGACTCAGACAACAGGGAAACATGCTGCGCTCTATTCTGGCTCCAGTGACCACAATATACATTGTTATAACATCAAGGTAAATGTAGTCACACTGTTGATGCCTTTGTGGGGATGTGTGAACCTAGCTCAACACACATATCCCTTTATAATCTGGCTAATTTCTTCCTTTTTCACATTACAAAACTGACCCAGAGGTGGATTGCAGTATTAAATTTAACCTCGCATTTTGATTACTTTGTCATTGTGGCTTGAAGCTCCATTAACAATGAGAGAAATCCTAGGCATTTCTTTACCTCTCTGTGCAGTTCTGGCCTTCTAAAAATCCAGTGCTATCTTAGAAAAATGTTGATGCCAAAACTTCCCCAATTCTTTAGTATAGTATACTGTTACCTCTTAAAGTGGAACAGTTGGGAGCGCTACACATCTTACTGTTTAAAAACCCTGTCACTTAGATAAATATACAGCATTTCTGGACTTCAAGCTAATACAAATCTAAAAGAGTTTGATAGCTTATATACACGGAGGAAACCAAGACTGGGTTTACACAACTGGGAAAGGAAAAGAAACCACAGAGGCGTCTTCTCCGGGGTTTGCGCATGCCGTTTAAGCGCTGTCCCATTTCCATAATTACCTTCGCCAGGCACAGGGTGGCATGTCATCCAAAGCTGGCTAAGTGGGCAAGGGGGCGGCTTATTCCAGGGTTCCGGAGTTATTTGAAAGCCACCCCCACTGCCCAGTGTTCATGGTTTCAGGTGACACAGGAACCCACACCCAGTGAGGGTAATTATGGAAATGAGACTGCACACAAATGCCACATGAGGGGCAGGGAAAAGAAGCCACCATAGTTTCTTTTCCTGTATTGGTCATGCAAACTCAGTAAATGAATTTGCACAATGTAGACATGAATAAACTACAGCATACAGCAGTCCAGCTAAGGCAGTTTAAATATGCTCATAATTAAATTTGCATTTGGAATTAGAATATTTGCTTCCTCCAGTGTTCTCCATGGGACTTGGCTATCATGTGGAGTCAAGGCCTGTAGTCTTGCCCTGTCTAGATAAATCACCTGTTTCATTCTGCTTGTGTAGCAGCCTAGCTTTGCCAGGCTAGGTGATCCTCTTGTAATCACCTGGTTTATAAAAGAAGCTAGCTTTCAGGTTCCCTCTTCAGGCTTATTTGTCTACAGGTGGTTTTGAAAGTGTTCAGTTAATAGTTTGGTTTTTCTCTTAACAGACTAGAGAGCTTGTGGATCAGTTTAAATTGGATGACCGTGTGCTCTGCCTGCATGGTAGATGGAGAATTCTTTACGCGGGACTTGCAAATGGTAGTGTGGTCACTTTCAATATAAAGGTCAGTATGACAGCCATGCACTCCAGGGGCACCTGCACCTGGTTCATCATCTAAAAAATGTCTGCCAACTTGCATGGTAATCTGAAAAAAAAAACCCTTAGTATTTCATGTGTAAATTGCTGTGGGTCAACCTCTGTAGATGCAGAAACAAAGGCTGAGAGAACTGGGCATGTACAGCCTTGAGTGGGGACATGATATCACTCGATACATACCTCAAAGGCTGTCACAAAGAGAACGACTAGTTTGCACAACGAAAATGAGCCACCATTGCTTATGTGAGCCATGGTACATCCCAGCAAGTGTTGGGCACAATTTGCATAATCACTGCCTAGCTGCAGCTTTCCATATTGTCCAGACCTGGACAGCATGGCTTTTTGGAGGTGTTAATCAACTCTCGGATAACTCTAGAGTTACCTATGGGTTTTTAAGGTTGTTTAACCCTACAGCCTCAGCTGGGTGGTGATTATGTAACTAGCACACCACTGCAGCTCACTAAGCCATGGTGTCTTAAGTCACAGTGCTTTATTTTGCTCATGTGAATCTGGTCACTGTATAAGCTGGGGGTGGACAGAAGGTAGATATCCAGATGTTTGGGATTTGAGTTTCCAGCATGGCTAATGGCCAGGAATTCTAGGAGTTGCTTTGAATAAATAAATTCTTTCTGTAAAAACATTTCATACAGAAAATGCTAATCAGGACTGACATTCTTAATGAAGAACATCTTTTAAAAGGCTAAATATATAAATGGATATTTGAAACTCTTGGGAGCTAGAATAGCATTCAGATAGCATATATTGATTCAGTCAAAAACCATATGAATAGCTGATTGTACTGCTAATTTGTGGTTGTTGGGATGTTGCTTTTTCAGAATAACAAACAACTTGATATCTTTGAGTGCCATGCCCCTAGAGCAATCAGCTGCCTTGCCACAGCCCAGGAAGGGGCACGGAGGTTGCTGATTGTGGGATCCTATGATTGTACAATCAGTGTGCGAGATGCTCGAAATGGACTGCTGCTTCGAACGCTTGAAGGCCATAGCAAGACGGTTCTCTGTATGAAGGCAAGTTGCTCAAAATGAACGCCTCTTATTGGACGCCCTTCACATGCGTTGTTCCTGCTTTTGAAGCAGTTCAGCCATGTAATGAACCTCCTTCCTCTCCATTTATTACCTTTGGTGGGTCTTTTTTAGGAGCAGTATCACTGGAAGGGCTTTATACCAGGTTAGAATGTTGGTTCACCTTGTTCTTTGTTGTCTGCACATACTGGCAATGGCTCTCAGGGTTCCAGTTAGATGTCTTTCCCAGCCCTAGTTGGAGCTGCTGGGGATGCTGCATCCACAGCGTGTGTTCTGCTACTGGGCTATAGTTCTTCACCTAATTGCAAATACTTATTCACCATTTCTAAAAAGAATGAGGTGGCATTCCTCTGTGATCTGTTCTCATCCCTCTGCTTTGTTTTTACTTTACACCAACAAAGAACTGAATATCGCTTCTCCCAGATTTCCAACAGGTTGTCTCTTTGCTATTTCGCTTACCAAGAGAGAACTCCTCATTTTTTCTCCCAAGCTTGTCTCATCTTGTATGGTCTCCACACCATTAACAACATCACCATCCACCTACTTGATTACAGCACAAAGCACTGACCTGCTTTAGTTGCTCATCATATTCAACTTGTTGCCCTGTTGCATAGCTAACTAATACAACATTGCAAAAATATGGTCCTTCCTCTCTGCCCTCACTGAAAGCGCTGGTTATATCTCCAGTTTTGACCACTGCAATTTCTCCTTGCTGGCCTTTCACTCTTCACTTTGAAATTAATAAATAGTGATGATGATAACGATGTGCTTGGATATCAGGATGAATATCATGCTCTCTTTCTCTCTTTACCTCTGACAACCAAGTAAAGATGTTGAGTGGGATTTTCATGTTTGACCAGATGCAGCTTCCACTGCCTTCCAAATATAGTTAAAAAAATTTTTTGGCGGTAAGGAGGAAAATCATCCTTGGTGGCTGTGCAGCACCCAAAGGGTCAGAATTAGTTTTCAAACAAGCTACTTTTCACACTTCAGGTTATCTGTGGTCAGTGTGGACACCATTTTTAATTTTTAAAAAGTTTTTTGAAATCCATTGGTATATCCAGGGTGCAAAAATGGCCTGTGGATCTCCTGAAGTTGCCTATTCATGCTACAGGTAATAGTAATCTTGATGCACAACTGAAATAGGAACAGAACAGTTTGCCATGAGTTTGCCACTAAGTGTATGGCTGCATTAAAATTTGAGCCTACTTCAGCTCATTTGTGTAGAGCAGATCATGGTTAATCATGTTTTGTATTTGGAAGGAAAGCATCATTTATTGTTTATATACTTGTGAACTGCTCAGAGTTTCAGCTATGGGTAGTATAAAAATGAAATAAAAAATCATCATCAGCAACAACAAAATGCTGTGGGTAATCTGAGTATTTGATTGTGTTTTTTCCAAGGTTGTTAATGATCTGGTGTTCAGTGGTTCCAGTGATCAGTCTGTCCATGCCCACAACATACATGTAAGTGGCTCATATGCTTCAAACTGTGCAAATATTGTGACATTTGAAAAGTAGGGTTACATTTTTCAGAAAACCAATAGCTAAATCACAAAGTTGACCACTTTTACCAATTTCCTAAATTGATATTAAATTGAGGAAGTAGAGCACCTTTATTTTTGAATGCAAACACATGAACACTAATCTATGCAAAGCATGTCAATTGAAAAGAATGTGCAAGTAGCCATGTTTTTTCTAAATCATGGCTGGGGAACTGTTTGTGGTTCCCACCTCCAGACCTCTTCTGTGCCTAGGCTAGCAAGTGCTCTAGTTAAGCTCCTGAGCTGGATGTTAAATATAGACAAAGTTCAGACAAAGCAATAAGCTACATTCAAGGGTTGAGTATGGGTGGTCTTTACACTGTAAATTGTTGAAATCTGGGTTATTGTATTGTCTAAACCCATGACTTTTTAACCACAAACCATGAAAGAACCCATGGTTTATTGTTGGTTTGTGAACTGTGAGTTGCTCACCTGAGTTTGCAATCTTGGCTGGATTCAGACAACACTAACCCATGTTTCAACAACAACCAATGGTTCAGTGATAACCTTTTCACAACCCATGCTCAAGAGTTATCATGTTGTCTGAACCCAGTAGCTGCCCTAATAATATTTGCAACTATAAGATTTAACTTATATTTTGTCATCTGCTGCATGGGTATAATACCCACTATTGGTGAGCTGCATTTGGCCTTTTCTGTCTTGATGCTGACATTTCTGGAATTTGTTTTGCTTTCTACTGGATAATAACTGAATAAGGGTGAGTTCCTAATAGACATATGTAGAGGTTGACCTTCATTTTGTAGGTGAATAAATTAAACTGGGTTATTGATGTTGAAACAGTTGAGCAGAGGTTCAGTGTCAGCTGTTTGCTGTAGTGTTTACTTTGCTGACATGTTTGATTTAAGGAATGAAAACTGTACTGAAATCCATGAACCTGTCAAGAATCTTTAACATAATCTTTAAGACATTGATGTTCTTATTGGTATATCCATTCATGCTGTAATGATTACCTTGGTGCAGACAGGAGAGCTGGTGCGGATCTACAAAGGGCACAACCATGCTGTGACAGTTGTGAACATCCTGGGGAAAGTGATGGTAACAGCCTGCTTGGACAAATGTGTTCGTGTCTATGAGCTTCAGGTAACAGAGACCACTTTCCTTATTCATATTCCAATGAGTGTTGCTTTTGGTGATGACTGCTGAAGAACAGCGGCATCCTTTGCTCTAGTTCTGTCTCTCTGTACAGTAGATGGAGATGCTGAGCTTTTGTTTGATCCTGAGAGATGGCTTGATTTTCAAATATTTAATGAGGGATCATATAAAACAGCCCTTCTTTTTCTGGTTCCAAGTTGGGCTTAAAGCAGCTTTTCCCAGCCTAATTCCCACCAGTAGCTGTGCTGGCTGGAAATTACAGGGCTTGCACCCTGGCACATCTGGAGCTCAACAAGTTGGGTAATTCTGGTTTAAGCAATTAGAAATGCCTGCATGAATGAGGTGGTTCAGTGGCTCATTTCTCTAAATTGAGTAACTGCTAGGTAACTTGTTCTGTTCTACAGATCAATCCTCCAGTGAGATCTTAACATACTTGTGCAGAAGATGCATGTTTTTTCTTTGGTTTTCTTCAGCTTATTAATCCTGTGTTCACAAGGCTTGTTGTTAAATGCTTGTATGTTTTGGAACATTTTATAAAATGTACACAGAAGAGCTATGGAGTGCAGGTTTTCCCAGGAAGGAGAAATTTGTTATGGTGTCTGTGCCTTTTAGGTGTGTGAGCTTATCCTTAAATGAATGCAGAATTTTTGGCTTATAAAATGTCTGACATTCTTTTTTTTCTTCTCATTTAAAGTCTCATGATCGCTTGCAAGTCTACGGAGGACATTCAGATATGATTATGTGCATGACCATTCATAAGAGCATGGTAACAATTTTTCTTTTTCATAAAAATCACAGCTTCTCCTTCTCTCGAGGTTATCCGGGAATGGGTTGCTCTTCCCACCTGCTTTGTAGGTAGAGCTATGCTAACAAGTTGGTGCTTGGTTCCCTCCAGATATTGGAGCAGTCCATCCTCCAGTGTTTGCAACTGCCAGATATTAAGCATCCTGTCCCATGCTTTCCAAATATCCTTGTCCAAAGATCTTGAGACTCCCAGAGCAGTATCTCATGAGGGGCTGCTAGCAGAAGAAGCCTTCCTGGCTGAGTTGGGCCTTCTGGGTACTGTATTGCAGTAGTTCCAGTTCTCTGTTGTTTCATGTCCAAAGGGTGCTGCTGGGAGTCTACAGAGCACCATGACCTTTGGTGAACCATGGGGGCCTGTCTTATCCCCCATGTTTAGCCATGTGAGAGCCAATGTGGTGCAATAGCTAGAGCATTGAACTGGCGCCTCAGAGTCACAGGTTCTAGCACCCATGCAGCTGTGGAGCCCACTGGGGGGCTTTGGCCACTCACTGACTTTCAGCCTAACCTACCTCATAAGGCTGTTGGAGAGGAGAAGAACAGCTCCTTGGAGTAAGGCAGGATATAAATGTAAGGAGTACCTACATCAAGGTTGGGAAATGTGTTATTGGACTGTATATGCAGTTAGACTGCAGCTAGGGATGTTGGAGAAATCTGCAACAGACTCCGATGTGGTCAGACTTCTAAGAATGTGGATTCTGCAGTGGATCAGCTTTTCCTATGTTGTGCAGACCTGCAGACCGGGGTTTTGTTTTGTTTTTACTCTCATTAATTATTTGCACATTTAGCCATAGAAAAATATTGGGGAAAATGACCAAAAATGCGTATTTCCCCCATGAGTTAAGGCATGAAAAATGCATTTTGTATGTGATTTGCATATGTTGGAGTTTGCATATCTCTAGATACTTGTATACAAATTTGTTCAAAATCCAGTTCCATCAGTGAGCAATACAACAAAGGCCACCTGTGTATCTGCAAAATGCAAATAGAATGAATCTGTATATCCCTAACTACAACTCTCATCAGCCCCAGCCAGCATAGCCAATGGGGGATGATGGAAGTTGTAGTCCAACTACTAAAGGCCACTTATTTCCCATCCCAAATCCTATTTCCTCTCACCTTTTAACTTCTTGAATCTGTTAGCCCAGAATGCCTGTCTTATTCTGAATGGCATTGCCACAAAATCTTGGGATTCAATCTACTTACTTGTAGGGAAAAGGGCTAAAACTCCCAGTGTGTCCCAAACAGCATGCAGAGTTAAAGATTTGTCTCTGATATCAGCCATGTGCTTACAGGCACTTGTGCTACTAAATATTTCATTTATTTAGGAAAGTTGTCTGAATTTATTTACCTTGCTTGATACTGGGAAATTTTGTTTAGTTGATTATCTTTACTGGTGTAGCATAGTGGTTAAAATGTTGGACAGGAACTCCAGAGATCTGGATCACTGACGCTTAGCCTAACCTAACTCACAAGGTTGCTGTGAGTATAACATGAAGAGGAGGATTATGTAAGATGCCTTATCTTTGCAGGGAAAAGAAGGTCTGATATAAATATGATATAAATATAAAAAAGACGGGTACAATCCTTTGACCACTAGGCCTTGTCTAGATGACCACTGCATGGGTCAGGACCACAGCTCTGACCCCAGAAATGTGTTCCAAGGTTGAGTTGGGACTCAGAGTTCCTTCCTGCCACCCTTGTGAGGCATGGTTTAGAGCCGGTGCTGAGGGGAGGGGAGGGGAGGAGTGATGCTCCAGTGGGACATGAGGAATCCTGATGGTGCCCCAGCCCCTCTCCTACACTCAATTGGATGCCATAATCCTCCAAACTCAGAGGTTACAGGAGGCCACATAGGATGACACCCTAAATAAATGAAGAGTGTTCTGGTCAGGGTACAATTTTGAAAGTAGCGCCATTGCTTGATACATTTAGGATATTATGGATGAAATAGTATGTATGCTTAGAGAGTAGAAACAGAGCAAGTCAGAAGGGGCCTCCTGGGCCATCTAGTCTGACTCCTGGCTCTAGCCGGCTCCCTCGCAACATGCCAAAAAACCTCTACAGTCTTGCATTCCCTAGACAGCATAGCTAGCTGAAGGAATACTGAGAGCAATATGAGGTTTTCCTCTCCAGACACGCATAAGATTGCACTCTTGCTTTCTCTGAAACCTTTTATTCTATTCCCTTTTTAGATCTACACTGGCTGTTACGATGGTAGTATTCAAGCTGTGCGACTAAACTTGATGCAGAATTATCGTTGTTGGGTAAAGATCAATGCATTTTTGCTCCTTAGATTTAACTTCTATCTGTTTGGTTTGTATCCTGCCTCTCAATAAATATACCCAAGGACAGTAACAATAAAATCCACAATGGAAGTAACATAGAGTCACAATCCAAATAATATAAAACACCTGAAAATCAGATAAGTCAGTTCAAACATCATTATATTAACATACAGATCAAAACACACAGAAATAAAAAAACAGTTCTGTAGGCCAAATGCCTGTTTAAATCAAGTTTTTCACCTATAGGCTGAAAACCATTTCATTTTTTCCAACCCAGGCAGTTGAAGAAGAATTCTCCTTACCAAGTAGTCTCAAATGATAAGTTCACATAATGCTATCCTAGCATGCTGCCAACAGAGAGTAGGAGCTGGAAAAGGTATCCATATTAGGGCACACAGAAGACTCAAGACTTACGCTTCAGCAGTGCAGCTCAAAATTGGTCCCTGTTGCAAGTGCACCAGCTGTGCTGCCTTGTTCAGAATTGCTTACATGGGAATGGCTGCCGTTATGTAGGGAGTCCCCTTGCAGTTGCCAGGTACAAAGCAAGCACACAAAATTCATCACAGGATTGCCGTTCCTGGGAAATATAGTAGATTCTCTGGCTGGAGCTGTAAGCCATGAAGCTAAGTGCAAGCTATTGGAGTGTTTTTATGTTTATGCAATTGTTTGATTTGTACCCTGCCTTTCTACCAAAAATTCAGGTGCCTTGTGTTTTCTAATACCCTACCCCACTCCACTTCCATATCAGTTCACACCACAGAAGAGTCAGCCCACTTGAAAAAAAGATATGTGTCTCAGCTGTATAAACTGCTGTGAGGAATATTTTCAAGCAAGTTCTGGCTTCACATAAACGTTGACTTCTGCTCACAGCGAACATTAATGCTATTCTTCTTTAACCCTTGCATACAGAAACTGTTGCTCTAATGGTAACTTTATTTTAATTTTATATTGTTATCTATGCACATGGCACATTGCAACCAACAGATTGGACAAGATTCTGCACACAAGGGGTGCTTGGCATGTAAATTAGTCATATGAAAACAGTGGAGGAGGGTAGAAGAGAAAGACGATGGAGCAAACTACACTGTTAGTTTTTATTGTATTTTAGTGTGTTTTATTGTTCAAATCTATTTTAAATTGTTTGATAAACTGTCTTAAGCACCATTTTTGATAGAAAGTCAGGGTAATTCAAATAAACAAACTGGGGAAAATATGAGATTATTTCAGTTACACACAGTTTGACTTAAATCAAATGTGGGGACTGCCTGGTCATCCAGATGTTGTTGGACTGCAGCTCCCATGAGCATTAGCCAGTGTGGCCAATGGTCAGGGAAGATGGGAGTTTGTTGACTGGACAATATTTTAAAGGTTATAGGTTCCACACCCCTGGCTTAGTGATGTGTGTATAAGCGCTCCTTAGTTTCCATATGCATAGGGTTGAGGCTGATCTCTGACATTTTTGTGAGATTAGACTATCTACAGCTCCATTTGGTACATTTAGCAAAGGTGTGCGGAAAAATTCCTTCTCCCTGTATACCTTATGCCTGTTTTGTGTTGTACTTTTTGTGCTGTTGACATTCCATTTCTCTAATGTTTCTTTTACACCTCTCTTGCCAGTGGCATGGATGCTCACTGATCTTTGGCGTAGTGGACCACCTGAAACAGCATTTGTTAAATGATCACACAAATCCAAACTTTCAAACACTGAAGTGTAGATGGAGAAACTGTGATGCTTTCTTCACCTCCCGAAAAAGTTCCAAGCAGGTATGTAGCAAAGAAACAGAATAAACTAAAACTCAGAGGAAACTTTTGGGCATGCATATCATATCAATTTTTTATGCAATAGATGATCAGTATTAATGTGGATAATCAGTAAATGCAAAGTTGAGGCTGCACTCCTGTGGTTCCTGCATCAGGGGCCAGACAATAAAGCAGATCAGACTTCAGAGTAAGGAAGGAAACCTGTCCTTGCACCCTTTCTTGTTGCAAGCACACAAGTCTGCTGTTGGTGGTCCAGGGATAACAGTGCAAAAAGGGTATGCTGGGTTGGATCAGGGAACTTTGACTCCACCAGAACCAAAGTGGCCCCTTTCCCCTGACACATTCCTGGAACAACTGCAAAAGTAAGCCAATCCTGGCATTCTCTACTTATTAGAAAATTTCTAAAATGCGCAGAGGTCATCAGAGTATGCATATGCTCTTAATATCCTGTCTTCCATTTCTTCAGTTTTCCTTAGCATGACAAATTGTTTGAATCGTTGCCAGACAAAACAATTTCTCTGATATGAATCAAATATATAATTGAGAATAATCATTGTAATTACTGAGGAATGCCTCTGTATAAAATAGGGCTTTGATCCAAACTTTGCTGCTGTCATTGGACATAAGAGGAGGCAACTTCCATCTCTTGCAGCCATTTATGTCCTCTGAAAATCTGCTTCAGAGGTTCAGGGATGCCTCTGAAACAATAGGGCAGGGCTGAACAGGAAGGAGGGAATCAGTGGGTATTGTTTCTCCCAATTCAGCCAGTGGATTCTTCCATGAGATGGACAAGCTTCCTGCTATGGATGGAAGGAACCTTTCCATTTATAGAAGACTGACTTAGGTTCCCATCATATATAATTGGTCAGTGGATCACAGCAAAGAACCAGTATCTGCATGCATGCAACAAGCACCCCTCATTATTGTCGTTGGCCTGAAAATTCAGAGAACTGAGTAGGCTGTTACTACAGCTGGAAGAGGGATTTATTGTATTAATGTTTCCCTGATTCTTTGGATTGCATAGTCAAATTCCTTAAGCAAATGTCCCACCACCATTGTTTGATATGCTTTACAGAGAAGGCTAGGTTCACCTAAAAAGCAGATTGGGGTCACATTTATAATGTGCAACCAGCTGGCATGGGAGAGAAGTGCTTTGTATTACAGTCTGTTCAATGAAGCAGCAAACACAGACTGATCGGAAGTCTGGCACTTGTGTGGAATTCTATTCACTGATGTGTTTAAATCTTTTCTAAGTTTAAACTGTTTGATACAAACTGCTGGTTTGTAATTTTTCCCTCTCCCTTTTTCTTCAATCAATAGGATGCAGTGGGACACATTGAAAAACACGCAGAGGACGATAGCAAGATAGACTCATGAAGCTTTTTCACCTCCCACATTGGGAAGTACCTTTTTATATACTGAAAGTATTCCATGCTTTGTCCATCTCTTGTCTTCTCCTTTTTCTGGCTCCAGTTCATATCTGGGGTGTGAAAAGGACACAGACCTTTTTCTTTTCTTTTCTTTTCTTTTTTTGCTACAGAGACAGCATTTTGCTTGCAGCTCTGTAGAGAAGGGAATAATGGACAGACTCAGACCAAACAAAACATTTTTTTTTACTTGTTAATGGAGACAAACCAAAACATCCTTCATTCTATCTGCCCTGTCAAAGAAGAGCATTGTGCACATCAAAGATTTGATATTCAGATGAATGTTTGTACTCACATCAGTGCCTACGTACACTGTTTATCCATCTGTTTTATGTTGTGTGCAGGTCATTTTTGGATTTGGATAACTTTAATAATAGCAATTAACTCAACTCTGACTAAAAATACCTCTATTTCTTTCCATTACATATTTGAATCACCTCTTTTGATGAGAGATATTAATCAAGAGTAGTTGAGTAAATGAATGGCTTTACTTTTAAACTTCAATGTATGATGTGACTTATTTTCAGTTCTAAGTGCTAAGTCTGCACTGTGAGTCATTATTGATTTTCTGCACATTTTAGCCCCCAAAGTGGCTTGTGATGACTAAACAGCGAAATGTCTATTCACTGCAAATTCTTTCATAGTTTTTAAGTTACTAGGCACCTTGATGCAAAGACCAGTACAGATAACAACTTCAGCTTTAAAACATAGTTATCTGTGCATTTGTATTCATTGCTCCCTTGCCACAATACTAGGACTGTGTTCCTATTTCTGAGCATTTATTTGTTAAATGTAAGGCTTGTTCTGGCATTTAAAATTGCTGCATTTTGCAGTCCTGCACCTTTATTGAACATGCTCACTGATAGCTGGGCAGTGTATGCTCTGAAAGCAGCTTTTGGTGGCCATCTTTTCCAACTATAATGTGGTTTTATTTCCACTGAATACCCTTAAGTTACTAAAGTCATGTAAAAAGAAAGGCTGTTGGGTGTAAAACAATATTTTACAGTCCAAAGAGTGCAAGCAGAAGCTGAGGGGGGTGTGTGTGTGTGTGTGTGTGTGTGTGTGTGTGATATGCTGCCATCTGGAATAACATGATAGGAGAAGCAGTGTGAGAAACCAGTAAAATTAGAAGACAGTAGTTATAGTGCAAAGAAGTGAAATGTGTGCATGGGGCAGAATGTACTTAAACTCAGTGCTCTTTGGGGATAGCAGTTCCATTGTTCATTTCATGATATGATTCATTCTTCAGATCTCTGCCAGTGTTCTCGTTATCACTTGCTTCAGTCTTTCTGGCTTGTTCCTATGGAAAACTGTGAATTCCAGTAACAATCTAGAGACATCTGAGAGTATAGACTTTGCTTGTTTCATTTTATTATTTTAGGTGATGTGTAGAAATGATAAACAGAGCAAAGGTGACATGGGGAAGTGTTCTTAACAGCTGGGTGCAAGATATTGAACAGACTGCAAGCTGTATGTTGCTTTTCATGGACACCTTAACAAAGAACATGGAGATGTTATGGACCCTTCCCTACTCTCCAATATTCTTAGTGTATTTTGAGCCAAGGTGTTCATCTAAAATTACAGCAGAAGACCACCCTTTTCTGCAAATTGAATTTGCTTCCATGTAGCCCTTAAGATCTTTCCTTGACAGAGGAGTGGAATAAAACATTTAAGACTATCATATCTCTAGATAGAGTACCCTCCTTTTGCCTTCGTGTCCCAACCATGGTTTGAAGACTCAGAGCATTCAAGAATTTGCTTCTAATTTTCTATTACGTGTGTTCGAGAAATGTATGGAGAACCTTTTCAGGGAGAACTGGCAAACTGTACCAGGGATTTCGCCCATCCCCTTGCAGTCTGTTTCTGGTCATAGTTGTTTTACTATTTGCCAGCTTTCCTCACAGTGAGAGAAAATAAAGGAAGACTTACTGTGAGCATTGGTAGAGAACACTCATTGTCTTACCAAGAACCTGCAGAACTTTCAATCCATAGGCTGGGGGAGGGGGGGAGTTGTGATACTGTGTTTTGTTTTGTTTTGTTTTTTTATATTGGTTTTAGATCATCCTTAATTGAATGTGATTGAAATGAAGGTACAGAGTTATGATGTTTGTAAGAAAAAGATATGGAGTGCAGTGTTTGTGTTAGTCTTGAGAATTAGCAAGTGAAATGATTTTCATTTTGCATCCTCTTAAAAGTTTTTTCTTCAGTGGTTCTTTACTGGAAGAGGATGCTGATTTTATTCATGAAAATATGTGAAAGCTCTTTTCACTACTTTAATAGCTGCACTTGATGCACTCCATGTTCTCGGCTGCTTTAATAAGGAGGCATGTGTTCAAGATGGGTCTGAAGACTGATTTTGGGATGCCATAGATCATTTGTCTTCAGATTGGTTCAAGAACAATATATGTTCCTCTCTTATCAAAGTTTGGTTCCATATTTTTGCCTTTATTGGATACACAGAGAACTGAAAAACTGTTCTAAACCAAGTCACATAGTGATAACATCATGTTACCTCTTAAAGTTACTAATGGTTTCATCATTTCAGTTCACAGTGATGAAACTTCTATTGGAGTTGCATAGATTGCAAAATGTTCTCTTATAGTTTAGTGGTTTTTATTTTATTTTTTTAAATTTGAAATTCAGCTATTTCTACCTTAGCAGGAAATGTGAGCATGTTCCTCTAGGATATGTCAGAATCCATGAAGATGCAATTGTTGTTATTTACTAATTGTGGAATGAGAGCTCCCACTTTGTTAAGGTTTTATGAAGGTTTTAGGCTTCTGGCATCTTCCATAAATAAGCTGAAATTACATGAGAAAGTTTTGTTTTAACATGAAGAAATAGAATTGAAGTGACTAGAGGGAATTGTGGAGTATGTTCTTGGATTGCCTGGAAAGTGTGTTAACTTTTATGTGCTGGCTAATGTCTAAGTAAGTTGTGGGCTGTATATGAAGTGAATTTGGACTGCATGCCAATGCACTTTCCCAACAGAATAGCTATTTCTTTCATGCCATTTTTTCTTACCTTCTGAATGTAAGTATTTGGTGTGTGTTAAGAGCTGTGCTGTGGGGGAGTGGTTTGTGTTTCAGCTTCCAGGAAATTACACAATCATTCAGCTGCTTGCATCTTTTAACTATTACATGTGACTGAATATCAGTGATTACCCCAGCTTCTGTTTGCCCCTTGAGACAAAGAGTTGGGCTTGAAAGACAGACTTTGGTAATGTTGGATCAAGACACCAAAGCTTTGGTGAACTTACCTGTTGAAGTCAGTGGCAAAACTCCCATTTTAATGTTTCAGGATTTCATCCTAAATATCAAGAATTTAAACCCTTTTCTGTAGTTCTATGATTGCTTAAAAATGTGAGTTCTAGGTTCCCATTTGTGGAATGCAATTGACTGCATTAATCAGAAAGATTGATATGAAAGCAATAGGCAACCAATAGCTAACTTGTTGTAAAGGTTGGGTTTCCTAATCCTATCAGGATGGCTTTACACAGAAAGTATTAGCAGAAAAAAGTATGAGCTCTTCTATTCCTTTCATGGACTATACAATGATAAGGTTACAATCAGAACATCTCAATTTGTATGCCTTTTAAGGTAGGAGCAGATTGGTTCAATTGTTAAAAAAAAGCTAAATGAGAAACTGTTTAAATAATATCCTAATGACTTACTGGCAGTTTTCCCAATTTTTTTTTTCAGTGAGATGGCCTGCATGGCCCTTCTTACAAGTAAACATGAGTGGATCATATGCATTGAATGACTTGATCTTTCCTTTTTACTACAAAGCTGTAAACTAAATCAGACAGAAGGAAATAAAAGAAAATAAATTTATACCAAAAATTAGGGTTGGATTTATTCTTTTCATCTCTCACTTGGTATTTTTAAATGTTTCATGATTTATTTACATGACTTATTGTTGAAGGAGCAGTAGAGTAGTTATCCCACATCTAATTTTGTAGGAGTCTTTGTAGTTGTCAAACTTTGTAAGTCCATTAGTATTGTAAGTTCTGCCAGAGAATTTCATGTGAACCAAGACATAAATTTTAAGTAGAGCAGCAACACTTGATTACTTGAATAAAAACATATTTGACTAAGATCTTAGTCAATCAGGCACCAGATATTTCAGGAATGGAAGGACTTAGAATGTTCCCCTGAAGTGGTTTTGATAAAATAGATAAACATGGCTCATTTTCAGATATTTTGGGGTACTAGCTGTTCACAGTCTTAGTTTGGATCATGCCTTTCCTTTAAGATGGGGAGGGGAGCTAGGCCATGGGCTGAATTCAGTTTCAGAGAAACTTATGCAGACTGCTTTCCAGTAGTAGGGTGGAGCCAAAAATAAAACAAAAAAGACCAGCATATTTTAGCTTAAAAGTTGTTGCTGCCAATAGGTAAGTCTTAGGAACGGCTTAGAATGGAGGGAAACTGTACAAAATCTGTGAAATGACCAAATGATTAGTAACTTACATAGACGTGGGTGGGGACAAGGGTGGGCATGGCTGTTGGGTAAATCCATAGGGCCTAATTTGGCCTCCAGGCTGGATGGTCCCCATCTGTTTTGAAAGGAATTATATTGGACACAGCCCTTGACATCTGGCCATTGTCTTGCAATTTCTGCTTGGCCTATGCCATGTTAAAGGATGCTTGAAGGTTAGAATCCCTCCCCCACATGTATGCATGTGCCCATGCTAATGCACTTCACAGGATAATCTTCTTGCTTTTGAATCTCAGAATTCACATATATGTTCTGAATTATAGCTGCTGAAATCCTCAGAAGTCAGCTTGGAAATATGAGCATCTCTGAACATAAGCACAAATCTTTACTGGATGGGACTGTCACATTTTTTTGTAATGGTAGTGATAGAAAACACTAGCAAATAGTATTTTTATCAGTAGGATTTATAAGTTCAACCCTGGTGAAAGGCACTGTCATTCATGTATTCAGGTGTTTGGTCATAGTTTGTACAACAAGTAAGCCATTTTTCTAGAATGGAGACATTGCGTCTGTAGCATTAAACTGTGTCCAGCATGGGTCCTCAAACTACAGCCCAGGGCCAGATCCAGCCCACCATGACCATTTGGATCCACTGCATGCCTGCCTGCACCCATGCATGCACCCACCACCACCCACCTTGTCCCGCATATGGGGAGGCAGCAGTTTGCTCGCTCGGAGAAAACGATCTCCAAGTGAACAAGCCGCTGCTTTGTGTGCCCACCTCGTGGTGCATGCCCGCCCCCGCCTCCTCTCCCCTTGCCGTGTGCGCCCGCTCATCTCACCTCGCCTCGCCGCACACCCCACCTCATCATGCACGCACGGCCGCACATGCTGTCCCCACGCCGACCTGCACGCGCTGCTGGCACCACCTTTCCGGCCCACGTCCAGCACTGGCAGCTTTCAACTGGCCCCCTGGTGGAAAAGTTTGAGGACCCCTGGTGTACAGTTTTGAACCACATAAATTATTCCTATGTCTGGAGAAAGTCACATATGAAGCAACACCAACTAACGTATTTCCATACACACAGTAATTTCTGCAGAGGGTTTACTTACAAGGGAACCAGAACCTAATATGGGTAAGCAGGTTCATGTCCCCCAAAAAGCAAATACCATAAATATTTTTTATGGTAACCAGGAATATTTTTTTCTGTAGCTATAAAATCAGTTCGTGACAGTTTGTCAGCTTCTTGATTCAGTCGCAGTTCCACAGGGTCACTTGGTACAAATTAAGCAAATTCTCTACCTTTCTCTGAGAACCCACCATGCTTAGATATGACTGCAGAGTACCAACAAAAATCATATGAAAAGTCTTCAAATGGAATTAAATGTCTGAAATATTTTTGGAACAACACTGAAATCACTTAAAAGTCAAATGCATCACTTTTGAACATGTTTAATTGTGATGATTTCTTCAACATTTCTGGCTCATTATCATGTCACATTTCAAATTGTTTTTTAACAATTGTTTTGAAACTAAGAAAAAGAGGTACAGTGGCTGTTGTAAGGAATTGCCAACCTGGCACCAATGGGAGATAATGTTGGCCATGTGGAAAACACATTAGTATAATATCAGTTATCAATAAGTGGAAAGACAGATTTGGATTAAGAACTGTCCTGTCATCTGGTAAAGGGAGATATGTGTTGCTTTTGTCTGTATTCCTCTTCCGATGCTGCTGTTAAAGTGAAGGGATGCAGCAGAAGGCCCTTATATTGCAAGTGAATGCTGGCTGGCTTCTCACCATTGAAGGAAAAGCTGGATACCATTTTGAGACTGAGGCTAGAAACACAGCTGGTGATCAGGCATACATGGTCAGTTGCAACCACTGGAAGAAGAAGAGAACCAAAATAAACATTTAAAGGGCACAGCAAAAGTGTGACTGTGTGCAAACTTCCCAAGTCTACAGTTAGAAACTTAGGAATCTGGTTCATGCTCTGGTTCATACTCATACTCATTGGTCCATAGAGCCCAATATTGCAAACTGGCAGAGGCTCTGGAGATGGGCACCTTCTGTATGCAAAGCATGTGCTCTACCCCCTGAGCTGCAGCCTCCTACAAGTGACTTAGCTGGGAGTGAGCTCTGCTGAGCAGAGCATCTGACTAAATGCCTAGGCTCAGGCAATAAATCCACTGTCATGATGCCATTTGCAGGGAAAATGTTGCCAAAATAGGGACCCCAATTAAAATTTGTTTGTATGAAAATACACAATACCACTACATTGCAGGATGACATACTTGTTTTGCATTCGCTAAATCACTCCCCTCCCCCTGACTTCATAACCACAAAACTAGCAGCCAGATAAGTGCAGGTGTAGGTCATTAAAGGAAAGCTAATCTATAACAGGTGATTTGGAGTGGAAATTATTCTAGGCAGAGCTTTACATGTTGGGACACTGCTTGTTGGACAAGTTTAGCTGGTCTTGCTTCCAGGTAAGTGGGCTGAGAATTGCTGTATTAATCAGCTTATAAAAGCTAGAGGAGAGTTCATAATTTCTTTATCCTTCTGTGTTTTATGAAACAGTTATTCATATAGCTGATTTTTCACACATACAGCTGGAGGAAGAGGAAAGGAGGTTGGAGCACAGACCCAGTCTCCTCCTCCCTGCCCCCAGAACAGCCTCTTCACCCTCTTCAAAGATTGAGTTCCCAACCCTAGGCAGCTAACGCCATTCTTTCTGCACCACCAGACTACAAAACATTCCTAGCTCCAAGGTCTGATCTTCATTTCTGAGCTTGGATATGGAAATTCAAATTATCCCATGGCTCTCCACAGTGTCTAGGGGCCATAGGCTCACACTACTGAAGGCTTTCCTAAATGTTGACCCTAAATCTACTAGTGGCATAGCTTGACCTCTTATGAATTCCTCAGTAGCAGTATTAAGCTGGACATAACTTTAAGTGGTGGCCATTATTTTGGGGCAATGATATAGCTGTTCCTATAGAGGCCAGGCTATCAGTTACAATCTCGGCGCCATGATACAAATGTTATGGATAGCTGATAGGTGAGAGCCCTGGGTGGAATCAGCTCTGCCTCTCTGCTCAGGGAAGGTTTCCATGTGCAAGGCAAAGAGAGGATGGACCCCTTGCAGTCCTTCCACAAATCTGGCCTGGGGGATTGGGAGAGCCTTGAGTAGATTTGTGCAGGCAGAGTAGAACTATGGTGGAGAAGAAAGGAAGGGAAACTTTCAGGGATAAAACATGTCTGCTTGTGCAACATTAGATTCAACCCACTAGAATGGCTGTTATCATGAATCTTTTCCCTTTGCTGCAAGTAAAATATAAGGGAGCATCTTGCACATTCTCAAGTGCAAGTGAATAAGAACATGTGTTCACCTGTATTAAGGAACCTGGCTGTCAGTTTCCCTCCAACCAGAAGATAAATACACATGTCTACTGCTTTCTCAGATCATCTGTATCAGCTGCTGAGGAAAGCTAATATTTCTTTCTCTTTCCTAGAATACAGGTGTTTACCTACTTGCACATAGAGAATCAACTTTTAATATTGCTCTAATCTAGAGGGACTGCAGGTGGCGCAGTGGTTTAAACTGCTGTGCTGCTGGGCTGGGAGATTGAAAGGTCACCGGTTCGAATCTGCACAATGGGGTGAGTTCCCGTTGCTCCGTCCCAGCTCCTGCCAACCTTGCAGTTTGAAAGCATGCAAATGCAAGTAGATAAAAAGGTACCACTTCAGTGGGCAGGTAACAGCGTTCCGTGCACTTTGGTGTTTAGTCATGCCGGCCACATGACCACGGAGACTGTCTGCGGACAAATGGTGGCTCCCTCGGCTAGGAAACAGAGATGAGCACCGGCCCCTAGAGTCAGGCATGACTGGACTTAATGTCAAGGGGAAACCTTTACCTTTAATCTAGGAACTTGCTGCTGTTTTCAGAATGACCTTCTTTGGGAGACAAAACAAATCAATAGTGGAGTTTAATTCTGGAAATAAAAAAATGCCAAAGGAGAGCTTACCTCAAAGACATTCAGCTTGATAATACCATCTCCATCTTTATCGAAGGCATTAAATGCACCTAAGGGAACATGTGAGGAAAACAGCATATGGAGAGCCACTCTAGGAAAAATATGGAGCATTCTGAACAGTTAGCTGGGCAGTAGTCCTAGGTATTATGAGACCTCAGTGGCTTCAACATTTCCAACTTTGTCATTCAGCTGCTTGTGGATGAGTAGCTGCTCAATGCACTGTGTGAATCGTCCCTTTTGAGTAAAAAGATAACACATTGCTTTGGCCATAATGGCTGAGAACATTTCAGTTGGGCCATAACAAACTGAATCAGGCTTGCATTGAAATAGTTTCCTTAGAAAATCTCTTCTCAAGATGTAGCCATCTTGGAATATGTAACTGGATCTTCCAATCCATCATATCGGTGTAAGAATTCCCCCAAATGCACAAGATTTACATTATATGGTAATTAATTGGACTGCTTTAACATCAGGCAATAGCTGACTTGTGGGACGATAGCTTTCTGCTAACATTAGCAGGTAATAGGTTAAGTGAGATGTTGCAACAGCTAAGGCAACTAGAGATGTTGCTGTGGTACTGGAATGCATAAAGATATCAGGAGTCATTTTATTTAAGACTAGTTTTTATAGTGGGTGATAGTAGTCATTAGTGATATCTTCTTATGTTACATAATCAGTTGTGAGACAATCAGGTGTTGCTTGTATGACCTCAAGTCACATTGAAATATTAAGACTGCTGCAGTCTGCTGGCCTGAGACGTCTGGGTTTCAGCCAGCAAAACCTGGGTCAATACTGGTCTCTGTAGCCGCCACATGATTCAGTGACCTCACAACTAATATTCCTGACACAACCATCACCACTCACCAACAGCAGTGTAAAAAAATAACAAAAGTCAGCAATTTATTAGCATGGCCACTGGGAAGAGTTTGTATTTGAGAATTGTCCTATTTTTATGAGAGGAGCAATGCAAGAAAGCTGTCAAAATGAATGCGTTGTTTACTTCTGTTTTCTCCCCTTTCCCATTCTGCCTCTTGATGTGTTAGTGAGCTCACGGCAAAGAGTCAAGGGCTACTGGAGCACAAGTGAAAGAAAACTTGGGATGGGTTTGGACTGAACACTAGCTACAGGCCAGATTAATGCCTTTATACTAATAACGATAGACATGAAGAGAGTGTCTCAATGGCCAACGTTGTACTCATGCAGTGGAGTCCAACATTAGAAGGCCTATTACACTCTGTCAACCTCAGTGGACACTCTGAAATAGGATGGGTAGATATCAACATTTCAAATAAATGCACTCACGGAACATTCCCTCTAACCGCACAAAGCAGCAGATAAAGCTGTCAAACTCAATGTTCATATTCCTGTCAGCATAGCGCATTGTAATGATGTCGTACAACTGGTTGTTCAGGCGAAACCCTGAGGAGAGAGAACAAATTGTTTTGCGCAAACGGGATTTGTTCTTATTCAATCCCTCCTTGTGTACATAATATTGTTTAGATTATGTGCTTTTCACAGAAAGCCTATCAAAAACAAAACTGAAAAACGCATTGCTCAAAATCCTGTCAGGGAACATAGACTAATTAATAGTGTAGAATACCTGCATCCTGAACAGCATTACGCATCTCATAGCTGTTAATGGTTCCTGAATGATCAGCGTCATAATGTTTGAAAATTTTCTGGAAAAGACGAATTGAAACAATGGTGAGGGTTGGGGTGTTTTAGAGCGTTCCCTGCAGAAAACAGATAAATGGTCTCCAAAATGTTCCCTATAGGAATTAAGACAACTGCCACAGGAAGCACTGAGAATGGCTTTGTCTTGTACAAGATAAATGGGCTCTATAGCATGTCAGAATATATAACACAGGCCTTTTGAGGTTTTTGGACATATCTGACGGTTTGAGAAACTGCTATGGCCCCATTGCAAAACAGCTACCATAGGAAGCATGGCTAGTCAAAAAGGCCTAGTAACTTGCCCAAAAGATTGAGTACAGCCTTGAGTACAGGGATGGGGTTGGAACACAAGCGCATACTACATTCCTTTGAACCTACATGTTTCAGCACCAAAAGAATTAATTCAGTTTATTAGTTCTATTTTAAAGGAGGGGTAGAGCACCTTGGTGAGTGACGAGAAGGTTGTCTGGAGCGACGCTGGTGCTCACAGCCACTATTTTTCCAACTCCTGTCCTATGATATTGAATTCCAATGTCGGCGGCTTACAAATGTTTTAAATACATAAATAACTTGTGAGTTCTCCCTCTAGTCTACAACAGAGGCCAAAATGCTGGCACTGTTCCTGCGATGAGATAATATGTAGTATAACCAAGGCAGTATGTTATCATGCCCTTAGCAATTAGGTTTCCCTGCATTCTTGCTTCACATGGTAAATGGTAGAATGCTTCACATAGGGGTATGGTCTCAGTGTGCATAGGGCAGGATCCACTTATTTGAAAATGACTCCATATCCCATTTTCCTTACACAGTGTAAAATAAAACATCAGGAAGAATCTCTAGCTTAGCCCTTCCCCTTTTATTTTAACTTTCTTTATGTTTCCTAGGAGGATTTCACAGTGAATATTTCTAAAATCAGCAACCCCACACATGCTGTGATGACACATTTGCCTTGGGTCTTCTGGGGTGAGCAGGAGAGCTGGAAACTGGACCTTGGCATCATCTCCCCACACCTATCCCACCCCAATATTAGGGATATTAGGAGTAGAGCAGATAAGGATGCTTGCTTTCCTTGTTCTATAACCTCTACTTCCTCTTTAATGCAGGCTGGTACTTTTAGGACACAATCCTATGGACTCCTGACATCAGTGGGGAGGCCATGGGATCCTCTGAAGTCCCAGTTCTGAGATCTTAGGATGTTGGAACTGGATCACCAAGGCCAAGCCGCTGCCCCACCCCTGAGGTTGCAACTGGGCCATGGAAGGGAAAAGAAGAGCCACGGAATAGGGCAGGAGGAGGCTGGGGCTGCAGAGTGGTGCTGAGTCCAATTGGTGCCCCAGCCTCTTTCCCTCCCCTTTCCTGGCACTCCATCTAGATAGATAAAAACAGACATCTAGAGAGAATCCAGGGTGTGAGGTCCATTGCACCCATGCCTCACTCCTGCCACTGCATGCTTGTAAATCTCCTCAATCAGAGGCTTATAAGACTCTTCCAAGCTGGCAATGCTTTGTCTCCAAAACTGGCATGTATCAACATGGAGTTAAAGGCTCCCAGGGCAAGCTGATGTGCTCAGTTTGCTAACACAGAACTTCTCACAGGATTCTCCTAAACATACATGATAAATGTAGCCAACAATATGCTTCTATGTTTGTTTTGGGCCCTCTATAAAGTGAAAAGCCCAACTGGAGATGACTAGCTTTTATCTCTATTACTTTTCTGTCGTCATTCATTGAGTAGATGGTTGCATGGCATTCACAAGCCACCTTACCCATATAGAACACTTTTCTGTATTTTAAAAGCGATAAACATATAAGAAACGTGAGTAATACCTGCCAACTTTTAATCTTATTCCAAAGGTGTCGAAACTCATCCAGGTTTATTCTCCCAGAGCCATCAGTCTGTGTTTTTGGTGTTCAGTTGAAAATTGTCTTGAAATATAACTAGTAAAGCCAGAGTTCAGTTCAGGGGGATGTCCAATTGAGAAATGGTTTTTAATGTTCAGAAAAATGGAACATCCGAGTGAAATGTTCCATTTATCTAATGGGGAACTAGACAAGAAATGATACAGGTCATTTGTCACCTGGGAAATGACATCCTTCACCCTCAGCCTCCTCCCCTCTCCATTCTTGGCAGGCCCCTTTTCCTTCCCACTGACGTCACATGGTGCAGGGCTAGGGCCCTGCTGCAAGATTCCAGAACAAGTGCTTAGGTTACAAGTGCTAAAGTTACACACACGTCACAAATCGTGGTGTTACGCTGTCACAGGATCAGTGCTGTGGTTTGGTAGACAAATAAACCAGCATAAATATTTAGCATTGGGAAGCACATGCTCATTCTTCTTTAAAATTTACATTTTAAGAGGCTGATATGTAATATATAATGTATTGTAAGGCTATATTATTGTGATGTCAAGTGAAGTCATCTGATTTGAAAAGGATACATCCATTAAGGCAATCATGCTGCGACAGGACTCCAGTGCAAATCCTTCTGTTCGCAGGTCTTTGTCTAAAATTAAATATTTCAGATGAATACCATAACAATAGCAATATGCTATAATGGATATTTAAAATGTAAGCCAAAATTGAAAATGTGAACCCTCTCTTTAACAAATTTTGAGCAGGAATTTTAAGACATTAGCATTTAAGACCTAATGAATATTGTCTGAAATGGAGTAGCTGCTTTTTCACGCTTTTAAACCTCACGAATAGACCCTCAGAATGGTACAAGTACTCCCTGCACTTACCATCTGTGTTACTGAGTACATTTAGCAGTAGTCTTTAGGGTTAACTTGTTAATGTTTTCCAAAAGGATGTGAATTTAAATCTGTGGTATTAGTATTTGGGCCATACCTTAGCACAAATTCAGTGTTCAGATGTGAAATGCGAGAGTTAACACTGCCCCTTCCTTGGAAAGCAGTCAAAAGTCAGATGGAAAATAGGCTAATGAATGTGGCTCTCCCTTGGAATGTACAATGATCAGATAGGATAGGCTTAAGTCAAATGAATAAACCACACATTTGCAAACATATGGCAGTCCAATGCATCTGCAAATGGCTAATTAAAGCAGCAGTGCTATTCTTGTCTTTGATACTCTGAATATTTTTCATTATTATTATAAACTACACCAATAGTCCTATATAGTCAGAAGTCCAAGCTGATGGAGGTCTGAAGAAGTCTAACCCACCAGAGTGAAACAGAGCAGTTATCACCTGTGAACCATTTTACATAAACATGGGTGTAGAGGGGATATTCTTGCAATATCCAAGTCATTGCTTCACTTTGCTGGTGATATTTTCAGAGGATGAACTGAAAGGGGAAGCCATGCTTACGTTTTTTCAGAACATTGTTGAGGACATTCCTGAGTTCATCAGCACTGATCTCCATGTCCTTTAAAAAAGAACAACAGACCAAAAGAACATGAAAAGAGGCCTGCTGTTCACACCAAAGGCACATCCACCCTGCTATTCTGTCCCCACAGTAGCCAGTAACAGTCATAAACAGTCCACAAACCCATGAATGCTTGGGTTCCCCAGCAGCTATTCTTGAAAGGCATGTTGTCTGGCATAATGGTCACCCCAGGTAGCTTTACCTTGTTGTAGAAACATTCATCAGAGAACTCAAAAGGATATGAGATCACTCCAACCTTCTCCCTGAAGGAGAACCACCAACACATCCTTCTAAGAGTTCACTCCATGAAATCCAGATCCATTCATCTCTTTTTGAAGCAGAAAGGTGGGCACACACAATGGACTCTTACTGAGGTGTTCAAATGTAATTGTTTCAGTTTGCACCTAACCGCAATCCATCATTAGTCATTTACCACAATGGGCTGGCTGAACCTGCTAAGCACCCACCATGAGTCTGACAGATTCTCAGGCTCACTGTGGGTACTTTTCTCTCTCCTCATTCCTTCCCCTCATCGCTCCTCATGCTATTTCAGGGGATAGCATAGGAGCAACTAAGCCCTTCTTCCTGGCAGCCATGTGAGCTGATTGTGTGTCAATATGTCTGTCCCTTTAATCGCCACCCCCCCACACTGGATTGCAAAAGCCATCCAGGAGCCAACTTTCACACTGCCCTTCTGGGCACACACAAGCTGCCTCTTCAAAGTGCCCAGCACCCTGGTCTACCATGGAGTTTTATAGAACATTAGAACAGACTTTGCTAGATAATTTCTGGAGAACTGGATATATGTTCTCCATATACATGTTCTGATATATGTTCTGGGGAATACACTCCCCAGAGAGGTCCGCCTGGCACCGTCATTATTTGTTTTTTGGCGCCAGGCCAAGACCTTTTTATTTAAAAGTTATTTTAATTGTTAATTGTAAATTGTATTTATTTATTGGTTTTTATATTTATGCCGAGATGTCCCCAGATTTTTAAGGTTATTTGTATGATTGTTTGTTTATTTGTTTTGTAAGCTGCCCTGAGGCGTTTTGCGAATGGGGCGGCATAGAAATGTTCTAAATAAATAAATAAATATGGACCACCAAATTAACACATCCAGAGCTCTCCAAGCTTGTAGTAGCCCATGTCATACCCTATCAATGCCACAAATAACAGTTTTGTGATTCTGCCATATTAAACATGAGAACTGATTATGTGCAAACACTCAGATAGCGAACTTTCACAGACTTTAGAACAAACAACCCAATATTTTACAAACTGCACTAGGTTTGGGCCAAAGTGGACTAGCTTGATGCAAAAGGCAATCTGTCCCATTTTATTTTCTTCCTCAACAATAGCTGTGTTCTGTTTGTAATCAGTATGACTAAGAATATCATAAAAACAGTGTTCTTGAAAATGGTCAGCTATAGGTCAGCTATGCCAAAGAAGAAATTCCAGTTAATTTGAGATTTGTGACCAGCACCATGGTTAAAATAGCAAACGTGTGTGGAAATTAAGCTGTTGTGTTGAGAATAGTCTGAGATTGCTTTTGGGAAATGAAAAATGGCAACTGACTGGCACTTTCTAGAGTCAGGTCGCTGCTTTGGCTCCCTTGCAAAAGCCCTGCCACCTTGGGGTCAGCATGTCCAGTGGCTGATGGGTGGTAGAGCGGGGAAGGGGCAGCTTAGTAGCACAAGAAAAGGTTGCCTACTTACATCTCCAGCAATCTGCCGGAAAATATTTCTGAACTGTTCCTCTTCATCATCTTCCTTATGAAAATCTCTTTGTGCAGGCTGTAAAGACACAAATTGACAAAATAATTGAGATGAGTTGTTCTGCAATGGACATTCAGAAGAGAAAAGGCAATGCATCTCCCTTTCCAGGACATTTCTTTGCAGTTCAATATATTTGGTGTCAATATGATTTCTGTCCAAATTCTTTTTGTGGAGCAGAAATCTTTCTTCTTTGGGAAGTATTCTCACTGTGGGCTTCTTCTGGGACAAAGGAGTTCTGCTGTGCACTACATGGGTAACCAAAACTCAGTCGAATATGTTTCTATGTTTTCCATTTCTAACCAAGAGGCCCCTTGTCTCAAGGCCTGAAGCTGTCTATAGCTGAATGCACACAACTTGCAATTCCATAAAAAACTGGAATTGTTGCAATGCTGTATCAAAGCTTCTGCTTCCTTTCTTATACAGGAGAAAGACAGGGAAAATAAACACAGCTGTTAATAGTTCTTGTGTGATTCTTTAAAACAGAGTTATAAAGCAAAGCAGAAGAGGCAAAAAAGCAAACCTTATTTGAAACAAGATGCAGAAGATTCATCATTTAACACAAGAAATATACAGAGTGGCAAAGAAGCTGGGCATGGAATTATTCCATAAGCCTCACAGGTAATGGGAAAAAACCCAGTGCAGATAGTATAAGCATGATTCAATTATTGCACAGACTAAAGATCCACTCATCTAGTGCCATTCAGATGTTGCTGTGTTCCATTTAGGATAGCTGAAATTGTATTCACATTACCACCAAGATGTACTGTTGGGTTTTTCTTTTAATTTTAATGCTAGATTGTAAATGGTTTTCAACTTTTGAAAAGGTTATATTAAAATATTTTTAAACTTATCAAGGAAATTATAAGGGGTCCAATATCTACTGATACTTCCCAAATATGGGAGTGCCACATCCCTGAAGATGCAGCTCCAACTGTGTCATGGCTTGGCTTGGGCTGCAGTCTAGTGAGCTGAGAAGCACTCATGGAAAAGGGGAGCAAGATTGCAAGACTGGCTCTATGCCCACCAAGTAGAGTCACACAGCTCTCAACAAAATGCCATGTGTGGCACTTATAATATGAAGAGCACACCTCCAGTACCGCAGTGGGAGAAGGGGCACCTAAAAGTTTATACATCACATGGAGACTCCTCAAGCAAATATTGATACTACAACCCAATATTAAGGGGATGATTTCAAAGAGCACTCCCTTTCTCCTCCTCGTGGGCAGTTCCCATGCAAGGGGACTGATGTCATGCGTATGGAATATGTTTTATTAGAACCAAGACTCCACGTGAATTGGCCAAGAAAGACCAGGGAGCTGGAGATTTGGTTCCAACCTGCTTGCGCTGCAACTTCATTGTAGTTGCTTTGTGCATTTTCCTCTATAAGGAAAAATTCTCCAGAAGAGGCAAGAATTATGGCTGAAGGGACATGCTTGTTGTGCCACTTAGCAACTTCACGCTAGTTAGAGCACATGCCATTTCACTCATGCTGACGATACAGAAACCTTATCACTTTTCTCTTTCTTATCCGAGCTTGTATTTTCCTTCCCCTTTTTATGCCCCTCACCGTTCTTTTTCTTGCTTGCTCTGTCTGAGACAAAGATGATTGGCTAGAGTAGAGAGAGGAGAAGTGGAGAACAGGCAGAAAGTCAGTGACTGGAGGTTGCAGAGGGAAGTGTCCTTACAAAACATTCAACAAACTGGTGGCAAATCTCTCTCTCTTGCTCTCTCTCTGATGCACACAATCACACACTCACAATCATGCATGCACTGCAAAAGGATAAGAGTGAATGCTCAAAAATAGCCTTTTCATTAAGCTGAATACTGGCCCTGTGCTTAAGCTAGGAACGCCATACTTATCTCTGTTTCAAAGTGCAGAGACAGGTTGTATGGTTCTACTAGCATTTCTGAATACAAGCAGCAGCGACCCTGCTTCAGCAGTAAAGACTAGAAACAGATGACCAAGAATGACAGTGACATAAAATAGCTGTATTTTGTGCAGTTTCATGAAGAAAACAGTAAAGCGCCCCAATATAATAAACTCCATAGGGAATGTACTCACAGAAAGGTTTCCTACTTCAATCTTGTCTTCAACTTCCCTGTAGGATTAGTGAAGTTGAGGAAAGGAGAAAAGAGATAAGGAAAAATAAGTAGTTCTCTTTAATGTGCATCTCTGTACTTGACCTGGGAAGCATAACATGATTCCACATATCCAGAAAGAAGCTAGGTCTGGGTTTCATCAGCCCCCAATTCAGGGGTAGGCACAACCTGTTTGGACTATGGACGTACTTGGCAATTTGAGGAAATTGCCCTGGACACCACCACAAAATAGCTGTGGTGAGAGGGTGGCAAGGGACAAGCAAGGGTTTATTTCATTTATGTACTTGATTTGCACTCCACCTTTCCACCAAAAGACCAGCACCCAAGGCAGCCTTCAGACAAATGAAAAGTTCCTAAGGCCAAAAGACAGAGCATAAGGGGTGGTATTTTTGTTATTATTCTTACTATTCAACCTGCTAAATCTGCTAAAAACCCATCAAAGTAATTTACAAACATGCAAAGCAGTAAAAAAAAGACAAAACAGTAAAAGCATTAAGTTATTAAAAGTAGACATTTTGAAAGTCCAGGTTGAAAAGAGACATCTTTACTCTCTTTCAGAAGGCCGAGAAAGTGGTGGCCAATTGTAATTCTTGAAGGGTCACATTCCATAGTTTGACAAATGGGCCTCCCAGCAAATGCAAGGAATCATGCCCTGAAAAGGGCTCCAGGGCTCCAAAATACTAAATAGCACCTTTGAACCTACAGTTTTCAGCATTAATTGGTGCTAATTTCTGAGCAAACACAACTGCTAGTAATGACATGTGTTAATTAATACATTAAAAATTGGAAGGACTGTGCATTCCAAGCAACATGCCTGGGGGTACACTGGTTGCCTACCCATGCTCTTATGTGTTGCCTCTGGATGCCATGAAAACTTATCTTGCACCTAACAGTGCACCTAACAGATGATTTGGTTCATGAGGAATTATTCCCACCTCCTCCCTTATTGCTTCTCTCACTGGTGTTGCAGGGGATTCCGCAGCAAAACTCGTCTAGCCTTCCCTTATATGACAACTGTGACCTTGACCCCTTTTGTGACTGTCCTGGAGATCACTTTTTGCACAGTTATTCACTGGTTTGCCACGTTGTTTTAATTATGCGGTTGGGGCAAGGGGTTGCACCTGAGACTTATGCAAAATTTTAAATAATGTTTTGGAGGGGTTGGTAGTTGAAAGTTGGCACAAGTGTGCCACTCCATGTATCCCAAATGCACAGGCTTGTCTCATCGGTGCCCTGGCTGGTGCCTTTTGCCAAAATAAAGGAGCCTCTGTTCCTGGGCTTTAATGAAGAAAGGCGGCAAATAGGTGAATTGCCTGCTTGGCTGTCTATGTGACAGCTTTCAAACTGCAAATATATGATGGCAAGTGAAGTTATGGAGAGATTTTTGCTAGCAAAAGCAAGCAAAGAAGCATTGGTGGGTAGATCAGCCCCTGTCCTAGCGTGATCCTCTAATTTTGTGGGGGTTGGACCCGACTGTTCCCTTTCCCCACCTTTTCCTAAGACTCCAGGTGCTTGGGGAGGAGGAAAAATGTGAGCCATCCCATCCATCTATGGGAGCATGGCTTTGGACAGCTGCCAAACTCAGACTTCCTTTTAAAACAAAAGGGGGCAGGGGTTGGCAAAGACAATTTCATGGCTGCTTATATGCAAGTTGTTATAATTGCTGTTGAAAAACTAAATAGGCTTTTTCTTGCTGCTGCCACACCACAAACGTTCTGCAAAAGTATCTGTTCATTTGTTTATTTAAAATGTTTAGTAGAGTTCCTTTAAGGGTAGACCCCTCTCAAGGTGACCAATTTCTTTCCTGCCCCTGCAGCTGAGCCTCTGAATTTGGTAGCATGTCAACAGGAAGGAGGTCTGTGCATTGTGGGGAGTTCTTGATGGGTAAGATTGGCCTTCAGATCCTTGGAGGTTGCCCAGTCCCTGATTTATATCTTACAGGACCATTAGGAAGAAGTACTGAGGCAATAGATGAGTAGCACCCTGAATACTCAAAAGGCTATTAAAATGCTGTTTTTAGATTTTGGAATGCAGAACATGAATTTTCTACTTACTCTGAAAGACTTATCTTTTCTGAGAAAACTCTTAGCAGAAACTCTCCCTCTTGGTGAGGTTCATATGTAGATGGGATGATGACATACTCATTTGGAGGCAACCTGAAACGTTCGGCAACTTCTCTCAAGTTTATGTATGACTTACACTTCACTTTGGAGGCATTGTAAAGGAAAAAGTCCTTCTGCAAATGCTTCTTGTCATTCTGCATCTGTAAATACAATCAAGTAATTATAAGCAAAACTACCTGCATTTCCTAGAAACCTCAACCAGAGTAAAATAGAATTTTTGAAAATTCCCTTTTAGTTCAGCTATGCTGAGCCTGGGATTAAGAGCTCAGTTAGAGATATGACGCAGAAGATCTGTGGTTAAGACCTCCCCATGCTTTATTCTGAAGCAGTCATGGGGGCCTGTTTATTTGATTGAGGAAGCAAAGTTGCACCACATATGACTGCACCTTCCCTGCCCATCATATTGTCAATAGGGACACCAGGTGGTTCAAACCCCCTCCCTCCCTCCCTCCCATTTTCCACTATGATCAAACTAGCAGTCCCATTCAGCTGCTTTGAAGTTAAACGGCTCCAAATGGCAACAGATCCGGATCTTCTGTATCATGTCCAGACATTTCTTATTATTTCTTCTGTTATATTATTTCTTCTGTTGGTTTCAATAAGACTTGGTCATAAGCCACGTTTATCCATGCTCTGGTAACCTCTCAGCTGGAAGGCTGCAGTGGGGCTGCCATTGAAAATGGCCTGGAAATTCACCAATCAAAATAGGACAGTGGGATTGCTAAAAGAGACTCATATAATGCCTGTACTCTTCCTTCTGCACAGGCTGCCAATCCATTTCTGAAGGTGCAGGCCTACCGAGTATGGAATTTCTACAGCTCATCATGTCTGAGCAATGGTTTAGCTTGACACTAGCTTGATCTCATTATGTCAGGTTGTTGCTTGTCAAGCAACACTTTGCATTAACTCAAAAACATGGGACAGCTTGTATCAGTACTTTAGCTATTTCCACAAGGTCTGTGTAGTTTCTTGTCATATATTTTCAGTTAAATCACATATACTTTTATCTATGGATGGAGCTCTATACTTCCTGTTTCTAGTAACTTACTCCTGCTCACCAATGCCAGAGTATTGTCATGTGGGCTACTGTATATTACCTGTTTGTATCTGAATGCGTAGTTTGGGATAGCACACAGGAAAAATGCAGGCTTTTAAGATGCATCCAAATATACCTAAAGCTCACATTATGGTGAATCTCTATTAGGAAACATAAGCTGGACAACCCCAGATGTTTGTAGCAAAGAAGCACACAAGCAAACGTATTTCTGGTTCATAATCCAAGTTATCAGCAGGTCACCTTCCATTCTACTCATACCTCTTTTGGCACCTGAGAAAAAAAAGCATAGAAATGCTGTTAGTCATGGATGGAAAATGGCTTCTTACACAGCTCTTTACAGCTACCACTCACAGCCCAACTTCACAGTACTGACAAAGGTCTGCTCAATTTAATTCTAAATATGAGCATTTGTATCCATAAACAATCACAGAAGAGAAGGATCCGAGTCTGCCGGCGGGCCTGGATCCTCTTCAACATTATTCAAATATAGTCATTTAGGTTCAGGTTAAAGCCAGGAAAATGTTGCCTCTTTAGTGGTAAATGTTGCCTCTTTAGTGAATTCATTAGGCAGCCTCAAGCAAACTGTTCTCTCTCTACCTTTTCCCCTGGTAGCAACAGTTCAGCTCACAGAAATGTTGGCTTACAGAAAAATAATATATGCAAAACTCTTTTAACCCTCTAAAGAAGGGAATTATAGGATGCAATGTACCAAATCTCTGATTTTTGAAAATGCTGTGGAGACCTCTGTCAAAATGAGTGCCCAGGATAGTCAACTAGCATTACATGATTTTGAAAATGACAGTGGCGGGACCCAAACTGAGTTTTAAAATGGCAGGCCGATCAAAAGAAAACAGAAATTAAAAATAGAAAAAGGAGATAAAACAATGGCCCCTATCAATGAAGAAGAACAACACTGATACCCATGTTTTCTTCATCCAAGCAATTACTTATTCCTTAAGGGTAACTTCTGCTTACCACGTTATCTAGCCACGGAAAAATAAAAATGGTATGTTTGTAACTACTATTATCAGTAACTATTATCATTTAATGGTATTAAATGTTATCACTTAATACCATTTACAGAAATGCATTATTGGTAACGATGTATTGGATTTGGTCAGAATTCATCTTCAGGAAACAACCAACCAACCAGTAAATAATTATATTGGTAAATGCGACACTATAGTTACGGATATGTTCAGCTCTTAATTTGGTTATTATACAAAGGGAGCAGTCCTATGGCCTTCTGCAGCCAGTGCAGAAAGAACCACTCTGGCTGCCTCCCCAGAGGCAGAGTGGGGAAAGGGGGGCACGCTCAGGGTGCTGATGGGGAGGCAGATGTGGCCATCACCTAATGCCAGTTCTTCCTGGCTCCCCAGCCAGCCAGCCCCCTTCCCCTCCCTGATTTAAACCTCCAAGTTTGCATCTTAGGATAGGATTTCATCTTAATACATTTTTATTATTTTTCAGTTGCAGGAAGGATATGGGTATTTACTGTCTAAAAGAATGCTAGTTCTAAAGTTGCTCATGCCTGGTTGGACAGTTTTTAAATTTATGGTACTTGAACAACTAGTACAGTATTCCCTTTTTGCTTCCTTCTATGAAATACAGTCAGGTGGGATGTATACTTTTGGGTTGGAAATGGATTGGCTCAAATCATTTAAATGTACTTGAGGAAATGGAGTGAATTAACATTGGAATTAGGGTACCTCATAGATGGCGAAGCCAATTGTGAGAAGATTGGCTCCTAGGCTGCGTTCTTTCCTCCTATTTTTCTGCATAAGTGCAACTAGGAAACTGCACACAACTTCTTCATCTTCTGGATCATCATCTTCTTCTAGGAGCTTCAAGCGATATTGAGGATTGGTCCAAAATGTGTCTGCAAAAAGCATTAGTATGTACATTATATTTTGATTGCCTAAAAATGGCACATTTCAATCTATGTTAGAAGGGAGCTTTGTGCTTCACTTCTGCTATAGAACCCTTTTAAACAGTACGTTTGTGTGGATATTTATTTATTAAAAGATTTTCTAACCCGTCCACCACTAGCATCTCGGGACAGCTTTCAATTAAAAAAATATGTGTTTTGATACATTTCTCTAAAAATAACTTGGATTAGACCCATCCCACCCCAAATCCTCATCTGGCCTTCTTGGAAAGTACCTGGAAAGTTACGGCAGCCTCCAGCTGTGCAGCCACGCACCCACCGTCCTTCGGTGACTGAGACGGTCCATGTATGAAGCTTATCAGCTTCTAGGGTGTCAGGTGTGAGATTACAAATCTCAAGTTTTGTGAAGAATCTTAAGAAATCTTGGAATGATATCCTGAAGGTAGAAAGGATGGGGAAAAACAATACGCATATTATAATTTATTCCATTTCTATACTGACCAAGAGCAGATGTTTTCTGAGTGGGTCATAAATGAATCATAGAATAGTAGGATCAGAAGGGGCCAAGAAGGCCATCAGGTCCAACCCCCTGCTGGTGCAGGATGCCAGTTACACCATCCCACTCAGGTAGCTCTAGCTTCTCCTTGGACGTCTCTAGTGTGGAAGAACACACAATCTCTCTTGGCCACTGCTTCCACTCTTTTCCAGGTGTGGTCAGACTAGTGCAGCATAGAGGAGAATAAGTACTACTCTTTTTCTGAAGGTGATACTGTTATAGGGTATAGGATGTGCTTTGGATAATGACAACTCTATGGACTCACTCTGGGATTTGTTTGTTGGCCCCAGGAAGGAGGTCAGGCAGAGCAAACTGAAGTGGATCACCACATTCAGTCCATGGCACCCAGGTCGAGCCAGGTTATTTTGGTACCTGGGGCAGGAAATCTCACAAATATCTTTTTCCCCCCCTCCATAGCAGTAAGGGTACAATGATAAATAACAATTTGCTGTCATCTCATGGCAGCAAAAAACAGCTGTCTGGGGCACTTGGTTCACTCTGCCTAATGGCAGAATCAGCCCTGAGACCATAGGTATGTTTGAGAGCTCAGACATAGGCAGGTGAGTGGCGTCTTACCAGAATTCCCCGTCCTCTGCAATTTTATACTGCAGACGGACCTTCACTTCATTGTCAATACTATTCCATTCTTCTGAGCTGCAGTAAACAGAGAAGAATCTTTTTCAATATGCAATTGATAAAAAGAATGTCTCTTCTCAAACTATAAATTAGCACACAGCCTCGTCGGTTCATGAATTATGAATTAATGTTTGTTCTTCATTTCTTAGCAAATGTTGATTGACTTTAATTGCTTTCCCTTTCCTTAGAAGTTGTATCATGACAGAAAGACCTGCTCCATTTTTCTTATTGCCCACACACTGCATTTTTTGTGCTATGCTTAGCTGAGATATAGGCAGAAATTATTGCAAATAATAATCCCATTTGTAGATATTCTTTGCTTCTCATATTGAGGAAATTTCTTTGTAGCTTCTCAGGTCTCCCTCATTTGAAAAAATAAGGCATCATTCAGCATAAGATCGACTTCAGGTTCCAAGCAAAAACATGTTGAAAACTATTGAATCAAATCAAAACATCCATATTTTTGACAGGATCGTGGCCATCTTTTTACATTGCTAACATCTACTGTATTTCCCCAAAAATAAGCCCTAACAGGAAAATAAGCCCTAGCATGATTTTTCAGGATGTTCGTAATATAAGCCCTACCCCCCAAATAAGCCCCAGTTAAAATCATCAGCCAGATGGATGCATTTAGTACATCCGTTGCAACACATGACAGATGTACTGAATTATAAAATAATAATATTAATATATAAATACAAATAAATAATATTTTTGACATTAATACTTAAAATAAATGATAATATAAATTAAGTATTTGTAAATACCCAAGCGGGTTCCTTTGGACGAGAGGTAAACAACTGTATAAACAGATGAACTCGAGACTTATTGCCAAATGACCAATCAGAGTACAGATACAACTCACAAATAACGTGCACACTTGATAAAGAATAGATGTGTTTTATAATTTAATACATTGTGTGTTGTAACGTACGTACTTAATGCACTCATATGTTGCCACTCCTGTCTCGTAAGACTTCAAGTAACAATTTAATGGTAGATTGAAAGGGAATAATATTTTGACCCCCAGACAAGATGAGTGCAAAAAGAAAGAGCTATTTCATCGAGTTCAAGAAAGGAATTGTGGAGGACTCTCGGGGTAAGAATCTTACGGCTTTCGTAAGAAAAAAAAAGACATCACCTGAAAATAAACTGTAATGCATCTTTTGGAGCAAAAATTAATATAAGACCTGGTCTTATTTTTGGGGAAACACGGTACCTCCTTAATGTGCATTTTAGAATTCAGTAGCTATGAGAACCTTTGGGACAACCAAGTCTTTTTGTCTTGCATTCCTGTTCCTTCTCCTAAGGACTGAGGCATTTAAATACCAGAGGCTGCAAATCTGCACACTTAGCAGGGAATAAACCTCAATGAGTTCCATAACTCACCTTTGAATAAACTGCTGAATCTACTGCCACTGAAGAATATGATATCAGGTGATATGGAAGTGAAATTGGTAGTACTGAATTCACTCATTTTGGGGACCACGTTGTGGAACAATCAAAGTTTATTCAGTGGAAGTCAGTTATTCATCTTAGTCTAACACTATGGCTTGCAAAGGATTTGCTTTTCACTCACCTGTCACTCCAAGGTCCGTTCCATTCTACTTGCCCCCAAGGATTTCTTAGCCGTACCAGTTTTATCTTGTCTCCTTTAAATGTTATCTTGGAGGGGGGAAATGTATAATTAATTTAACAAAGAGCCACCTGAAATTGCATAGTATGCATGTCTTTTGCATAGAATGGACAGTGACATTTTTATATTTGCCTTAATCTGTGCTTTATTTAGACTATTGCCTTTCACTGATGCTAGTGAATATCTATTCCTTTCTTCCAAGATGAAGCTGCTTATTTTGTGTACAAAGACAATAACTTTTTCTTATACCCCAGCAAAGATTATATCTGGCTTGTATTTATGTAATAATAAAGCAAATTCCATACTCGCCTCTTCCACTGCTGTAACTGAATAGGCATGCCCTGTGACCAGCCCATTAGCCATGCGCCTCTCAAACAGCATTGGAACTATGGTCTGTAAAAGACAGGAAAAGCATGTTAACAGCTGTGTCCGCCACACGATTTTTTTAAAGGGCAACATGATCTGCTCTTTTACGTTCTCTTGTTCTGTGCCAGAGTGCCCCGAGGATGGAACATCTCGTTAGATACATGTATCCCCTAATATACATGAGATTCACTAATAGTATGAAAACAAAAGCTTTGCTCTTTCTAATCTAGAAAAATATCTTGGTATAAGGCATGTGTGAATCTCTGCAAATTGTCCAACTAATCCCTGGTCCAAACCTATATTTAGGCTGCAATCCAATATCTACTTTATGTATTAATGTTTTGATTATATTTCTATACTGCTTTTTTTCCAATGGACTAAAAGCAGCTTACATTATTCTCTTCCTGCTGCTCTCAGTCCTATTCCCACAACAACACCCCTGTGAGGTAGGTTAGGCTGAATGTCTGTGACTGGCCCAAATTCACCAACTTGACTGCCTGGGTAAGTGGGGACTAGAACCCAGATCGCCTGAGTCCCAGTGCAACGCTCTAACCACCACACCACACTGGCTCATTTAACTGGGAGTAAGCTCCATTGAACTCATCGCTTCTGTATGTATTTGTACTCTAAAGAACAGGGCAAATAATCAGCTATGGGTAATTGCTACAATAAGTAGAGCTTTCGTGAATGAATGACACTTAATAACTGCATGCTTGACAAATACAAACCCGAGATGTCTTTTCTTCTGTCCCTTGGCCTGAGTAATCTGATAAAGCATAATATTCATTCTTCATCATTTCATCAATTAAAAATGAAATGTTACTTGGACGAACACTTCCGTAAACAAAGCCTGTATGGTCCTGGAATAGAAAAAGTAAAAAGGAAATTAATAGGAATACATTAGGAAAGAATAAAACAGAAAAATAGTGATTAGACAAAACAATGTGGATAAGGACTATTTCTATTGCCCACATGACAGAAGAATCTGTGGTCTTCTCAGTAGTGCTTAGTGACAAACAAATAACAAAATATACTTAAAAGCAATAGTGACAGCTTTGTATCCACACTTATTTATTGACTATGAAGTTCTGTTTCATTCATAAAATAGCAAATTTTCTCATTGTTAAAAATGTCTTGATTTCAAAGACTGTGGATGAGTTCAATGTCCATTAATCTAAAGAAAGAACTTTAATTTAGGACACACTAAAATAAGGTAACAGGAAAGTTACCTCTGTTGGTTCTGCTGTTACATTTTGTACTCCATTATGACTTTATAAGACATCACACAAGCATTTTCTTTTAAAGAAATGCTTTAATGAGAGCAATATATTAACCAAACAGCACATCATTAAGAAAACATTAATAACTATAACTATACAAAATAATAAAAAAGAAAATTCTGTAATATAATAAAAAGGACAAAACTATTCCAGACTTTTACCATGTGGTCACCAAGTAGTTTACATAATAAAATATTTAAAAAACAGGAATAAAAATCACAAGTAATTCAAAGATTCAAAACATGAATTATAAAGCGACAGTCAATGTCACTTTAACAAATTAAATCACTCAAATTCTATTAAACGCCAGGATGCCTACACACGAATTTGGGTGGTGTGAGATTCATTTTCTGGGCAATGAGTTTTGCAGCTGAGGGGCTGCTACACAGAACGCCTATCCTATTTATAAGCCCTATCCTATTTCAGTCCATATGTGCAGCAACACACTAAGACAGTCCTGTACGTGAAGGTACTGTCACCCAATTGGATATTGGACTGTATGGACTGCAGCAAGATTCCAGTGGAATGGTGGACAGGTATGTACCGGTTCAGTTACATCTAATGCTCATCTATTTCCATTGACAGGTCACCACCTGAGTATGTGTTTTCTTTGCCTTCACAGAGTATCAGCAGTATGAAATTAACCCAGGAAAATCCTGGGATGACTCAGGGCCAGTTATGGACATGGGAAAACCCCTAGTATTTTCCAGGACATACCTCAATGGAGCAAGCCATGAGTGACCCTCTCTCAATGGCATGCTTCATGATTTTATAGGTGTCTTTAGGAGCATCTTTTATCTCATAGAATTCTGTCACTCCTCCTGTGAAGTCCTCCATGGCCTCAGTGGTGTTGCCTCCTTTTAGCGCCTCATAAGACCCATGAAGCCTGAAAGGAAACAAGAAAAAATAAACACTTTTCTCAAATTGCCTCCATAATGTAAATCTAGATATTCAGACATCTAACCAATTGGCATTATTTAGCTTCAGAGTTTTGACTGACATCAATATACACTATGCACATACAGTTGAACATGGAGTATACATACTATAATCTGTGCATACACATCATACACAGTATAGACAGATTGAAAGAGAGGGCATAAATACCTAAAGAAGCCTTTTGGATTGCTTGCAGTCTGACCTGCAGTTTCTTGAAGTGAAAACCTCTTTAAGGAGGAACAATACACTTCTATATAGTAAACTACACAAAGATGAAGCATATATTATTTGCATGGGACACTGACCTGAAGGTCATTCAGGAGAAACAGAATAGCTATAATGTGAGTCTAAGACGAATCATGGCACTAACATATATAATCACATTTTTAACACAGAGAGATAAGTATTTATAGAAGGATAGATGCTAAGTGAAGTAAATGTGCTTACTTTGCATAGGCTTTTTCCAGTAAAGCACTCCAGAATTCATTGTGCTGGGAGGATTTGGTAAAGACCAGATGCTTGCCATATGTTGGTAAACGGTCATCAATGATAACTTCCACCCAGTTTCCATAACGCCAAAACTGAACATTAAAAAAAGCAGCCGATTAGAATTTGCAGTATTTTAGCTGATTTAGTGTGCAACCCTATGAGCTTGCCAGATGGAAGCCTCCAATCTCGGAAGCTTTAGAATGCAGTATACTCTTCTGGGCTGATGCCAGTATACTAGCAGGAGCTATACAAGTACCATCCTCCTTCGCATTTCTTGCCTCTAGATGGGCTTTGAGCGGGCGGCTTTTGCGCCCATCTGGAGTGGTGGAGAGGCCAAAGGATATGGCAGATCCTCTCCTCCCCTCTCCTCTCACAACCCACTAGAACATCCCTGTTTCGATGGCTTTTCCAGCCTCCAGGATGGCTTTTCTGCTCTTTCTGAGCAGCTGCTGCAGGGCGTTTAAGGGAGGGATCAGAATGCAGTCTCCTTCTTGAAGTTGTAGGTGCGTCGATGGCTTCAGGAGGGAATGCCAACAAATTCTTTGGTCTTTGGGATGCTCTCCCAAGGACCATAGATATGCTCTGTGGTTTATTGTCTTTTTAATTCATCCTACAGCAACTGTTGTATGAGCAGATTTCTTGGTCTCATCACCAATGGAGACAGGTTCCATGGGGAAGTGAGAAAGCCGCTCCCAGGTATTGGCACTCCCTGCTAAGGTAGGCTGGTTGGCACCTATCTATCATCCTTCCACTGGCATACAAGTGCATTTTTTACATAGGCCAACTTTGGGCAGGTAGGCTCGCTTGTTGCTGAATAGATTTTTAATTGGTTTGGTGCTGCTTATTTCTTTCATTGGTATTAGTTTTAATTTGTTTTAAGCCATGGCTTAAGTAAATCCTGAGTTTTATTACTGCTAGCTGCTCTGAGTTCCATCTTTGGTAGCTCAGGCCATAAATGAAATAAATACAATCATGACAACGAGCTGGTTTACTAACCGTGACTAAGGTGGACTTTACTACTAATTTGCAGTAGCTTAGGAGCTCTTAACATAGACTTTTTACCTAATACTTCCATGTTATCATTCCACGGTTAGCTTATAAAGACTATCAGTGACTGCTCATCGGGATGGCCATGTATTACCTCCCGAGTCAAAGGCTGCATGCCTCTCAGTGCCAGCTGCTGGGAAACATGGGTGGTGGAGTGCTATTGCACTTGTGTTCCACTTGTGGGCTTCCCAGAAGCACCTGGCTGGACACTGTGTGAACAGAATGCCGGACTAGATAAGCCTTCAGTCTGATGCAGCATAGCCCTTCTATTCTTGCTGAACTGGAACATTTTTTGTGTTCCACAACACAACAAAACATTTTCTCGTGTTCTTGTGTTCAACACTTCCACAACTCATACCTGGAAGTGAAAGATCCCAGCATAGTCTTTTATGAAGGTCTGGTCACGCGGTATGACCCGAAACAACAACTTTTCATTCAGGGTTAGACAAGCAATGGCAGCCAGGAACCAGCAATCACCTCAGAGAAAGTAAACAGAGAGGACAAAGTATGTGTTGGAATTGCCAAGAAGGAATGGAGAATAATCTCTGATGAAGAATTAGTGTTTCTGTCAACAATTCTTTCTTTTGCCCTTTAGCATATACACCTAGTGCTCATTATTCTAATTAGAAAATGGTCTGCCATAAATTAGTTTGCTAATATAATGCCAACCCAAAACTGGTCAGTAGAAAGGATTTCATACCTAGTTCTCCTTGGCAAATGTCACTCCGGTTGGCGCCACCTATGATAAAGCGTGGATTTTCACAAATTTCCTGCAGAAAAGAGATACACTGCTGAGAAGGACAGATAGACCTGCTTGCTTTGATAATTAAGGAGAAAAAAGAACTGTGATCTTGCGCTGGACTTTGATGGAAATCCTTCCTTATTTTGTTCATGATCAAAACAGAACCTGTGGTGGAACTATCGACAATCATCTTGTGTCTGATAGCTGCAATGACCTAATGAAAGTCTAGTAGAGCACTTCTTTACAGTACATTGTAATCCACTTTGTTGGGATGGGGGTTAACCTGAAAAGTGGGGTGGAAAGCTATTAAATCCAATAATATCAGGTATATGAAGAATCTTACCAGTTTCTTCATATACCTTTCAGTTTGAGGCAAAATATGTTTGGAGGGGAAAATGCTATAAGGAAACTGTTACCTTCTCTGACATGGAGTGAAGAAAGGAAGAACACTGGATCTAGTGAAGTCAGAGTTAGGGGAAGGAGAGAGAGTGCTGGGGTACCTTGTGTGAGGCATAATTGTGGAATTTCCACAGCTCATGTGCCTCCCTTGATTGGTTCTCTGACAATAAATTATTCCGCTTCTTCTCCCAGGAGTTCCACAGAGGCGCATTAAGGTACTCTTCACATCCACTGCTGTTGGCAAGGAGTCACAGCATTTCAGACAATGGATGCAGGAGGAAGGCATTCTGCTTTTCCTTTCCATTTGCTCATTTAGTTCAACAATGAGCCGTTGATTTAAGAGCAAAGGATGGGATTCTGGGGCTAACTGGTGCTTCCCTTTTTTGGAAACGGAATACACCACCCCTAAAGAGGTGGCCCAAGTTATTCTTTTTCTTTCCCAGGATACACTAAGTAACACCTGCACTGTTTAGCAAAACTAACCTTGCCAGGTTCAAATAAAATATAAACTCTCCCCCAAAAAGGGACTCTTGCATGAGCCTGTTCCAAATCATTGCGCTGTGTTCAGGAGAGCCTCTGAACCAGCTGAGAAATCTGAGGGACATACAGTAGCTGAGTATTGGAATCCTGAAATGCATCTAAAATGGCTACAAATTGTGCAAGAACAGTTCTGTTGACTCTTGATGATACAGAGATGTGCAAACTATACCTAGGAGTTGCATATTAACATGAATCATATAAGGAAAGGTTATAGTGGTGGTAATAATGGCAATAAGACATGGTAGTCTGGTTTTTGAGATGACTAGGTGCACCCTCAGTTGTTCACCCGTTCCACCCCTCCCTTCCCAGTCCTCCTGTGAGTAACCCAGGGGACACCATAGCAAGAGTGACTTGTCTCCTCCTTCCCTGTGGTGACTGTGAGCTGTTTGTGGCCACCTGCTGCTTTTTTGCACTTTACCCCCCAAATGCAAACGGTACAGCAAGTAGAACCCTGGGCATTACCTCAGAGAGGATTCAAATAGCTCCCTCTACCTTTTACTTTCTCTTGACAGCTGTTGAAAGGTAGATTATCAAGAGAAAGCAAAGGCAAAGTGATTTATGCTTGCAAAGATGGCGATGATGTGATCGACACACTCTTTGCAGCAAGAACCTCAACATCATTTATTTTGTCATGACAATCTACAGGCTGACACATATTTTGTATTGCCAAAACACTGGGCCCCCTTCAAAAAGAGATTCTGTCAGGGCAATGAGGGTTTTTGGCAATGCTTTTTTTGTAAAAAAAAAAAAAAAAAAGGTGCTGGAGCTCATGCCTTCGAGTCACATTTTTACACTAAAAAAGATGTTCAATTCACCAACTTTTTTTGAAATAAAGAACTTATTTACCTTTTGCACGTAGCCAGTCACTCTACACATACATAAACGTAATGGTTGCCGCCGGCAGTAAGCACTCAGTGTGTGACCACACACACCAATCCCAAGCTGAGCAGCGTCCCAAGCCGAGCAGCACCCTCACAATCAGCATGGACACACAAGCAGCCCGCAGGCACTATTTTAATAATTTTTGCCGCTGACCTGCTACACCCGACAGGCGATTCAAAATCACTTTGTAAAATCCATTGGAAAAATCCGTCAAAAAAAGATGCCGGAACACTGTTCCGGTGCGTTCTGTGACAAAAAAGCCCTGGTTTTTGGAGTGGGATATGTAGAGCAGAATGTCCTTGCCAAAAACCACCCAGTTGTCAAGAAGCAGCACAGAGAAAAACCTATTTGGAGACTGATTTGGCAATGTCCAGGGTTGGTACTTGCTGCATCTTGGCAGCAGATAGCTCCCCAGGCCGAAATGTCAAATTCTTGCAGCTGTGCAATTGCAATTGCTCATTCGGATGTTATTTAACTATTGCATATTAAAATACCTCTCTTGGAAGATGCTTTTGTAATGGCATTTTCATTCTTTGTTCATGGAGCACCTAACATGTGAGACTAGGTTTGATCAATCAGAGGCACACCCTGGGCCAGTTAGTACAAACACAGCTAGCAAAATAGTCACTTGACTTTTTAACCTGTTGCATTGCCTCTTCGATTCCCCTTGCTGGTGCAGCTTGCCATGTTGACCAAACCCAAGGCTTCTTTGGTGGTAGTGGAGGGACAGGAACCCTCAAATAACTCAACTCTGCTCCCTCAAATAAGCCATGGTGTCAGGGCTTCGATGATAAGGCAAACCACATCAGCAAGATTAATTAAGGAAATCCAACTGGCACATGCAATGGCGTGAACAAGCCACTGTGGCTTGTAAACCAAGCAGTGATCATGCAAACTGGATCATCATCTGGATCAGCTATTGAAGAGAGGGGTGTCAGTTCTTGAAAGCCAGGGCCACCTTGTCTCAAAGCAATCACAGTATCGATAAAAGATAATGAGACACCTGAACTGTTATTTCAGAGCTGGAAAAGCACAATCATGTATTTTAAAACAGAAGCTGATGGTTCTGCCTGGCATTGAAATCTGCCTAGTAAATTTTAGATCTAGATCCTGAATTCAGTTAAAACCATTGCCAACTAAAAAGCACCTTTTGAGGACTGAAGAAACAACAAAATGATAGCCTTTAAAATCCTGATATTTTCAAGATATCGCACTTTTTTTTTTTTTTTGCACCTATGCCTTTTGATTTGGAATGGAAAGATGACTTGATTATTACTGGCAACTTTTAAATGACATCAACCTTTAAATCATATAAGAAGCCTACTCACTAGTGGCCTCTTCCACTCAAATTTGACAGGGAGCTTTTGGCTGAAGAAGAGGGAGCTGTCATTGGCTGGGAAATCTGGATCTTCATAAAGGATCTTCTTTTCGAGGCATTTCCTATGCAGCTCGTGAAAGGTCTTTTCTTTTACTCCAATGATGGGCTGATTGCGGCTTAGGATAGCAGAGTAGATCCCTCCTGTTCCTCCACATGTTTCAGTGACTGCAGTACCATGCTGATGGGTGACCGATCCAGCCCTGGTCTCTTGAACTATAGTAGCACTCACGGCCGACGGCATGGAGACCAGATTTAAGCAAATTTAGCAATTAAATGGCAACAACAAAGTAAGGGTGATCTTGCAATTTGGAAGGAAGCAACAGAAAAATAAGCTGATCTGTAATCTTTCCCCTCCTTCTGTCTGTAAAAGCTGAAGCAAAATTATACAGACCCAAGTCAGCAAGTTGTGTACATGTCATCTCATGGCTCTTGTCATAGTAATTCTGCCATTCGATGTCAAAATCATCATTGCAGCAGGAAGCAAGAGAAATCGTTGAGCAATGTTCACCTCCAGATTTGTGTGTGATTGTGCTGATGGCATGCTTTGTAAAGGTTGCAGCTCAGAAAACTAAAAATAAACTCTTAGGGGGAGGGTGCTGATATGGAAGAGGGGATGAAGAGATTCCTGCTCTGAGTTTGTTCTTTCAGAAGGACTAGACAGCCTGAAGTGGTCAAACAGCTTGAATCAACATTTTCCCCACCCTCATGTAAAGTTCTTGAATCGCTTCTATAAGGACCGTAAGCTAATTTTTGAAATGACGACTGGAATTAAAAGGACAACTATATAGAAGCAGCAGTGCAAAAAGTCCTGGAGGTTTGTATTAATGTATTAAATTCCATGTTTCTCAAGCATATTTAGAGAGAGCTTCCTTTCACATTCTCATGGAGCAGAAGGTAGAGTGCTGGTGGAGCAAAAGGGGCTCATACCAGCAGCCTTACCCACGTGATGGCAGTGGTCTGCAGCAGTGTGGAAGGGGCTCTTATGAGGATCGGGTAGGGCGAAAGCCAAAATTGTTCAGATCTGCTAACCACATCTGGATTAACATAAAGGAACTTGCAACAATTGCTTCATGACACAGGATCCTTTTGGGGGAAGTTTTGAGTAAGAAAAGGAAGTGGGCAAGCCGCTCTCCCTCACTCCCAGACAAGGAAGTTTTAATTCAGGTTGCTGCGTAAGAACATAAATAAGCCATGCTGGATCCTTCCAGTCCAGCACTCCATTCACTTGGGGAATGGCGAACCAGCTGCCCAAAGGATCCCTCATACGGGATGGGTACAAGACCTCTGCCTGCCTGAACTCCTCAGCAACCGGTGTACTTAGGCGTACCTCCTCTGGCAATGCAGGTACCCTGAAGCCAGCAAGGCTTGCAGCCACTGTAGCCTCTTCCTCCACTAACCTGTCCAATCCCCCTTTAAAGTTCTCCGCTTTGATGGCCATTGCAACTTCCTGCCACAACTGTACGCTGTGTGAGGAGAACCAACAAACAAACTGCGGTTAGAAAGAGAGCTGCACTTTGGATTCCAGTGTAGCAGCATTTTGGGGTGTTCTCTGTCTTCCTGGAGACTTCATGTTGGCGCGTTTAGGCTTGACTGCATTGAAAAAAGGCTACAACTGCCAAGTAAGCTTCCAGGCTCAGGCCAAAGTGCTGGACTTGACCTTGAAGCTGTAAACCCGAAGCTTAGAACTGAAACAACTCTTAACTCATCTTTTCCCACTCCAATCCACTGGGATGGTCTTCAGAGGCATTTCCCCAGGTGCTTCTACCACTCAGGAAGTGCTCCCTGAGCTACTGTTGTTTTAACGGCATTCTCCCTTGCAGTAGAGCAAATATCAAGCTACTGGAATGAATTTAATGTTTCCACCTTCATGCTCGGAAGTGATGAATCTACTCTAGAACACCATCTAAAAACCATTAATGGTTAAAGCAGGTTGGATGCTGTCTTCCTCGTTTCCAAAGTATCAGTTTATCTATAGGGTCTAAAAATGAAAAGAAATATTGTCATGATTTTGAGGACAGTCTCATAAAAATATCGGGGATATTTTTTGTAGCATCAGTTCATGTTAAAACCATAATTTTAATATGTACTACTATTGTAGTATCAGTATATTTTATTTCCTAAATAATAATTTTAAATAATTACATCCTGGGTTAGTTGGATTGGAGCACAAGAGATTCAGCTTCTAGTCCCTACTTGTTCATGAAGCTCACTGAGTTACTCTAGGCCAGTCACAGACCTTCACCCTAGCCTACCTCACAAAGTTGTTGTGAGCATAAAATGGCGGACTACGTAAGCCGCCTTGGATTCCTTTCAGAAGAAAAAAGGGTGAGATGTAAATGTAACATGACAATAATACTGTATTAGTCTCAGTGCTTCCCCCACAAAAAAATACCTGACTCAACTTGCTCCAAGATTCTCAAAGCAAATTCAGGAGAGTCTGAAAGTGCATTGTTGTTGTTAGTTGTGAAGTCATGTCCGACCCATCGCAACCCCATGGACAACATTCCTCCAGGCCTTCCTGTCCTCCACCATCCCCCGGAGTCCACTTAAGCTCACACCAACTGCTTCAGTGACTCCATCCAGCCACCTCATCCTCTGCCGTCCCCTTCTTCTTTTGCCTTCAATTGTTCCCAGCATTAGGCTCTTCTCCAGGGAGTCCTTCCTTCTCATTAGGTGGCCAAAGTACTTGAGTTTCATCTTCAGTATCTGGCCTTCTAAAGAGCAGTCAGGGCTGATCTCCTCTAGGACTGACCAGTTTGATCTTGCTGTCCAAGAGACTCGCAGGAGTCTCCTCCAGCACCTCAATTCAAAGGCCTCAATCCTTTTGCGCTCAGCCTTCCTTATGAAAGTGCATTGCTGCCCTCCAAAATTTTCTCAAAGCATCTGTATTCTGTGCCATGCTGCTACTTTGCTAAGTTTGATTTTGGTTAGAGAGACACACTGATCCCCACAAGTGCTTAGCCTATTTCTATATTCACCCCCATCTCAATTAGCAATGAACATATAATACTATTTAAATTACAGATGCCTCATTTCCAACATTTAATTTTCTGTGTTTGCATTTTAGACCCAGGTTCTGTTTACCTCTCAAGTAGCAATTAGATTACTGTGAGGCATGCGTGAACTACGCTCTGGCAGCTGCGCTTGGGGGAATTCAACTTGGTGAGCTCATCGCTATGATTACTTCAGGTTACTGCAATACTGTAATACTACCAATGACAGAAGTATGCGAGCTGTAAAAGTCTGCTAGTGACTTTATATTTCTGGTTTATTTCTCTAGCAGAATGCCAAGTAATTGCATCATCGGGAGAGTATGCCTTATGTTATTAGCCACTTTGCACTCTCATCGATTGGCCTGATATTAAATAATTCCTCTGGGGTAACAGTCATAAAGACTATTTTTAAACAAACCAGTTGGAGCACTGCTATAAAATCCTAGTCAATGTTTTTCCATGATATACTTCTGGCGCTGCCACACTGCAGCCTGATGAACTTGATAACAATGCAGGCTGAATGTGATCACTGCTGCTGTGGTAACCCGAAAGAGGGTGTGGTATTAGATTCCAAGCCCAACTATGCAATGCTATACGTATTAATTTGTGCATCATTCCTAGTGGAACTTGCTTCCAGTTAAACAGGCACAGCCCTTCTCCACACAAAATGAGTAACAGCAGACTAACTTTGGTGGTGTAAGAGCAGGCTCTCAAGTTGTACCACCAAAGCTCTTCTTCGCAAGTCAGCAGATACATGAATCTTTCCATACTGATAGGCCAGTCCACCTTAGCTATTTTCTGTTGACTGTTATGACAACCAAGCCAAGCAATCCTCCAGAGGAGGGCAGGCAATGTTCGACTCTCTTGAATTTCTCACCATTAGCTATGCTGGTTTAAGTTATTGGGAGTTGTAGCCAGAACATCTAGAAGGCCCCAAGTTGCCCACACCTGTATTGAGGTAACACCACTGATTTGTGCTATTAGAACTATGGCTAGAATCTCTACCTGCCAAGTTAGGAAAATCTGGGTAGCTGTGTCTCCAACACTGCAAAACCTTTTTTTATTTGTGTGTGGTTAGCTGCCTCATTGGTGAATTTCAAATATGCTTCAAAGACCTTTCTATCCTGCTCTGCTTTTAACAAAATTACTGGACTGAAAAGTTATTTTAAACTGCAAATTTTTAAAAATGAAAGCTTTATATGGTGATATTTTATGTTGGTTTTTTTCCTGTGAATTAGCTTCAATTTTTATTGCGAACTGGCTTTCCAAATAGCTATACAGATTCTGAAAACAACCTAAGAAATGAATCAGATCTTTATCTGCTATAGATTTACACTGGTTCTGCAGCTCCTATTTGACAACAAGGTGTATAGTCTGCCAACTAGTCCAACCTTCTCCAGTGAACACCTCCAAGGGAGGCTTTGACTGTGGTGACAAGAGCCTTTTTAGTGGTGCCCCCTAGTTATGAAATTAGCTTCCCATTGAGGCCCACCGGTTGACAACTTTGCTATTTTTGGTGAGAGTTAGACCACCCTCTACTGTAGGGCATTTAATACCGGGGCCTGCTGGTTGTTAGATAGAATTGGGTCTTTTAAAAGTGTGATTTCTGTGCTCTGTTTATTTGGTTTTTTTTTACTAGGCAACTTTTAAGACATTTTAATTGGTATAATTCATATTGTTTCTAAATATGCTGCTGTGAACCACCCAAGCAGCTTTGGCTGTTGGGTGGTATAGAAATAAACAAGTGGGCTGGAGGGAAGCCAATAGTCATAAATATTGGTGTAACGTGCCATGTTAGTCAAGTTATACATTCAGGCTGGAAAGAGTAGTTTTTAACCCAGCTAAAGGTGGTTTGAGAGCAGAATCTTTTTACAGGGTGTTCATGTATTCCTTTTCCTTCACTTGGAACAGAACAAATGATTCCTGGATCTGGATTCTGTTGGAAATGTTGGTCACCTACCATCCTTATGAGAGAGACTGAGGATGGGTTTTTCATTTACCTGCGAGAGGTAAGATGCGTTTGAAAAATGTTCTTATTGGTCAAACAACTACCTAATAAAGCTGAAGCTCTTGTATCTAGTTCCAGTATTCCCATCATGATGACTGTGATGTTATATTTGCATCCTGCCCTTTTTCCTCTTGCAAGGAAGCCAAGGTGGCTCACATGGTCATCCTCTTCTCTGCTTTATCCTTACATCATCCCTGTTAGTTAGGTTACACTGAGAGTTAGTGGCTGGCCCAAAATCACTCAGTGAGCTGTGTGGCTGGGTGGGGACTAGAACCCCCGTCTCCTGAGTCCCAGTCCACATCTCTGACCAGTACCCATGCAGCAGTCTCACCCAGTTGTCCCAGCAAACTCAGCGAGGCTTCCTTTTGAGTAGATGTACATAGGATAGCACTGTAAGGCAAGACATTACCAGACCGATTCCAAGCTCATCTGACAACCACAAGAGCTAAAGCTTTATTTTAAACAAATCAGAATCACTGAGCAGACAGAGTCTACACCAAACTTCATGCTGCACAACATGCACACCAAGATAAAGAATATTTTTTATGTGGTAGGTTTATATCCTGCCTTTCTTCCAACTTTGAGCTCAAGGCAGTGTCCGTGTGGGGTTCCCAGGCCGTCTTCCATTCAGGCACTGACCAGGCCCAGGGTGCGAGAATCACATGCCCTCCACCATGCATTGGAAGCAGCATATGTTCTGGCCTTAAAATAGTTCCATGGGAAAAGTGGGAGAGATCCTTAACATTCCTTGGAAAGCAGGCTTGCATAGCTCAATTTACATCCAGCAGCTTAAAATGCAGTCACAGCAGTTTGTTCTAACGAACGCTGCCTCTGCCAAATTCCCTTTGCAGAAAGTGACGTCAGGGGAGTTGAGGGAGGAACCTCTGCAGTGGAGGAAACAAAATGCTATAGAGAGGGGAAGTGTCTTTTTTGCACGTGAAAGAGATATGGAAGGCGTGGTTTTTCTTCGTCAAACCATATTTCAGGATATACTTCTTTATGAATACATCAAGCACTAACATCCTGGGTGAAACATGGTGCTCCTCTTGCTTGAGAGGCCTGCAGCTCAACCCTGGAAGGAAGTACTTAAGTCTAAGCAGATACGTCTGAGGAATACAGGGACTCCTCAAGGAAAAAAGATCTGTATCGTAAAGCTAGGCCTTTGGGATGAGAGAGGCAACTGCATGAGAGACAGAACAGAATGTTAAATAAGTTATACAACATATTATTTTCAGATGGAACACCTGACACTGCTAATACCTATGCTGTGCACTATGGAATGTGAGCCTGTGCAAGAGAATCATCTTGCACACCCTTCACAAGAGGGTGGACCTTTATAATTGTGATGTAGAGGTTAAACTATTGGACTGGGAATCCAGGGGATCTGGGTTCTAGTCCCCACCTGGCCACGAAGCTCAGTGGGTGAATGTGGCCAGTCACTGACTCTCAATGTTATGGTGAGGATAAGAAGAGAAAGAATATGTAAGCCACCTTGAGCTCCTTGAAGGAAAAAAGGTAGGCTATAAATATAATAAATACAACGGTGTACCATGTGCAAGCTTTTTAGACTAAAACAATCCCCCCATAAGGAAGAATTTATTGTGTTGATTTGTTCTGAAATATGGGACATTGTTATGTTCAATAAAAGTGTGATCATCACTAATAGTCTAGCTGCCATATGGAACCTGAAGCTTCCAGACACTCAAGAGCAGCTCCACGTAAAGGGCACTACCACAGTCTAACTCTGATGTAACCAGAGCACAGACAACAAAGCACCGAGAACAGAAAATCTGGGGTGTACAATCTAATATGTAAATACACTGTGGCCAGGGACAGTTGTGAGTGGAGCACTACACAGAGTTGTGCCTTGAACACTACTGTTTCCTGAAAAATCCAAACTAAACCTTTGTTAGGATCTATGGGGCAGTGCCAATCTGGACAAACTTCTAAAATGTTGAACAGCACTGAAAGCAAGGGCAGCCACTGTGCTCCTGTCTTCTGCATAATGGAAGAACTGTTTTTTAAAGTTGTATACCGTATTATAAGACAAACACTCCTAACCTACAGAGCCTTGTGCTTTAACATGACTGAAATGCTCAGTAAAGCTAAGTTTGAATATTACAGTGGGCAATATCCAATAATTACCATCCACAAGCATCCAGTCCTGCTGGTTCCACTGTGCAAGCAGGATCAATCGCTTGTGCAACTGAGATTTCATGCTTCTGGGGGCAACCTGAAATGAGTGGAAACGCTACTTTCCAGAATGGGGCAGGCTGGCAGAGCCCACACAAGAGAGCTCTGCTGACCTGCCCCATTCCAGAAATTAACATTTTCACTGATTTCAAAGCTTGCCCCAGAACTGCCAAATTTCTCTGTGACAAGCAAGTGATGGACTCTGCTTGTGCAATGGATTGGTGTGGCTCACTGCTTGAGGACTAGAAGCACTAGTGATCCCTGCCTGTGAAACTGAAGGGGCAGCAAGCCCCACTTATGGATAGGTACCACTGGATATTGTCCTGAATGTTTAAATGACCCAGTTTTAACCTTTCTGCCATATTGTTTTGCCATTCATTCTAAATTCATTACTACTTTGGTTTGTTCTTGTACCGGAAGCATGCTCACAATAGTGTAAGTTCTATGGACTAAGTTAAATGATGAACATTCACTCAAGACAATTTCTTTTCTCCCATGTAAGAAAACTGTGTTGTTTTATGGAGCTGAATTTCTCCATAGGTTTTATAGCTGGATTACAGAAACAGTCCTCAGTGTTAAGTTTCTCTGTCCAAGACCACTTTGCAGAACAAATTTTCTGTTCTATGTTGGTGGATTTAGTACAGATTGTTCTAAGTTGTTTCCTTCTCTGAGACATTCATTACAAGGATGAACACTGAGAAACAAAATCTGGAACAGAAGGGGAAAAAATCCATCAAAGCAAGAAAGTATTCCAGCTGCTGTTGCTTGGATACATGCGGAACAACGTTTTCCCACAACTGCAAAACCCTGGAAGCAAGCCATCCTCAGCAGAACAGTTGTTGCAAACAGTTACTGGCAAGTTGTCATGTGCAAAGAATACCTTGAATCTTAATTAGCAGAAACTACACAAATTTTGCCTAAGAAAGTTCATGATTTGCTTATTTGGGGAAAAAAAGCATTTCAAAAGAGTCAGCTAAGTTACTCCAAACCACTGTTTCTCCGTTTTTCTTCCATTTCTTTGCTGCTGTAGCTTCACTTGATTTGAAGCACCCAGTCAATGCCAACATTTAATGAAAGCTTTTGAAGGGTCAACACAGAGTTCTTCACTGAACTTTCGTAAGTGAAAGGCACTGCTTTGTCTTTCCCATCTGAATATTAATAGAATTAAAATATATGTTAGATTAATTAAAATATACTTCAGTCTTATATGAACATCTTAATAGGGCTGTTCAGCAAAACCCTAGTCCAGCCTTCCCCAGCCTGGTGCCAGCAAGATATTTTGAGCTACAGTTTCCAAAATTTCCTGACCATTGGCCATGATGGCAAGGGCAGATAGGCACTGAAGTCCAAAACATCCAGAAGGAACCAGGTTGAGGGAGGCTGTCTGAAATGTAGCCCCTGCACCAAAGCCAATTCTTCCCTATTAAATAAACTTTAGGGCTAGGTCATACTACCCTGACTTTTCACACATTATCCTGAACATACGGATCTGCCAGGAACTGGTTTCAGGTGAAGATGGACCACTGATGTGAACTGGCCAAATCCAGCAATGCTAGGGAAATATGTGACTAGTGTGAGAAGGGGTGTTCTGCTTTGGTTTAGATTAGGGAATATGGAAGGGGGAATATTCATGGTACAGTCAATAAATATACCGAAGGGGGACTGACTGGAGTAGCCTTACCTTCCACACTGCTTGATGGTCTCCCCCACTGGTGCTGTTGCACATTCAGAGAACATGAGAAGGCTCTCTAAGTGCATATGAACACAGAGATCTTCTACACCAGCCTTCCCCAACTTGGTGCCCTCCATACTGCTGGGATTACAACACCCAGAGTCCCTAACCCTTGGCCATTTTGTCTGGGGTGGATGAAACCTGTAGTGTGAAGGACATTGGGTTGGGAAGGATGTTCTACATGAATGGGAATGCTGGACCGATTAGGTTCCTCCTTGCATGGAGCTTCTCTACATGTATAAAGCTCTTTCCCACTTGCATCAACACATGGGTGGCCGGGACATGGCCCCTGGAGATGCTGATGCCAGGACTAGCCAGTGCAAACTGAACACATGGTGAGAGTTACCCCCCCCCCACACCCAGCTGACAAATAAACAGAGGTACATTCTCTGTGGACTATCCCATGTGGTTCCATTGCAGATAATTCTAAAAAAACCAACGTCAACTGTGGAAGCATCCTAAAATGTAAAGCTGTTCTGTCTCTTACTGTGGATGCTGACAGTCACAGAGGAAGGTTGCTTTTTCATTCCCAAAATCAGTATCCGTTCAATGACACATCCTGTAAGAAACTGCCCATTTTCATCTGCACACCTGGAGGAATAAAGAGACAGAAGATGGCCTTGAGGTCTGTGTAGAAAACACTGCTTCCAGTACTAGGATTGGTTTCTTCTTTAGCAAACTCCCTTATCAAAAAGCTCTTCATGCTTTATCAAGGTCTCCAACTCCAAAAGCCTTTGACACAACTTTTGTCTGTCTTGGTAATTCGCGTGTGTGTGTGTGTGGAAAGGGGGGTACAACTTGCCCTCCTCTTCAATACATTTCTGATAGATTTCCGAGGAGGAGGTTGAGTTGGCTTAACTTATTTAGCTGATCAAATTTCCTGGCTTCTCCAAACAGACCCAAGGCTCTCTGAAAGGTGCTAGAGCATGTTTCCACATCTAGAATGCTCATGAGAACAAGGCTTCTTCAGTGTCACCCTTAGCTAGGGTTGTCCTATTAGCATTTCTAATGTCTCACATATTTCGTAGTGCTCCTTCTTTGCACGAATTTAGTCACATGCAAGTGTATTTCTCTGAAATACTGCAAGTACCAGCAATCTTCATTATACCTGGACAAGGTCCGGGCCATGTGGAGCAATATTTGTTAGGGTCTTGTGCATAAGATTCCATTATTTTGTGATCAATGGATGAAACCCAGTTCGCCTAGTTTATAGTTCCACTACATAAAAGATGTCCAATACCAAAGTACTGCCCTAGGAAAATTAACACTTTTGCCTTTGCCCTCATAGTGCATGTTACCTAGATGAGAAAACATTATTATGGAAGGTGAACTTTCTGAGCAGGAACTGCTTGTCATGGAGATACTGAAATGAATGGCCATCATCCAAGTAGAGCTCTCCTGATGCAGACCCCTACAGAGAAGGTAAGATACAGTTACCACTGCTCAACAGAGAATAAACAAAAATGGAAAATCACAATCATTGCTATGTGCTAATGTTTAAGTACATAAGAAAGAGAAGGCAGTCTTATGAACACAGAGGAGGGATCAGCTGTCCTTGACCTAGGAGATCAAGTTGTAATTAGACATAATGGCATTAACAAAGGCTTGTTTAGGAATCTACTTGTTAGAGTGGGTGAATATGGATGACATGTGCTACAAATGGCAACCTACCCCTTGATGAACTGTTACTTCACCTTGCAGTATGGGCAACCTTACCAGTGTCCGGCACCTTTGCAATCCCTGGTCAGGCACATAAGGTGACAAAATGGTCTCGCTTTTTGGCAAGACAATCACCTGGAAAGTGCTCATTTGTATTCTTCCTTTTTTGGTTGTTTGCCAGTTTTAGAACTTGAAGAGCAACAAAAATATGTAGCATATTAACCAGATACCAAGGGGGTTTGCTGACATATCGATCAGGCTCACAATGTTTTTTACATTTTCATGATTTGTATAAAGGTGGCTTTTCCTTTGATTTGAGAGAACAGAAATAAAAAAGATGTTTGAAGGAACTTGGTCACCTCCCCACAGTATGTTCTGACTAGCTCTACATTCATGGTGGGTTAGGTGGGATACAAGTCTTTGCTACATGAAGGACAAAAGTGGGAGCCAAGGTCATAAGGACAGAATTGGAGAGTCAGAACAGAGGAAAGATGGAAAGTTATACAGTGTGTATAAAGTTTTTAAAACCAAGGAAAATAAACAAAGTGCATGTATAACAATATACTTTCAAAATACCATGTGATCTAGGGCAGCACGCAGTTCATAAGAAGCCTCTATCATCCACTCTGTGGATTTTCCAACAGATGTCTTGAGTGGTATAATAGTTCCCCCACGATGCATTACAGGAATCTGAGTACAAAGAAAGACAAAAGCAGTGAAATCAAGAGGTCTCTTTTGAGGGAGGGTGAGCAAACAATGAAAAACATCTTCCTCATCTGCTCATGTACAGCTGCTGTCTTAAGACTTTTAAAATTAAGTCTTATTTTTCTAGAGTAGATAATGAGGCTGAACCGTTAGAAGTCTGATATTACGGAGAACAAAGTTTACAGATCATGAAATTGCTACAAAAGCAGCTTAGTGCCTGTGCAAGTGAACTAGTTTTAGATGTTTAAGGTATTTTCACCTGCATTGTACAGCTGGGCATCTTGTAGGGACACAGTGGCCTGGTTTGTGCATCACAATCGCAAAATGCATTATAATCCACAATTATGGAACTGAACCATGAACAATTACAGAACTGAACCATGATCAAGCTGTCTCTAGCTTTCTATAAAGAGCTCCTGATTAGTGCAGTTTGTCAGTTGTGTCATTTAAATCTGGTTTCTTGGAATGCTTAGGAACTAGAAAACCCAACAGTAATCCAGTAACAAGCCGCATACCGATTCAACACTGTTTACAGAAAGTTGGTGTGTTTTGCATGCATCCACACAAGTAATGGATGATTTTCCAACATGACATGCAAATGTCCCCTTTTTCTTTAGACAGTAACTTCAGAAGTATGTTTTTGTGAGACACTGAGCCCCCTTCAGAAGTATGTTTTTGTGAGACACAGAGCCCCCTTGTAATACATTTTAATTTTTGAGTTACAGCTAATGTTTACTAACATTTGAGATGAACAGGTTATAACAGCTCTCAGTTCTGACCAGCCCCCAGATGGTCTTGCAGCAGATCCTTGATTTTTTAAGTCAGACCTGTTTGTAGCTTTCATTTATACACCAAACTTCTCAACCCAGTATATTACCTTCTTTAGAATATATCCCCAGGCTTCGGCGAATGGGGCGGCATAAAAATGTTTTAATAAATAAATAAATAAACAAATTCTCTTGAGTAACTGGAAAAATTTGAGGAGCATTTTCTGTTGTTAATAATATAAAAAACAAACATACATTGTTCAATGTTACTGGAACCTTCAGTATGCCTTGTCCATCCAGATATCTCAGTTTTCGAAAGTCATACCAGATCTGCAGGACAATCATCAGGAGAAAGCAATAAGTATGCATTACTGGTTTAGAGAGTCAAAAGCCAGGTCCTTACTTTGTTCCAGGTGAGTCACAACATAAAACCCTTACACAATATCAAATCCATGAAAAGTTCATAAATATCCCCAATCATAAAAGTGGCAAGATATCAATTAAAAAACTAAACAAAAATAATAAATCTTACTGTTTCAAAAAAGCCACATTTCCTCTACAATAAACTTAGCAGTAATTTACATTTATATCCCTTTTCAGAAAACTCAGTTCACAGCGTTGGAGTAACCACAGGAAAGACCCTTTTAGTAGCTGTTGCTTCTCCTGTCACAACTGAGTCGCAATTCTTCATAGGAGCAGGTTCAAGGTCATATTGGGCTTTAAACAATGGGGCCCTGAAGCTGCTGCTGTTGACACAAGCTTCTCCAAAGCAAAGGGCACTATAGAGTGATCATGCTGATTGCCAAAGCCAATCTCACACTTACATAGTTATACCTATTCCACGAATGCCTAGCAACCTAATTTAGTCGAAAGCCTCAAAGAAAGAAAAGGGAAGGAAATTAACTGACACAGCCTTTCCTTACCTCTTGTTGGCCTGGCAGAAAAGCACTGACTGTAGTGACCTTTGGTTCAGTAACTGGATACACCAACAAAGCATTTCCTGAATTACAAATGAACCGAAGGAAATAGAATTATAACATTATTTTCCATTAGTTGAATTCAGTATTCATTTGCAAATTCATTTGCAAAAATCATACCTAATTCATGGAATGATGCCAAATTACAAACATATCCAGAATTGACAAAATAGACCATATTTGGATATGCCAACAGTAGATCCTCTTCATAAATTATTATTCATTGTTATTCATAAATTCTACTGCGCTTTCCAGCATTAAAAGGTGTTTTATAGTGTGTATCTAATTCGTTCCACAACAACCCTGTGAAGTAAGTCTGGGCTTTGTGTCTGGCTTGGGATTTGAAGAGAAGCTGCTAAACCCCACATGCTATCCATTAGGTTACAGTGGACAATACTGGATGCAAAGCAGAAGTGGAAAGGAGATGGGAGGCAGCACACTTGCTTGCTCTTGTAGAGCATCAAAAGCAACTGTAGGTAAATAAGCCACGGTTAGTCAGTATGCGTGAACCAGGTCCTTGTGTGTGCTGTCCTGCTCCTTTAGGGCAACTTCTTCATATTACACCCCTGCCAAGCTTACAAAATATCACAGTCTATAGAACGTTTAAACCTACCAAGCATAAACTCATCTTCAATGCCAAAAGTTTCCAGTTCCTTGGGAAATTCTACCCAGACAGGCCTATAGAAAGGAAGAAAGCAAAATCTTGAAGTGTTCTCTTTCTGGAAGATGTATTCCATGATTCATGTCAACTACTTAGGATCAGCACTTTCACCTTGTCACCTTAACAGCTCCTGTGTAAAATCTAAATGCTTAAAGGCACAATCAACACCCCTTGCTCTACATGCATTTAAACCTCCAGCTTGGAGGCTTCTTTGGACTCCAGGGCCCAGCCCATGTGTTTTATCTAGACAACAATTTTTGGTCACTGGGGGTGGGGGGTGGGGAAGGATACTGGGGTGCTTATAGGAATCAGCATAGGTGTTGGCACCAATCTTCTCTCCTTCCTGACTTGCTCCAACATGCTCCTTTCCCCCTCTTCAAGGCACCTTTGCCTTCCCGGAGGGGCAGCTGGCGTGGTTCTTTCTGTGCTGATTGCAAGAAGGGTGAAAGCTTAAGGTTTGCCATCCCAGCACGGAGTCTCAGGGCCTCAGTGCTGGGACTCCAAAAATCCAATGGCCCTCCACACAATACTGGGAGACCACAGGATTGTACCCTTCATGATATTCTGAGCATTTCAAACCCATCAGTACTTAATGCACTTCTTTCATTGGGAATGGTAATAGGTTAAAAAAAAAAGAAAGAGAAAACCGAATTTTCAAAGTCATTATTGAATTAACTTTATAAGAAGAATCAGTCACAACACAGCATACATTTTACTTGTAACATATTTTTGTCCCTTTAGAAATCTTAGGGAATGCTTTACCTCTCTATTATCTTTCCTTTCTTTCAATGATGAAGAAACAGGTAGAATGAAGAATTCACTAAAGATTGATTCTGTTTGAACTAGTTTGAATTAGGGCTGTTCTTTGCTGCATTTCAAATACTGTTGACACCCAAAGAAATGTAATCGATTCTATTTATCAGCCATGTTCACATTGTTTTACCTCTATCACTATTCAGTCCTGTTGGTTAAAGACAAATGACAGAGTTTGTGCATTATATTAAACAAGAAAGAACCCAGCAAGTCACAAGCTTGTGCATTTCCTCCTCTCACCTGGACAAGATCAGTGCTGCCAATTCCAGTTTAGATTAAATGCAGTCTAGTATGTTATTTGAATTGGAAACTATGGTTAAATATAACTATGGTTAATAAAGCAAGCCACAGTTTAAAGTAGTTTTGCTTCCCCTGTGGTTCATAGCAGCCACAGTTTCTTGTGTCTGAATGACAGAAGCAGCCAAGAACAATAAAAAATGGAAACAAAACTTTTGAATGCTTCCCTGTGGCTACAATGAAAGAAGAGTGGGAAATGCACATGCTCAAGGCTTGCTGCAGCTCTTCAATGTAATACCAAATTATGGTTTAACATTATATGCAAATGAGCTCTCTGGGGGTCTACGCTGGACAGTATCCAGCATATCTGATCCTATTAAAGATATCTGATTACTAGCTGATGCTGCTGAGTCTAATGCAAAATGGTATTTGGATGGAAACCCTGTGAATCTGACACAAGATAATATGGACAGGGGCAAGATTTCCCAGGTTTGACTGTATTTCAATGTATTTTATCGTGTTGTAAGCCGCCCCGAGGTTTCGGCAAGGGGCGGCATAGAAATGTTATAATAATAATAATAATAATAATAATAATAATAATAATAATAATAATAATTTAACTTGGAAATTTACAAGGTTCTTCTGAAAAAAGTTGGCAAGAATCAAATAATGTTTCTAAGATGATCCCAAGGTTCTGAAAAATGGCCCCATGCATCAACATGGATAAGATGACCTGGTGAAAATGGCAGGTTCAAGTGGAGGAAGCTGGGGATGAGTAATTAAAGTTGGAGAAGGCAGGCTCTACAAAAGCTTGTCTTTTCATTGAAATGGACTTTTACTAACCCTTGATATTTGCATATGGGACTGGTTTGGGCAAAATTTGTTGGCATCGATATTATTGCTTTTTATATTTATATCCTGCCTTTTTTCATTTCAAGGCGGCTTACGTAATTCTCCTCCTTGCAACCTCATCCTTACATCAACAACCCTGTGAAGTAGGTTGGACTGAGAGTCTGTGACTCGCCCAAAGTCTCCCAGTGGGCTCCAGGGCTGACTTGGGACTAGAACTCAGACCTCCTGAGTTCCAGTCCCACCCCCTTAACAACTAATCACACCATCTCTCAGTTAAAGAGCTATATAAAGTAGGGATGGGAAGAAGGTAGAATTCCAGATATTTGGGATTCTAACTCCAAATGCCCTTAACAGCATGGCCAGTGATCAGCAGTGCTGAAAGCTGAAGTTCAAAGTATCTGAAGATTTATTTTTTCCCTGGTTTAGAAACCATAGCTAAAACATTACCTTGTGAACTAATGTGCTTGCTTTATCTTTGCATCTGAGCAGATATTTTACTGATTTATCCACGACTTTTAATTTTATTTATTTAATTTCTATCCTGCCCAACAGCTGAAATTCTCTAGGCAGTTTACAATCGTGTCTAATACAAAACTACAGTACAATGAAACAACCATATATCTTCTACAACACAACATTTAAAAATAGTTTAGCAGCTAAAAGCAACATTTAATGCAGCAAAGACATATTAAACACACATCGTGGGCATTCCCGTTGAGCCATTAAATAACCCTGGATGATGATGATGATGATGATATTACATTGCATGTATAAACTGCCGTTCTTGCTCTTGCAAGGAAGTCCTTAAAATGTCCCAGCACAGAAGGACTCTCTTAACCTGGTGCTGAAAGGATGGCAAAGTTGGTGCCAGGCCGGGCTCAGTGAGTAGATCACTCCACACTAAGCCATTTTTGGTGCCACAACCAAAATGTTAATGCTTGTTTGTTAAAAGATACATTTCTATATGAAGCGGTAACTCACTTTTTTTTATCCCAAGCTTACCTCATGACTGGCTCGGCCACTGTATGTGCTCGGTAGAACAGTGTGTATAAGTAAGGAAGAAGGGAGTAGCGCTCCTTGATTGCTTCTCTGATGATCTTTGTGTTCTCTTCGCCAAACAACCAGGGCTCACGACGCCTGGTATGCATATTGGCATGTCCTCTAAAGAATGGTTGGAGTGCCCCAGCTTGATACCATCGAAGAAGTAGTTCTGGTTCTGGATTTCCAATAAATCCACCCACATCCGCTGGATTTCAGAAAAGTGTATTCCCCCAGAAACGGATGAAAAATGCAAATACACATATTTACTGAAATCAACTGAAATGCATTTCATAGAATCATATAATAGCAGAGTTGGAAGGGGTCAAGAAAGCTACCGGGTCCAACCCCCTGCTGTTGCAGGACACTAATTTATACTATCCTACTCAGATGACTGTCCAGTTTCTTTCTGAATGTCTCTACTGGAACTGTGATGATCACATAAAAGCTATTCTATGAACACAGAGAAACTACTCTGAGAAGAGGGAAAAATCTGTTGATGATATTAAACTGGACTTGCTTGTCTTCCAAAGATCAGGAGAAGCAGTGATAGGGGACATGCTCTGCATGCAGGGGTCCCAGGTTCAGTTCCTGGATCCTGCAGGAAGGGATGGGAAAGAACCCCAGAGAGCTGCTGCCAGTCAGTGTAGGTAAAACTGAACTAGGTGGATTTGATATAAGGCAGGTTTTTATATTCCTTATGATTGGTTGTCTGTAATTCACCATATTTCTCTATTTATTTGATTTATATTCCATCTTTTTTCCAAGGAGATAGCTCTCAAGCTGTCCAACCATAATAATAACTAACATAAAATAAAAACTTATTTAAAGCAAATATATTAAAATAACAATTTAAAGACAATAACAGAATAAAATTAGAATCCAACCCAACAGAGGCACATACATGCCAATGGATCTGCTTGAATAAAATGGCCTTTGCCTGTCAGTGGCAGGGCAGGAGAGGGAAACGAGCCTCCCATTGCAGTGTCTTTCAAAGCAAGGAAATGGCCCCCAAGAAGGCCCTCTCTTACCTCCCCTCTGTACATGCCTCAGATAACTGGCTGGACTGAAATAAGAGGCTCACTGGAAGGTCATATCACCTGGGCAGGCTCTCATGTGAGAATGTATCCTTTCAAGAAACCTGGTCCCATTTCTATATCCTTCCTAGAGAGGTCCCACCTTGAACCAACATTACAATCCCTGACAGCAGGCAAAAATGTTGCTTGCTCAGGCATTTTAATCTGTTCTAAGTTCATGATTTAAGTAGACTGCTTTACCAATCATGATTATTTGGTGATTGACTACATGCTGCCCTGAAATCCAAGAGAAGAGGCAAAGTAGTATAAACATGTTTTAAATTGATTAAATCAATTATAACAAGAGAGAAGCTTCTTAAGAAAGAGACACAACTGCCTCATTAGATGGAAAGCACATACTTGTGTCTCACTTACCTCCACAGAATGAAATTCCTGCAATACTGATGGTCAGCAACATTGGAATGGAGATTTTCAAGTACTGCCACTCTGCTTTGTTATCTCCAGTCCATACGGCACCTGGAAAAATTGAGGTTGCACAGCCACATGCAATTCTATCCATGTTTACTAGGATGTGAGTCCAATTGTAATGGGGGGGGGGGCGGGTTACTTTCATCTAACTGAGCTTTAGAAACATGCTATGAATATGAACGCCTATGCTAATCTTGCATCAGATGCATGTGATTGATTGATTGATTGATTGACAAAGCTTCTATGCCGCCCATTCGCTGAAGCCTTGGGACGGCTCACAACAATAAATAACATAATAACAATATAAAAACAATATCGTTGGAGACGTCCTGGCCAAAGATGTAAAATCAATAAATAATATTAACAATTAAAATGACATTTAATTTTAAATTTAATTTAAAAAGGTCTTCGCCTGGCACCGAAAAATGTTAATGGCTCAGAGGGTCGGGCACACATCAGGGTGCACCAGCATGGTATCGATATCGCTGTGCATGGAGATGTGAGCAGTGCAGGTTGTGATCCTGCATATTACACTGCTCTCATTTTAGGAAGAATAAGGTGCATCCTGGTCAGAGGGAATACACCTTTTAAAACTGAGTAATACTTCCTAAGTGTAGTTCTCATTAAAAGAGGAAGAAATCCTATAGTACCTGTCCGAGCAGCTCTTCCAGCTTCCACCTCCCTGGGTGGACTATTTGTTCAACATCCAGGTCCTCCTTCTGTGAGGGAGGCACAGAGGGCAGCGTCGAGGCTTTCTCCCTGCCGGCCCCCAACTACAGAGGGGCTTCCCCACTGCGGTCTGCCTAGTGCCAACCTGTCTGCCCTCCGGTGCCAGGCTAAGGTGGCCTCGATGCTGAGGCCTTTCCAGATAGACATGGAGAGTTAAGACCTTGAAGGGTCAAGTGTTCTACAGGTCTACTCTTCATTATATGTTTTAGATCTTTTTGATTACATTTTGTATTTTGGAACAAATATGGCCTTTTGCTGTATTATTTTAACTGTTGTAAACGACCCAGAGTACACTATTGGGTGGTATGGCACTGAAATAATACTTAAACTATGGGTGCTAAACAGTTTCTATAGCGCCATAGGACTTTTTGGATCACCAGCTACAAGGCTGGAAGATTGCTCTGACCTTGTCTGTGTGCATCTTAGAGATGGGACCCAGTCTCTCTCAGAACATCAGTGAATGAGTTACAATCCAAATTTTCACTGTCTTAAGAATCTGCCCATTATGAAAATTTGGAAGCCACAGCCTAATGTTGCATTATTGCTTTTATTTTTAGTTCCTATTTCCTCTCTGATCATTTAGGAACAAAGTGGGCAACAATAATCTTATTTGAGGTATTTGCAGAGGCAACAGCTTAGTTGTATGACAACTGAACAGCATGACAAAGGCTTTGCATGTCTTAAGGTCTCAAATTCAGTCTTTGGTATTTGAAGTGAAAGGGTTTTAGTTTGCTGCTTCTGCTAAGATCTTTTCTTGGGTCGCTGGGGACTGAAATAGGGATGGAGAGACAATGGGTATGGCATGCTGAGAACTCTGCTTTTAAAAAATATTTATGCCAAGACCAAATAAACTGCACCACCCTCAGAAGAAAGCAACTGGAATGATACTGGCCCATTTTGGATGATCTTACGTAAAAGCCTTTTGTCTCTGCATGGAGCTCTTTTGCTTGACCAGTGAATAAATCAGGAAGCCCCTAATTAACTGTGATGTACTGGTTCAGCCAGCATGAACTATACCCATAGTTTAATATTCTGGATTGTTCTAAAGATGCTAACTAAGTTTCCTGAAGAAAAACCGCAAACAGTGTTTTTATTACATGGTCCTTAGTTTAACTGTGGCTGATAGCAAAGCAAGGAGTGAAGGGGTTGTACATCCATGTGTATATCTTGGTTTTATAAGCTGAGATATGTTCACTGAAACCATTGTGTAGTTCAGCAGTAGCCAAATGGTGGTCCCTGCAGCAAATCTGGCTCTCAAGATAATTTTAGCTGGTCTTAGAAAGCTTTACTATGCTTGAATTAAAGATAGGGGGAAAGTTTCATTTGCAAGTAAAAATAAAATTCCTTTTAATTGCAAGACAAAGAGATGATTCACACCTCAGTTTTATATTCAAATTGTGAGGCTCTCCCTACTGGATGGTCCCAGGGTGATTATGGACAGTTTTGTGTATCAGATGCGCTAAAAGAGCAAACACCAATGAAAATGCTGCACCTTGGCTGTCCAAGACTGCTCTGTACATACCATACTTCTGTGATCCAGCAAAGAAAGAGCGTGTGAGAACAAAAGGCCTCTCCAGCCCTAAGCTTCGTTTGATCAGTCCTTCTGTGGTTGCCATTTGCTGAAATGCAAAAAGAGTAACTAGCAAGAGTAACTAGCAAAACATCTCTACCTGACATAATTACTATGACTTTACAGATGTAAGGTCAGGCACAGTAAAACAGAACAGTTTTGTTACTTGTAAGAACAGAATGGAGTGCCTTAATGCATTAGTACAGGGAAATAAATGAATGAAACCTTCTCTAAAATTCACAATAAGGTACATGAACCTGTAAAGCTAATTTGTGAAACACGAGTCCTTCATAAGGGAAGGGTTATTTAGGCATGTTATTTCTCATTCTATGAAAAAAGAGATGATCTGGCTTTTAGAAGAAAAGCAAGCCGGAGCATACAAAAGGCACACAAAATTATGCATGGTGTGGAGAAAGTGGGCTGGGAGACATTGTTCTGCTTTTCTCATTAGAACCCACTAGGGGTCATCCCATGGATGTCAATTGGTGGGAGTTCCAGGACAGATAAAAGGAAGTACCTCACATAGCACAAAAGCTATGGAATTCCTCTCTACAAGATGCAGTGATGGCCACCAGTTCGGATGGCTTTAAAATGCATGGACAATGCATGGAGGAAGGGACCATTGATCGTAACTAGTCCTTATGGCTAGAGACCACCTTATGTGTCAGAGGAAGTATGTCTTTTGCGGGTTTCCCTCTGGCAGCTGGTTGCCCAGTATGTGAACAGAATACTGGATGAAATGGATCCTTAGTTTGCATGGCTCGCCTTATGTTCTTATGAATGCATAATTCTTGTATAGGTCCACAATTTGCTCAGGAAGAAGAGCAAATGTCTGGAAGAATGGCAGCTACACAATGTGGGCATGTTCCACAGTAGTTTCTTTTTGGTCAGAAGTCATTGCTCATGTAATTTTTTTCTTGAAAGATCTGCAGTAATAGCAGATGCCCATGCTCTTTCATATTCCATACCTGTGATGTGGCAGTAAAAGTGATAACTGAAGGCCATTACAATGCAAAGAGGCTACATAAAGCTTAGAGGGATAAACACCCCCAACCTGTCACTCAATGGACTGAAGATCTTACTGCTTTCGCTATGTTTGAACATATTTCCTACAGCTGTCCATTTCATATGATGCTTAAATATATGGTCAGCTTATATCAATGTATTTAAACTGGGCTGTTAAATCAACACTTTTAATTCTCTCCTGTGACTTTTTTGTTGTTTTGATGTTATTGCCTTGATTTTAAATAATGTTTGAAGTGTTTGTAAGAATGATAGTTTCTATACTGAGTTTAAAAAAAAGAAAATACAATTAAATAAGAAAAATAAAATAGTACCATAAGTGCTAGAGTTTACATTTTTCACCCTCAAATGTCATACCTGGTAAAAGCCATAGAGATTATGAACATCTCGATGTTCCCACTTGCCATAATGGACAGCATCCTTCTGCATAGTTAGTTCTACCCCTTTGAAGACTGAGGGCTCATTCATATCATTCCAGGCAAAAAGGATTTCAGAAGAACCCTATAAAGCAACATTTAAGTTCCTTTAAAAATGTTTGTTCAAAGCAAGTTTGACTGTATTATACAGATCGAGCTTCCCTGCTGTTGCAAGCCGAGGTTCTTCCATCAAACAAACACCCTTAAGCAGTTTCCTTATAAAACACTCTCTATTGCTTCTCAATGGGTCTCTAAGCACAAAGTAGATTGCTGAACCGAATCTAGTGGCTACCTCCCAAAGTTCTCCTTATGAACATGCCTAGGCCCAACCCTTTGGGAGGGACTCCCTGAAAGTGAGCACACCTCCTCTCTGCTCACCACTCCTACAGCTGGGCCTCTCGCCTCCGCTGGTGTCCAGCCACAGGGCCCAGCTCTGAAGGGAGGGCCTGCTCTGCACCCAAGAGCTCCTCATTCCCAGCAGTTCCTCCCACTGGCTGCACAGCCAAGCCATTTCCAGGAAGGGTCTGGTGCAGTGCCTGGCCTTGAGGTAATCATCCCCACCCACTCCTGCTGTTGCATCCCAGGACCTTGACCTAACCCATGTTCCCCAATCCTGCTGAGTCATTCCTCACATTTCAAATCTGAACCAGGATCTGAGATGCAACTGACATCCCATGAGAACATTTGCAAAGGCCGCCCATCCACCTTGCTCCCAATATCCTACCAGCTAAGCCCTAAATATATTGCAGCACAACTGCTGCCATCCCCAGTCAACTTGACCAGTATTGCTTGGGGATAGTAGGAGTTGTAGTCTAATGCATCTGGAGGGTACCAGGTTGGGGAAGGTAAGATCTTGATTTGTGCTACAACTCTCAAAAGTGAAAAACCAACAAACTTGAGGAGATGACAGCAATTACTAAGGAACTCTGAGTATCTCCAAGAATGTTTCAGGATTTATTTTGGAGCCATGATTGGGTGGCATCTATCCAGCCATATATGACAGGTAAAATCCAGTTAGTTAATCCCAATTGATGGAAATCTTCTCTCAGTAGAATGGGAGGAGTGATTTTAGTAATTCTACCTGGGCAGCCACCAGCACACACCTTCCAACCCTTCAGAGACAATTTAGGAGGTATTTGAGATCTGCAGAGAAGAGGGGTCTGCTCCCTCCATCCTCCTTCACAGCAGCCTTCTGTTGCCTGAGGGCTAATAACTGGATGTAACCCAATTAGTGGGGGTTTTGGGCGGGGGGGATTCCTGGTTTCTTTGGAGGCCACAGAAGAAGGATCAGTGGGTTCTTTTCCTCTTCCTTGACTAATGTCCTGCATCTAAGATTGTACTGAACAGAGAACCTTTACAGCAAAGGGTTTCTTTAGAATGGTATTCAAAGGGGTAATAGCATGAGGTGCGGTTTGCAAAAATCACTTTCAACACACAAGGATTTGGCATGAGAGAAGCAGATTATATGGAACAGTCCCCTCCATCTTCAGCACAACCTCCAATGGGGCTTGCTTGGGTCTGTGTGGAGGCTCTCTTACTTGTGTTTTGGCTTAGTTATATTTGTATTACTCATAGTCGTCAAATATAAGGGTGCTTCCATACTTTTCAAAAGCTTGGCTTATCTGTCTCTTTTCCTTATTTCTAAGGCCCTGGCACAGACACAGCCACACAGCATCAAAACCGAAGAGCACAAACCTTGTATTTTTCAAAGGCAAATTGATCTGCATACCATTCTCGGACTTCAGGATTAGTGAAATCCAGGTAAGAAGAAAGACCTGCAGGTATATGAATAAAATTACATTTGCAGAATAAAGAAAAAAAGGATGTTTATGCTGCAATGAAGAAATATAGGGATGCCTCAAGTGACTAGAAGAGGGGGATCTGCTATGGCCACCTCTCCAGGCACTGAGAAACAAGGATACAAATCATGTTTAAGAAAGGTGGGGACAGTAAACTAGGTTTGATCACTGTGAAATTGCAATTTAGCCCTGGTTAATTTTATCAACAGTTGACATGAACTGTAATTCAGTACAATTTCTGTGCACAGACTCATATCCCATTGACACTAGTAGCAATGGTAAATTGTGGAGATACTTAAGCCTGTGTTTTTTTACTAATATATGCACACATGATGATGGTGGTGGTGGAATAGGAAAGTGCCCTGACAACTGTAAAGTGTTCATGTTTATTTTCGAATGTATAATTAGGGGCTTTTTAAACGTCTGGATTTAACAGCCAGGAGAGGGCTGTGCTGCTGTCCCTGTTTTTAAAGACGGCACATGTCTACTTCTGCAAGTGTCCAGTCAGCACACTTGTCTGGACACAGATGTATTGTGTGTTTTGCGATGGCACAACAGCACAAAGAGTAAATGTAGGCTCAACCACTCTTTCTGTCTAGCCTTTCTTTCAAGGCATTTACACACATGGTTCCTTACCCCCAATTTTAGGCACACAGAAATTTTACCCCCTAGGTTAGCTTAAGAGATAGTTGCTGGGTTGAGATAACACTTTAAGCAAAGCCAGTTAGCCTGGATACAATCCTAAGCATGTTTAACATGGCTGGCCGGGGAATGTCTAATCATGCATAGGATTGTGCCATAGGTTAGTTGAATTCAGGCCCATCAAAGTCAATGGGGTCAGCTAAGTTCCATTGATATTAGCAGGGTTAGACTGGACTTAGAGCAGGATTTAGTATCAGGAAATCTGAGTTCTAGTCCTCACTCAACCATGAAGCTCAACGGGTGAGTCACTCTCAGCTTAACCTCCCTGACAAAGTTGCGAGGATGAAATGTCTAGAGGGACAGAGTACATGGAATGTCTCTTAGATCCAACTGACTGATGCCAGCAGTGACACCTGTTGAACTAAAGCATGAGGCATTAATGAGGAGACTGAGAAACAGGGAGCTAGCAAGAGGTTTTATCAAAAGACATCAGTCCTGAACAGAAGATGATCAATTGATACCACTTTATTCCTTCTGAAGTCAGTTCTAACTAAAATACAATTTTTGTAAAGTACTTCTATATAATTTTATAAGGAAGTTTTTAAAAATAAATAAGAAAGCATATTACCTGGCCAACAAATGCCCTCAAAATCTTCACCTTTACGATCTTTTACAAAATATCCTCTCTTTTTTGCTTGTGAATATATTGAGTACAGAGGATCAGCCTTAATATGGGGGTCCACAATGACAACAAGCTGTCAATATGAGATGAAAGAGAATAAGATACTACGCCCCAGGTGATCACTGTTAATGTTGACAGACTACATGAAGGTTTAGAATTAGGTCAAACATGCTGGTGGAAGCTTCTAATTCTCTAATACCACTGGAAGAAGTGCTTGATTTCCTAATGGAGACGGACATGTAGAGGTGGACAACCTGTGGCCATCTGGATATTGTTGAACTGGCAATGATGAAGGATCATGGGAACTGTAGTCCAACATCTGGAGGGCCACAAGTTGCCCAACCCCCAGAAAAAATTTGATGCAATAATGACCTCCTACAGCACTAAGCTATATGGTTCTACATAGTTCTAAACTGGCTTTTGGGCTGGGGAATGCTTTCCCCCATTTTAAATTAATATAATAAAGATTAATGACAAAATTATGATCTAGGATATTGCTATGCTGCAGAATGTAAACGTTCCCCTCCTTTCAAACAGCAGAATGAAGGACTATAATTTTTACAGACAACTGTTTACATTTCTAAGCATGAGCCATACTTTGCATTTATGTTAAGAAAGATAGTTACTATGTTAAACAGCCCCCCTTAGAAATCCATCCATTAAAATATACCACGTTTAAAGTCATTGTACTTGGTGTTCTACATAAGTCATGAGGGAAACTAAACTTTGCAAATAAATCATAATTTACTCAAACTGGTTCAAAATTCCGTACTAACTGTAAGGTTCGCTTTCTTTAAAAAAAATGGAAATTGGAGTTTAAAAAAAATAGCAGAAATTGGAATTAGAGAAGAAAGGAATGGCTTGGTTAGTTGATCACCATGGCAGAGGCAAAAGTTATGGGTGAATAATATGTGGTGGGGCAGTCCATCATCAGACTGACAGGTCTGCCCAAAACTTCTGTGATTTCTGACCTTTTACTAGGTATGCTCTACCTGTCTGAAAGATCTTCTCCATAACAGGAAAGAGTGGGAAATCTATACTTAAAAGTAAAATTGAAAACTAAACTTCTTTGGGTGACAAACATCATTATCAGTTACCAGATTCAGATCTTGCATAGTAATCCACCTATAGTATATGTAGAATACATTCAATCCTTCATGGTATGCTCACATGATAAAGGTGACACTTTTATGAACATACAGTGAGTACTGTTTGTAGCAGACACATTTGCACACTGAGGTGGCAACTCAACACAGATTTAGGCAAGCCAAAAACAGACCAGCACTTTTATGTGCTTGAGCTGAAGACTGCCAGAAGTCAGGCTCTGCCTAGGATCAGATCCCAAGTTTAATCCAAAACATCTCTAGATTCTTTCTAGAAGCATCTCTCTAGATCTAGTAGTATGTGATGGGACAGGCTTTTTAATACAGACCCTGAAGAGGTATGGACAGTCAGAATAGCAAATGCTGGGCTAGATGACCACTTGTCTCACTCAGACAAACTTCATCAAGCTCTGGTAGCTTATAAGGCTCTAACTAACCATGCTGCTGGGTTCAGACAACCAGCACAACAGGTCAACTTGGGTTACTGTGCTGTGTGAACCCAATCTATTATGAGACTGCTTCATAAGCATGCTTATCTCTTTCCTAGATTGTGGGCTGCCTGTACAGTCTAACTGCTTAAAGAACTTTATCATGGAAGCCTCTACTTGCTGTGATACCTACTATTCAAGTGAAAGGGCAAACAAAAGCAAATGGGAAAGAATACTTAAACTACTTCAGTAGTCCTCTGTAAGTAGAAAGGCATTTTGGGTTGGAAAGGCCCCAAATGCTTTGTATTTGAAAAGGCCATTCCAAATATAAAGCATGCTTCAAAATGTTAAAGGAAACTAGTATCTTGTAAATACTAGCTTTGTCTGGGCCCAAGTCACAGAATTACTCTTTAAAATCTGGATGTGAGCACTACTGTAGGCAGCAGCTGGAAGGGCAATGGATGGACTACCATACAAGTGCACTTCCTCCTTTTCTGCATTACATACCTTGCGTTTTTTCTTCATCAATATCTGCTTTTGCATCCTCTCAGGATTGCCAAATTTCTTCTTATCCCATGTGAAGTACCGCTTGCCATCAGTGTGTTCAATGTCAAGCCACATAACATCGTAGGGGATGTCATGCTTATCAAAACCTGCATCTACCATTTCCACATCTGCCTCATCTTCGTAATTCCAGCGGCACTGATGGTAGCCAAGGGAGAAAAGTGGGGGCAAGGCCTGAGTACCTAACAATAGGAAGGAAACATTAACATGCTCATCGAAAGGAAAACTAGTGCCACCTTTAAGTGCTAAATGCATCACTTTTGCTCTTTCTTGTTCTCTTACTGCAGATCTGCAGGGCTTCCGTGTTACTGATTTGATTGCTAGAGCACTGCACTAAATACACAAAAATGTGCAATTTCTTTCTCACAAAGGCAGCACACTTGGAAAACAGAAAGCAGACTGCATGGCCAGCTCATGGCTGCCTTGCATCAAGCTGCCGGTGTGGTTTTGCAAGCAGGAATTTGTTTGTTTGCCCACATGCCAAAGGCAAAGTCCCTGAAAACACATATTGTGGCACCCTTAACTGAATCGATGTGTATGGTTGATGGCTGCATGGGAGATTATGGTAGAGTCTTATGTATAGTCTCTTGAATTCCATCACACATGATGCATAAATGTAATGGGAGAGACAGAAATATAACACAATGAAGTACCAGTTTCTTCTGGATGATTAGCACTTGTCATTCTTACCAGGGAAGCTGTCTGCTGACACAGGGCAGACTGACGGGTTAAAGAAATAAGAGCTGATTTTTAAAATAAGTATTTGCAAGGGTATAACAAGGGTTCTCTATCTTTAACTGCTTATAAGTAATACTTTCTCTTGACATAAATATGTTGAATGCATCATCTGGTTTTTTTTAAATTTTAAATTCTCTTTTCTTGCACCATCTATTTTAAGATAGCTTGAAGATACTACAAGAATAAACACAGAAGGCTGCATTTTCTCAAACAGACCATACCTGTCAACTGTGCATACTGCTTAAAAACATCAAAGGGACTGGGGCCCATTAGGATGAAGGTATCAATTATTCCACTTTCTGACATCCAGTGCACATTGGTTTGAGGCACCACCCGCTGTTTGGCGACGTCTGGAGTTTTGGAGGGCAAAGCCTTTCAAACAACAAATAAAAACACACACTCAGAAAGATAATGGTGGAGGATGAGTTGCCATAATGAATGTTTTTCCATGCAGACGGAGGAATACAGGATGCTGCCTTCTACTGAGTCAGACTATTGGTCCATCCAGCCCAGTATCATTACCACTGACTGGCAGCAGCTCTCCAGGATTTCAATGCTGCAGAACACTCTTGCCTATGGGATGCCAGGGAGATGCCAGGGATTGGGCTGGAGACCTGCTGCAGAGCAGGTGTTCTACCATTCAGCTACAGCATGCTGAATTTTTAGCCATCTGCCATTAACCAACTTTAGGTGCTCCAGAGGAGGGGAGGGGATGCCAGTTCAGCATCTCTATTGCTATATGGGCCAACAACTAAAATACAAGTGAATCTCATGTACGGCAGTAGCACTTCCACACAAGAGCAAGAATCCAAGGCTACACTCACCTTTGCTGTAGCCTTTGTAGCAATTTCTACGAGAGTTTCTGAAGAATTCAGCCAGAAGATCCCAATAGTTCTGTCAGGTTTGTGTGCTAAGAGCAAGGGCACTGAACCATAAATGCCCATTTTGCTGTGGATCTTGTATCCAAAGACATCGAGGTTATAAAGTCGGTAGACATCGTCATCACTGAAACAGACAGACAGACGGATGTGTTGCTTGTACAGAGCCCCCTGCTTGCATCATTGCATTCTGGCCAATTCAAGGAGCAGCTCTTCTGCAAGTAATGAATGCCCTCTGAGGCAAAGAGCACCAGTAGAAGCAGCTGTCCACAGCAATTGTTTATGCTATAAATGGAGTGCATTACACCACAGCTGTAAGCTTACATGGTAGACTTAAAGTCAGGACTGGAATGAGCATAGCCTGTCATCCCTGTTTCATTCTTTGTAAAGTTGGAAGGATATTGTTTTGGGTGCCAATGAGATCAGTCTGCTCTGGTTGAAGAGAGTCACCCAATTCTTGTGTTCAGTGAGACTTGCTGCTTAGAAGGATATTTAGGCCTGCAATCTTGGAGTCATGCCGATCTCCCCATTGTCATTGCTGAAGCTTAGGCATCCCTAGTACCATCTGCACCTTTTACTAACTTACTTGTTTTATGCTTTGCACAGCATAAAACATTACAATAAACCTGAATGGAAAAACAAAAAGAGATCAGGACATGAAAATGGATGTGGCACCAGATGTAACTGTCTTCATATAAGTGTAGATACCTTGAAGATGCTTGGGTGGAAGAGGCAGAGGACTTGGGGAAGATGAAACTGAGAAAGGGAGGTACAAGGCGACAGCAGCACTGGGGGAACTTTCATGGATTACAGACACACAGGAGGGACTGTTTGTTGCCGGCAAAAGCGTCAGAATGCCTATGGAGGCCGAGAAGCATGAGCCAGTGAACTACTGGAGCAGGAAAGCTCCCCCTGAGTAAAAAGATGAGATGAAGTCCATATCTGGATCTGAAATAAGCAGTCAAACCTTGGACTGCAGGACTTTGGCTACTACTGCACTCAGGACTCTTGCCAATGTTGATGCCTATCTGATGACTTTACCTGGTGTTCTTAAGCAGGAGTGTCTCTGCATGCTCAGGAATTCCATAGATATGTTCAAATCCATGTAAAGAAAAATCTAAGCCTATACTAATGGGTCCTGTGGGAAAGATGTTAAAAGAGATCAGCACTTAGGTGTAACAAAAATGTTTGCCATGGAAAAATCTCTTGGTTAGCAACTGACTAAAAAAGAATTTCCTCTTAGGTTTTTGTTATCCAAATACACAGACAGAGTCTTATGCCCTGATGATACTAAAGCACGATTTAGCTAAGAATCAGAGTTATATAGGATCAGGAAGTCTAGTCCAAGCATGCAAAGTAAGAGTATCTTGCCCACTACTTCCAGTCCCTCAAATAAAATATACACAATCTGATATAATCAGAGCACAGATCAATTTAGGGCAAGAAGTGGTAGATAACTCATATATGTAAGCCAAATCACATGCAGCTAGGTGAAACCAGCCAACCAACCCACATATATTAGCCATTCTGATGTAATTATTCATTTGCTTGCTTGCTAACAAATTTAGCATGGAAATGAATAACTCAGTAGGTGTTTCACAGATTCCTCTCCAGAGTTGCTCAAAAACCACTATCTATACATCTGGAAACTTCTTAAAAAGACTTTCTGGATCTTACAAGACCTTAAAGTGTACACTGACATACTCTGGTATAATCAGTAGTACATATGGATCTTATACCAAAACATCTTATTTATCACAGTTTGAATTCTAGAAAACCTAATAGCAGCTAATTATAAATTAACATGTAAACCAAGGAAAGCAGTCTATTCATTTCTGTTACTGGACTATATTTACCATTAGCTTTGATGTCTAAAAAACTGCCAAATTTCTCTTTCCACAGACCAAAGTCATCTTGATTTTCCTGGATGGAGAAAAATAATAAACATCTAATGCCCTGACTTATGATCAATTGCCAACCAAGCTTCCAATCATACATTTCAAAGCACCTCCCATGCATACTGCAGATGCACACGGCAGTGAGGAAGCCCTAGGGCCATGGCTCTCAGGCTTACAGTCATCTCCTTGTACCAAGAGACAGAGGTCCAGCTTTTTACTTAATGTTTAGATTATTTCTATTTGACATGGAAAAACAGAACATATTCATACTATATTCCCAGATTCTCCTCACATCAATTTCCATCTGTAGCTTCTTTTATAGCAAAATAAACTTATATAGCAGAGCTGATCAATAAGCTGATTATTTTGCTGCAGCTCATTTCCTAGTATTGTAATTCATTTCCAACATAGCTGCACATAGCTTTTTAACTTATACCTCATTTCTCTCTGTCCAAATATTCTTCTGTTTCACATGTCTGCTCTATAATGCTCTCTTCCCTTCTCTCTCTCACACACATCTGCACCTCCATTTCTTATTTACCCACTCTCCTTATGTTTACAAAACAATGCACCTTTGAGGCCCATTTATCATTTTTCTATAGCCCGTATCAGCAAACAACCCAGTTCTCACATAACATTGACAATTCTTGGGTTCTTCAACACAGGATTTATGAAGATGACTACAGCTTACAAAGAGATCCCTTGTCATTTCCATTTTTAGTTAACTCAGAAATGATGCAATTTTGAGTTGTTCAGAGATGTGATGCATGAAGCTGGAAACTCTGGAGCCTAGCCCTAGTGTGACAGTGGGTTCAGTAGTTTACAAGTATAATCTTATCAGAAGTGGTCAGGAAGTGTTTGGAGTCTAGTTCTGTAGTGAGAAGTGCACAGCCTAAAAGTCTGGCTGAATAGAAACGGCCTGTTTGTGTTGCTTATGAGTGAACATCCCTGTCAGTTAGATAGTTAGGAAGCATGTGTTTGCAGACCCACCCTTGCTTTTATTGTTGCCCAGGCTGGGAACCTTGTCTAGGAACATTGTTTTAACATCCGTTTTTATTATCATCATATCCTGCCTGTAACCTTCAGGTTTGCCACTTCTCTCAGCCTGAGCTGTGAGAAACACTTATTATTTGGACTCACTTTTTTTGGCTGAAATATCTGCCTTTGAAATCTGAATTGTCCATTTGATCTGTGAACCATGCCACAGAAGGTTTCATTATACCTCTCACAGTCCTCGAATTCTTGTTTCCTATGAATTATGTGTCTTACCTGCTGATAGCTCAGAGTGCTTGCTGGCTTGGACTGATGCTGATTCCTACATTTTTCTATGTCTGGACCAATGTAGTAGGGAGATACCAAACTGGAAGCTATAGTTGTTGAAATTTCTATGGGAGACTATTCTTGATTAAACTTGAATCTACTGTATGTCTTGACTCTTCACAGTTGACAGATCTTGACACACATACTGCAGAAGATTCCAAGGCTGGATTAAATCTTTGTGGATGTGGATTTATATGTATTTTTTTTTAAATTGTTTTTGATTGCCTGGGATGTTTTATACCAGGCATAATTTGAGCCCCTTGCCCTATATTTTGAATTATAGAGACTACAAAAGAGCAACAAGTTATATGAATCTTTGACATAGTTATAATTACTAGATTTTGACTGTTTTAGGAATAACTTATTAAGCCTAAAGCTAAAATCTATCAGTTGCATGATTTTTATAATATTGCAGTCACTGAACTTTTTGAACAAGAGCTAAGAAGCTTGTCTATAAAGCTGGCTTTAGTAACAATACAAGTTTGACAGTTCTTGCATTAGTTCGCTAGGATTTGTTTACACCAAGAGATAGACACAGGACATTATAGAAACAAAGAAACAGAGTGAGTCATAAGGGGTCTTGTCAGCCATCTAGTCTGACCCCTGGCTCCAGCTGGCTCCACTCCTGACATGTCCACCATGTGTACATCTGACCCAACAACAAACCCTGGACTTAAAGAACCCAGAATTTTGAGTTTGAATGTCATGAAACAATCTACAAGTTCCTTAGTTGTTGACTCAAAGTGGTAACTAAGACCATGGATTATATGACCCACTTGTCCCTGCAATTTCTGAGTTAAGCGACATGGGAATTGCTGCTGTGATGTGCAAATCAGGTCTCCAAGTGGTCCATTCCCAGTCTTGGTCATCACCCCACAGTTGCAGCAAAATAAAGCATTTGATTCCAATAACATATTAATCATATTGTGCAACTTCCACAATGTTAACTTGTTTGTTCCTGAATAGAAGGACCAATATTTCTTTTGGAGAAATAAACAAAATAAGGACAAGATCCAACCCTGCCTTCCCATGTGTAGGATCCATTGCCATTTCTGTTGTCTGCGTGGGCAGCCCCACTATTTGCATAAAGGTGAATCAGTGTTTCTGGGTGCAAACCCCCATATGTGTGGAAATTGTCATTTCTGTAATGGGGCAGGTAGGAGGAGCTCCCTTATGTGAGCTCTGCTGGTCTGCTCCTTTCCAAACACAAACATTTCCACATTCTTTGGATCCCACCCCATCACTGCACAAGTGATGGGGTTCCTCATATAACAGTACTGACAGGGTTCAAAAGAATCAGCAGGAGTGAAGCACCAGCACCCATTAGATATTGCACCAGGCATCCATAACTGTAGGCTAGGTTTACCTCAGAAGAGTCAGATGATCCACCTTCCTTTTCTTGCAATGTAGATTTCCTAATTTAAAGAAAAATCAGTTATAAAGCAAATATATTTACTTACAAGCTGGTACCACCCATTTCAGTGACACTTACTTCTGACTAAGAATGTGAAGTATACTGGCTATCACACCTGATTTGGGGAGGTGGCTGTAGATGCTCCCAATACAACAGGCCATCCGAGTTCATGCTCAGTTCAGTTTCATCCTTGGAAAGAAGCTGTATCTGAAAAGGATTTGCTGTGATCCAAAGTTGCTGGTCTTCACTGGTACCAGCCAACACAAGCTCATTTGCATCTTTCTGCAATACTCTTAACCTGGCATTTGAGAAAAGATAGAAACAGGTAAACCTCTGTTTGTTCTCAGACTTTAACAGTAAATCAGGCACATGACTCACCCAGTTGTACAAAAGCATCAAAACCTAGATACATAGGGCATTGTTCCAACTTTTCAGGTTTGCACAAATCTCCAGACATGTTGTAAGACTATTGTTAAAAAATATAGATTTTGAATTGAGTTAACTCAAATTCTGCCATCAGAGTAAATTGTGCAGCTGTATCCTATGTGCCCTTAGATGTCATTTTATTAAGCAAACTCTGCACTCAGTCTTCCAAGAATTTGGAATTTGGAAATACCAGGTATGTCCTGGAAAAATGGAGGGAAGGGTGAGGGCTAGTGAGACTGTAAAACAGGGAGCAGAGATTATAATAATGGCTAAAGGGTAAAAGGCCCTGACTACTGGTGGTGATGAGCAATGCTTCTCTGATTGCTCATATTCTGAGTTGTTGCTATAGTCCATAATGCTAGCTAAAGTGGTAAATAAAAATGAATCAGTTAAGGCATAGTCTTATGAGATGACACAGACACGTGCTCACTACAGCCTTCCCTCACATATGCATTATGCATTACGCAAAAACTCAGAAATAACTATTCTAAATTGTTGTTGTTGTTAGTTGCGAAGTCGCGTCCAACCCATCGCAACCCCATGGACAACATTCCTCCAGGCCTTCCTGTCCTCCACCATCCCCCAGAGTCTACTTAAGCTCACACCAACTGCTTCAGTGACTCCATCTAGCCACCTCATCCTCTGCCGTCCCCTTCTTCTTTTGCCTTCAATTGCTCCCAGCATTAGGCTCTTTTCCACTGAGTCCTTCCTTCTCATTAGGTGGCCAAAGTATTTGAGTTTCATCTTCAGTATCTGGCCTTCTAAACAGCAGTCGGGGTTGATCTCCTCTAGGACTGACCAGTTTGATTTCCTTGCAGTCCAAGGGACTCGCAGAGTCCTCTCCAGCACCACAATTCAAAGGACTCAATTCTTCGGTGCTCAGCCTTCCTTATGGTCCAACTTTCACAACCTTACATTGCAACTGGGAAAACTATAGCCTTGACTATAAGCACTTTTGTTGGCAGGGTGAGGTCTCTGCTTTTTAGTATGCTGTCTAGATTTGCCATAGCTTTCCTCCCCAGGAGCAAGCGTCTTTTAATTTCTTGGCTTCCAGTCACCGTCTGCAGTGATCTTGGAGCCCCAGGAAAATAAAATCTGTCACTACCTCCATCTCTTCCCCATCTATTTACCAGGAATTGATAGGACCGGATGCCATGATCTTAGTTTTCTTGATGTTCAGTTTCAAACCAACTCTTGCACTCTCCTCCTTCACCCGCATCAAGAGGCTCTTTAGTTCCTCTTCACTTTCTGCCATTAGAGTGGTATCATTTGCATCATCTGGGAGCCAGTGTGGTGTAGTCATTAAGAGCATGGGACTGGGACTCAGACGATCTGGGTTCTAGTCCCCGTTCAGCCATGGAGCCAACTGGATGACTTTGGGCCAGTCACAGACTCTCAGCCCAACCTACCTCACAGGGTTGTTGTTGTGGGGATAAGACGGAGGAGGAGAACGATGTAAGCTGCCTTGAGTCTTTTGTAGGAAAAAGGCAGGATATAAATAGGAATGAATAAATAAATAAATAAAATATCTGAGGTTGTTGATATTTCTTCCGGCAATCTTAATTCCAACTTGTGATTTATCTAGCCCTGCCTTTCTCATGTCTTTCTTCATATAAGTTAAATAGGCAGGGTGACAGTACACAGCCTTGTCGAACTCCTTTCTCAATTTTGAACCAATCAGTGGTTCTGTGTCCAGTTCTCACTGATGCTTCTTGACCTGCATATAAGTTTCTCAAGAGACAAATAAGATGGTCTGGTACTCCCATCTCTTTAAGAACTTACCACAATTTGTTGTGATTCACACAATCAAAGGCTTTAGCATAGTCAATGAAGCAGATGTTTTTCTGGAACTCCCTAGCTTTCTCCATGATCCAGCGTATGTTGGCAATTTGATCTCTACTATTTTAAATAGGAGAATTCAATTCTATTACAGCTACTGCATGCTGATGAGTACTCTGGGCACTGCTTTCTGCAAAAATGATAGGCACAAGTATCATTTTCCACAACTTACCTGAGGCTGATAGGATCTTTTATAAGAACATCAGGGACTTCATATCTTGGTTTGAGTGGTGTTATCTCATTAATTTTAACCCTGAAAATATTGCCTTCTATTTCATAAATTTCTACTGAAAGAGATGCCTGGTAATGAACAAAGAAAAACAATTACGATCTGTATCTGTCAAGTTTCAGCCCAAATCTCTCTGGGTTGGGCTAAGGCTTGCCTTTCCATGAACAGAAGGGCTCCTCTCTTTTGGAAGAGACAGAAATCCAGGGAAGGCTTGTCACTGGAGGTAGTTAATTTTGCCACTTCTCCCTGCAATCCCTAGAACAACCTCTACACTGTTTGAGAAGGTTTTCAAGGGGTTCCTGGGAAAGCAGTCAGATAACCAATTAAACAACTACTGCACTATTTGGATACAGGCAAATGCTTAGCTCTGTCTCCAAACATACATAGCAATCATTTATCATTTGCAAAGCCATTTCAAATTGTTTTCTGTAAAGCTTTAGATGCTATTACCCTAACAGTATCTAAAAGTTTTGCCTTGATTTAGGGTTCAACCTTATGCAAGTTTAAGTCAGAAAGTCCTACAACTCCCAGCATTCCCCAGTCAGTCACATTGGGATTTGTAGGACTTTTCCTGTCTAAACATGCGTAGGGCTGTACCTTTAATCTATTGGTGTCAATGGTAGTTTGGTTTTATATGGAAAACTCCACATTTCCTCTTCCTAATCAATTACACTGAGCCTCACCTTGTCCTCTTATATCCTCACCTTGTCCTCTTCATTGTTTATCTGAAATTTGACCCTTTCTTTGGATATTTCCACGGTGTCCAGCAAGGCTCGGTATGAGGGCTTCCCAGGGCATAAATGCTTCTGACGCCTAACACACAAAGGAAAGGACACACTTGTTAATTTACCCTTGAAATTACCTGGATCAAGGGTGCATTCTGCTCACAATGGCTACTTTAAAGCCCACTGACATCAGAGGGATTTAATCAGGACTTCATTCCGAGTGTACATGATTTCAGAATGGGATTACAAAGTGCTGTATGAAATAACTTTTCTACTCTGTGATTTTCTTTTCTTGACCTAAAACTAGAAAATGCTATTTATTTCACATACCGTACTGTCTGTGCTTGGCAAGGCACAGATTTGCTCATTTTGGAAATCCTGTTCCATCCCCAGTTTTTGTTGTACATTCTTACCATGAATTGATTTCTGGAATTACTGCTAGTGACCAAAAAGCACAATTTGAATCGCCTGATGTTGGCTGCTGGAGCCACTTAGAATGATGTGCTTGTGAGGCTGTAAAAGGTGTGCTGCCAGAGAAGGTGGGGTGGGGGTGTTCTGCTATGCTTGTGTAGCTGGAAAACTGCTGCGAAGGGTACTAGTGTAGCAGGGGTAATTCTCTGGATTTGGGCTCACTACCCCATCAGCTTCATAGTCCCCCCCCCCCCAACATGCCACATTGCTTTCAGTAAGAGAGTCTAAATATATGGATCTGCTAGGCTGAAAAACCCAGGAAAACCCTCTGACTCCCTATATCCTGGGATCAGGTAGATCCACCTCAGTGCTCTGCACCAGCCGAACTCAGAATCACTCAGCCCAGGATCAAGTTTTCCCTGCTGCAGCAATTCTCTAGCTAATTGAGATTCTACAGGACAACTGCAAAGTACTGCATTTCAGCAAGGAACTAATGTTAAAATGGGCAATCCTTAAACTGCTCTTCACAGGTTTTTGAGGCAGAACTGACTAGTGAGCAGGACAGTGGTTAGAAAGTGCTTCATTCTTTAGAAAAAGCTACTTCCATGCTTTCTGTAAGAAACAATTCACTGGAGAGGACTTTTCCTGTGATAGAATATAAGAAGGATGAAAAGAGTTTATTCTGATGCCTACTTCCACATTTTGTCCCCACCAATGTTTTTGCCATATCAATAACTTTATAGGATTGAGGATTTATACCATCTTGCAAATATTTTAGCAGTAATACTGAAGGCCAAAGCAGATGAGAAATTAGTTGCATGGATGCAATTAACTCTTTCTCTCCCCCCCCGCCCCCCGTGTGTGTGTGTGTGTGTGTACAGAAGCCATGGAAGGCTGAACAGCTGCAGAACCATCGGGGAACAAGGAGGGAAAGTTTTTACCTCTTGATCTGTGTCATGCATATTGGGTTGCTTAACCCATGAAAAGCTACAATGTGTGCAGCTACCATAATGAATATTCAGCCTCTAATGTGGTTACACTGTACTGAGGGGTAAACAATCCTCATAAAAAACCAGTTTCCAGTAGGGTTAAGTAAGGGTTATTTAGCTCTTAATTAGCCCAAGATAGGTCTGAACCTATGTTGAGACAACACACTGCAATCTTCTCAGGAGTTGCTGAGCTCATGTGGCCACCATTATGAATATGCATATGCCACAACTCATTCTGGGTTAAACAACTCATAACCCATGTTATGAGTCTAGCATGTTGTGTGAACTGGCCCCTTCTCTTCCTGCTATAGACCTGACTAAAAAACAAAAACCCTCTCTTGGGGGTTGCTATTTGCATTTCAAGGGAAGCCTCCATTGGAATTTCCTCCCAATACAAGTTTGGCCCTCAGAAGCAAACCCTTGCAACACTATGGGTCTCTCTTCATACAGTGGTACAGGCTGCAAGGGTAGGTTATCATAGTGGTCATGTGACATGATTCATAATAAACACTCATGCCACTCACCTGTAGAAAGCAATATCTTTGCATGTTTTAAATTGGCTTTTGTCCACTGCCTCATCTTGAACACTGGAGGAAAAAAAAGTATAATTTCAGCTCCAAATGAGAAAACAGACAGGCATCCCTGGTACAAACTCATTCTGTTCATTATAAAAGTCAGGTCGTGAAAGAATAATTTCTAATCAGTGCTCCCTGATCACAGCAAGCAAAAGGACTTCACAGTAAGGATAATATTTTACAAGGAAAATCACTCTTTTAATGCATGATCAATAAAATAGTTTGCCAGAATAATTTGGGAGTAGTTCCTATTTACCAATACTATTCCAGAATAAATCATAGTCTTGATAGCCATATTGGTTTCACACAAAAAACAGTCAATTAAAAAATACAGAATTAATAGACATACACCAACTTTCTTCTTTTTAAATGTTTAAAGTGTGCATTTTCACTATTACTACTTCATTCCAGGAGACTTTTGTACAATGGAACATCCTGGCTTATATAGTCTTGTCAGCGAATGTTCCTGCTCTTCTATTTTACTGAAAACAGGAAAAATCCTGTAGACTAGATAGCATTTGGCTGAAGTTAGTATTACATGAGCTATTCTTTTTCTTTTTCCCAGAGTATTCATGGTCCACCAATACATTTATAAAACAAGGGTTATACTCTGGATTTCTAAGCAATTAAAGCAGAATCAATCTGTGTTAAAATGATCTTGAGATGAAAGAAAATGTTTGCAAGAACAGACCAATGCTCATCACATCAAACATTATTGTGGTCCCTGCTTCTGGGCAATGGTCAACCAGTGGGAAGAGGGTGGTCTAGGGTTAACATATACCACACTCTGATGCTTCTATTCTTCCCACACATTTATCAACACAGAGCAATCCTGTGTGACTTGAAAGCTGTTATACTGTATTTCGGACACCTATGATATTATTGGGGACTTTTCACCAGCTCAAGGTGCATGGACTCCATTCATAACTAATTGCACTGTAACTCTCTCCACAGTGTTTCATTTTGTGAGTGCTCCAGTATCTGTTACTCAGACTGTCTGCTATAGCTAACAAGATATTAGAGTAACAAATTGTCTTTTTCAGTTCTCTATTTCATGACCTTGAAGCAACTTGTTCCCAGAGTCTCAACGGTTTCTTTCATTTCCTTTCTAGTGTATATTACATCTTCTATGTAAAACACCTCGTTAACATTTATTTATTTCATAGGGTTCCTTCTGAATATTGAGTTCCCAGATTTGTCAGTGTCCACCCTTAACTAGTTTCATGAGTCAGAAAATATGATATATAATAGGTTAACAAACATGGAAAATATATAAGTACTTTTTTTTAAAGAAGCTATACCTCTCGATTTAAGTCTGCAAGGCAATTATTACAGAATCGCACGTGTTTACCTGATTTCTTCCAGGCTACCTGGTTCCATGGTATTCCGGTCAGAAACGTGCTGACCAGCGCTGGCGTCGCTTTTCTCGCTGTAGAACCTGAAGAAAAGCCTCCAGCCAATAGGGACTTTTGATTCCAGTTTCTCTCATAGCATGCTGGGAAATGGAGTTTCAGATGCTATGGCGCATCAGTTCTCTTAAGTGAGATTGACAATTCGAAGTCGAATTGTCTTCGCTCATCAGCGCCTTCCAGGGCTACATTCTCATTTTAAATAGAAACGTTCTAAACTATCTATACTTACGATAAGTACAGATTTATCTATTTCGTCATACATGACTAATCTGATGGTTTTGCACTGCATTTTGCACTGTGAGCCGCCCCGAGGCTTCGGCGAATGGGGCGGCATAAAATTGTTTTAATAAATAAATAGATAAAAATTTGTACTTCATATTGGTTTCATTTCAAGCCACTCTAGAATTGCCCGATTCCAAATTCTGAGAATGATATTATTCTCAGGCAGGCAAGTTAAGGAGAACACGTAAGGCTGAATGGAGACCCAGTGGCGAAGAGGATTAAGAATGGCTGGGCCTTGCAGAATTTGGTCCAGTAAATGGCTTTTCGGATTTCAGGTCTGCATTCCTGAAGAAATACGGCTTCTCCTGATGACGCAAGAAATTACTATTCTGTTAGCAACCTTCTTTTGATCCAGCAATCCTCCAGGATATTGCATTGTTGCCTCTTTATCAGAACTTGAATATCAAATATGGATGACGAATTAACCAGCTCAATGCATCAAGTTGCAGTGGTGAGACTAACAAATCTTGTTTTCTTGAACAGATTGCACTAAACTACTCTTTATGCGACTCAGAATAGGCAACCCTGAAACCTCTATATTAGTTTGCAACAAATTTGAAAGCAAGAAGCAACGTTGGGAGTCAATTCTTGCTCGGTTCTATCCTAACTTCAGCTCTCTAGGCACAATAGAAATAAATTTAAAGAAAGTGTTCAACAATCCTTTCCCAATCGGACACCCCGCAGATGCCTTGGACTACTACTCCTATCATCCGCAAAGCAGCGTAATTTAGGGACTCGTTTTGTTCAGGCCCCTAAACAAAGGGTAGGCATGTGTAACCGATATTAAAATAGCACTGCAATATTGAGGTCTCGTCCAACTTTGAAGAGGGGACTCGAGAGACGCGGGAAAACCCCCTTGAGGCCAGGCTGCTCTTGTTTATTTCCCAACCCCGCCCCGCCCCGTGCAATGACAGGCCGCCTCGAGAGGTGCTAATGACGTGCCGAACGTCACGATTCTGCAGCGACCATCTCCGAACTGCGCTGCCGGCGGCTGCGGTGATGTCACGCTTCTCGCGTCACTATTCCACGGTGACGCCTCGCGCCTCGGACTCGGAGGAGCCGCGCTCCCCGCCCAGTTTGGTGTGCAGCTTGAGCCAATCGGGTGGCGACCCATCACCCGGCCCTCGGCGCGGAACCGGCCAGGCCTGGGAGCGGAAGGAGTGGGCCGACAGCGCTGGAGCGCGTCCTCGTTTCCTGACACTTTCGCCGCGGAGGGATGGCGGCGGGCGTCGCATCGCTCTCCGGCGTGCTGCAGCCGCGGCGGCTCCTCTCAGGACCGACCGTGCTGCTGCTGCCGCTCCTCCAGGTCCTGTTTGTGCAACCGCCGGGCCCAGCTGAGGCTGGGCCGCTCGCCAAGTGGCGGCTGCCCGTGCTCACGGTGAGCGAGCAGGGCGGGCAGCTGCGTCCCGTGAGCGGGCTTCTGGTGGAGGATCCCCGGGACTGGTGGGGAGGTGGCAGGGCGAGGCTTGGCTGCCCTTGGCGGGGCCATGGTTGAGGTGAAGGTAGGCTGCCGCTTGGCGACTCGGCTGCCTCGCGTCAACAGCTGCTCTCGTGTGGCCACGAACCCGGACCTTGCTGCGCGGTGTCCGGGTTGCTACATCGCAGCGCGGGGCCCTGGCTTAGCATTTCCCTCTTCCTCGGGTGAAGTAGTTTAGGAGTGTCGCTCTCAGTGAGGAGGAGAACGCCTTTTGCTGTTTTCCACACCTGGGAGAGGTTTTGCTCCACTTCTCCACCATTATTTTTGACGACTCCAGCCTCATTTGATTGGCACATAATCTCCGTAGCCTCTTCATGCCCTACTGATGTGTTGGGCCACAATTCACACAATCCCTCACCAGCTGCTATGGGAATTGTAGTGCAACACATCGGCAGGGCACCAAGCTGGGAAAGGTTGCCCTACATTAATTGAGGACATAGCCTAAGAATGTGGAAAAGCAGGCCCCCCAAGCCCCTTTCCTCACCACTTCATTAATTGCTTTTTCCCCTATACACACCTCAGAGTTGGTTAGAAGGAAAATAACTCACGTGTTGACAAGTGTTTAGCCCATAAAAGTATCTTTAAGAAATGTGAAAATTGCCCAGTGACTCTCCTGATGCACGCTCCCATTAATAAAGGGTCTGTTGTGTATCTGCTGGTACCTGGGTTCATCTACTGAATAAACATTGATGTTCAGTTGCTTTGGATAATAAGAGCCAGTGCAGATGCTGTTTTGCAAAATTATCTCCAGAGTTAATTGCTCGTCTGAGGAGTTTAAGGTAGGAGGAGCTGTTCACAAAAATAAATAATAAAAATGAAAATTAGAGTAGCTGCTTTTGCCCTGCACACAGAAGCTGCTGCTACTATCTGTCGTGAACTCCTCCAGTTTTACATTTTTCTATGAGAAGGCCATCGCATATCTATGCAGACAGACTTTCAAATTAGTTATCTTGGCCTGCTCTTAATAACAAAATCTAGAACTTCAGCTTTTGTAATCAGAATATGTGATAAGTGGGGAAATGAGTATCAAGGAAAGATAAAAAGTTGTAGTAGACTCTGGTGATGTTCTGTTTCTAAGTTTCCAGTCTATGTTTATTTCATTTATATCGAACTTTCCTGTAAGGAACTCAGAGTGGCAAATATGATCATCTCCCTCCTATATATGGTTTTCATAAACCTGTGGGCAAGATTAGATTAGGAGATGGTTCATTGACCCAAAATTACTAAGTATTTGACCCTGAGTCTCCTAGATCTAACCAAGTGTTAATAACTACATCAAACTAGCTCAACCTGTTTACATGTGTGTCAGGCCCAGGATGTAGACAGTGGGAACCTATGACTGGAACACTGGGATGAAAGTGAAATGCAAGTCTCTGCTAGATGCTAGAGGGTCAGGGTGAGAGGCAGAGTGCGGGACAGGGACTCAGGCATCTGGGTTCTAGTTCTTGCTCAATCATGGAGCCCACTGGGTGACTAGGCCAGTCACAGACTCTCAGCCCAACCTACTTGACAGGGTTTTTGTGGAGACAAGATTGAGAGTTGGAGGAGGAGAATTGTGTCAGGTGCTTTGAATTCTTTGTATGGAAAAGGTGGGATATAAATCTAATAAATGAAATCTAAATTAGGTTGAGGTCAAATAAGACAAGGTCAGAGATGAAGGTACAGTTCAGAAGAACACTGAAGTCAGTTACTGGTAAGTCAGAGCAGGGTCAGAAACCAGGTAAGGTCAGAAAGGACAAGGAGCAGGTATCTGGCAAGGTAGGATGAGACCAAAGGCAAGGGCTAAAGCAGGAGCCAAGGCAAGACTGGAGCAGGATTGGAAGTATGATGTCACTACTACTAAGGCTCATGCTGCTATGACAAAATTTGAGCAAGACAGGGAAGCCTTTCACAGAGCTTTCCATGATTGCACAGGCTCTGTTCTTTGCAAGTACCTACAGGACTGATTCTGGCAGGCCCATGCAGGTTGAATTGTGCTGCTCTTTGGTATCACAGATCCTGAAAGTACCTCCTCTCCTTGGGAAGGGGGTTCTCAGCAAACTGCCAGACAGGATGTAGGCAACCATATCTATGGCTGGAACACTAGGACCAGGGATGATAGAGGTAGATGGAGATCTTAACAGGATGCAGGAGGACCAGAGGCAAGGGCAAAGTCAGGAACAGGCAAGTGTCAGATGCAGACAGGAAATGACAAAAGCGTAGGCAAAGACAAGGTCCAGAGGCAAGTGGAGGTCAGATACCAGCACAGTGGAACAGGTCCAGGAAGAAAGTGAAGTCATAGAGAACAAGGAACAGGTGTCTGGCAAGGCAAGGGCAGGAGATAAGGCACAGTCAATGCCAAGACTAGAAGCAGGCTCTAAAACACAGTGTAACCACCACAATGGCCTATATTGTCAAGGCAAGACTGAGAAATGCAGGGTGCCTTCCAGAGTTCCCAGCTGCTCTGCTAGTTTGCACAGGTTCTGATCCTTGCAAGTATCTACAAGTACATTCTTCCTACAGGTGCTTGCAAAGAGAACTGTGCTACTTGTCACTACAGGGACTTTTGTCAAGGCTTCAGATCCTGAGAAAGTGTAGCCTACACAATTTTAGTCAGCTCCAGTTCTTAATATGGTGTTATTGTTTCTGCAAAGATTCTCAGAACAGATCAGATGCCTTTGCATTAGAGGTGCCTTGATGTGAAACAACATTAGGCAGTATCTAATCTGACAATGTTGCTAAAGCAAATTACAGTGTGCAAACAAAAAAAGAGCGTAATGTACACATGTAGATAACAGTCCTATGCATGTTTTGACAGAAAAAAGCCCTTCAATTCCTCGAATTTGCCAGGTAATATGGGTTTGTCTAGATATATATTTTTACAATTTTATACAGACTGTTAGTTTCACTTAAGTCTCATTCATTTCAGTGGGTCCTATCTAAGGGTTATATCTGGTTGTATTTGTACAACTTAAATTATGTCACATTAATTTTCAAACATCACTGTTTATCATGTGAAATAGATAACCAGCTTCACCCACAGTAAGCCATGCAGTGATTTGACAAGAAGAATAGTTTTCTATGATGTTTGGCCATGAGCATTTATGTCTCATCACTGCTTGTCAAAGGAAAAATATGAATGGCTGACCACCTGATTATGTGCACGCTGTTATAAGTTAATACTGGATAAGTGGTTATGTTTATTCATTTAGTGCCATTTTAGGCAGAGGAATGCTGTATTAATAACCATTGTATACCATCATTCAATTACTTGTATACCAGCCATCATCAAAACTGACTAAAGGGCAGGTACTGAAATAAAACTATAAATACATAATTCAGGGCAACATTCTGTATCTTTATGTAGAGGTAAATCCCACTGCCCAGTATAGTTTACGGCTAAGTAATCATGGGCAGGATCCGGTGAAATGGGATGGAAAAATTTCTGATCCAGTATTGTTCTGTGAAAAATTTCCACGTTGTATATGTCTGGTTTTTATACATAGCTGTCTGGACTGTTTTAAGAAGTAATTTCAACATGCACAAATGTACCTTTCCAATGTTTTGATGTGTTTATGGATTGCATCCAGTGTAAAAGCTGCTTAGAGTAGAGCTATTGAAATGAATGGAACTATCATATGAATGGAACTATCATTTCCATCATTAATATGCTATCTAAAAATAAAATTTAAAAGATAAGAAAAACTTCTACAGTTTTCACAATGGCTCACTGGGGACTTCTGTGAATTGAAGGATTTTTTCCTGCTGAAACATAGACAATACTGTACCCTAGGTATCCATATAATGCTTTTCCCGAGAGCTCAGGGCACTTTATATACATCATTTCGGTGATGCAGCTGTTTTAGTATTCTATATTGCAGATGAGGATTGTGGTTATGAAGTTAATCTCAGATGTCTGGTGAATTCATGATTAAGATGAAATCTGATATTTAAACTGTAGCCTACATGTGTCATCACTAAAAAGTTCAATCAAAGTATACTGTTCTGTACTTAAGGTTTTTCACAAGTGCATGTTTGTCATGTGATGAGTGCAGCATTAAATGGTGAGTGCATGTGTAAATGAGATATGGCATAAACACCACAGAATCCTAGTGGATTCTAAGTAGAAATTTAAAACATAGAATAGCCATCACTTCAAATACAATGATTCTTTTGGGGATAATTTAAGTGTGACTCAGGAAGCGTTGAATGGATGGATGTGTGGCCACCCCCTGTGTGGCCTCATTTTCCAAGCAGTTGTGTACAGGACTGCAGTTTTCATCTTTTCCTTATCTGACAGTACAGCAATGATATGTAAGAGTTCACCTAAAATGTGTATGAAAGTGCTTTTGAACATACTTTAAAAATATTTAATTGAAATTCTTGGGCTATTATAGATACTTGTTTACTTAGAGTTATTGCTAAGGAAGCAGTACTTCATATGCCAGGGGTGTTGAAACTCCTTTAGCTCAAATGTTGAATTCCAGAAGCTCCCAATACCTAAAGTCTTAGAAGAGACATTTGGCTTTTTAGGATGAGTGGGGGATGCACAAAAGCTGGGAAACCACCAGCAGGGGGAAAAAGTGGGAGCAGGGGGATCAGCATGGCCTTCTGGAGAGCACCAGAGGCCTGGACTGGAGTTTAAGATGAACTGAATTTGGTACCCAGGTCTGAGGTTCAACACCCCTGAACTAAACAGTTACTAATATTTGATGGTTTTCCATATTTAGCTGCTGCTTTTTTATTTTTCTTTGTATAGGGCAAGACTTCTTTTAACTTTGGGAAGATTCTCTTCAGCAACACTACCATTTACCTAAAGTGTAAGCAAAGTGCATTCAAACTGTAGCTTGTAGTATAATATGGCAGTCTTTAGTAATAGTTTTGTTAGCCTGGTCAGTTTAGGACAATAATTTAATGACAAAGAGTGCCATCCAATGTGGCTGACCATAACTTTCCACAGCTGAAGAACTGGGGGATCCATTGGAAGGCAGGAGGCTGGAAGAGGCTAGGATTGCCTGCATGCTTCCTACACCTTCAAAAGCATTTGGATGGGTGATTTCAGCCACTTAAACGTTTTCTCCTTCATTGGGCAGAAAAGAGGCTGAGGCACTGCTGGGATTCCACAGCGGATGGTGTCTCACTCTTTCCCTCTCCACTCCCCCACACTCTGCCTTCAAAGGTGGTCTTCCATCTTCAAAGTCCAACTGCCAGGTGCAAAGGGGTGTGTGGAGAGGGGCAGGCTTTTTCAAGGGCAGAGTCCTTGTTCTGGCCTCAGAAGACATTTCCGAGTCAGAGCTGGGACTCTGACCTATCCTATGGCCCACCCAGACAATGTCAGGAGACCATAGGATGATTGTATCCTTAAGTCTATAAAACTGCAGACCATGTCCAGTTGTTATTCTCACTGTTTTTAGCAGTCTCCAACCTCCATTACTTAAGTTTCTAAGAATACTGGACTATATTTAATATAACTTTGCAATGTTTTTCCTTTGACTACCTTAGCCCCAAATCAACTAAAGTTAGTTTTGGCTGATTCCCTTTGAAACCAAGGAAATAAGTTACTTTTGACTAAAATCTCCTTGTATTCAGTGGGAGCTGCTGCACAATCCTAAACATAAATATTCAGAAGTAAGGTTACCTTATTTCAACAGGACTTGCTTCTGTGTAAGTGTACATGGATTGCAGTTATTGGTTTGGATCCTAACTAGTACTCCATTGGGAACAGTTTCTCAGGGAGTTCTACTCATGGAAAGCTTCCACTGATAGAAAAGAAAAAAGTCGTATTGCCCCAGTTTTCCTTCTAATCCCCTTCTTCCTTGAGGGTACAGAGGGGAGGGGATATTAGTGAAGATCATCTCTCCATTTGAAATCACTGCTGGATCCTTTTCTCAATACTGTTCCTAGGAGGAAGAGCTTTTAGGAACTATCCTGAAAGAGTTGCAATGGTAGGCAATGTAATTTGATGGGCCATATAATATATATGTCCCTCTCCCTTTTTCTATAGATTGGTTAAATTCCCCATGTAGTTGGATATTTCAGTAGTATAGCTATGTTCAACCTTTTATTGCCCACTCCAACTTTATACTTTTTCTATTTTGAAAGGATATTACGCATGCTTGATTGTTTTAAAATAAATGGTCGCTAGTTTAAAAATGCCTTGGATGTATTCTTTGTCATAGATTTTCCAACCATGCTATTGTGACAACCACAAAAAATGGTGTAGAAGACAAGATGTAAAATAGCATAGCAATACACTGTCAGCTGATTTACATGCTCTTTCCATTACTTGACACAAAGAGTGTCATTCATTTGAATGGTGTTTTTTGCTGTGGCCTTCAATCGTAGCATTTTATGTTTAGTCCTGTGAGTTGCATCCTCAGCATTAACTTGTTTGTCAGCTTATACTCTGGGGGTAGAAATTTAGGGCACAAATGCATGGAATAAGCTCTTAGTTACATAAAAAGGCCTTCTAAGTTTTGTCTTTTTATATCAATGCAGTATAGTAAAGTGAGGTTCCAAATTGTGACAATCTTTTATATCAACAGATCGCACCATTGTGTATTGAAGGTGTCTTGCCCTATTTGTGTACTTTAAATTAGTACAAACTACAAGATCATATCATAAACTGAGATATAATGTATGACATTGGATTTTATATTAGTTTTAGAAAGCATTATTATTTTATTTCATTTTGAAGACATAAGGGATTTTTTCATTATACACCTCATTTCTAGTTTGCATTCCTTGCTACTTCTTTCTTGTGTGCAGTAGTTACTTTATCTTTGATTGCTGGGTGCTTAATGAGATGTCTTGAGGAACATTTCAGTAATAGTAGTACAAAGAGCAGAAGATACTTCCTACATTTCTTACATATTTTTATATGTTTAGTTGAAGGCAATGAAGCTACGTGTGACCCTTCTCAAGTTTACAATGTTAGCTGGTACTTGAGGTATTCTGATTGCTACAATGAAGTCTTCAATTTTGGGGTAAGAAATTAGAATTAAACACTACTTTGCCCAGGCAGTGTGTCAGTCATTTGCCTGACTGCAAAAAATGCCATTCATCTTCTGCCAGTCTTCTGTTTAGGATGCCTTGCCTCGATTTCATTTGTCTCCATCTCTTTTCCCAGCTGGCTCACAAGCTGAGTGGCACTTGGCTTTAATGTGAGGGGAGAGGGACTCAATCCCAGCTGGTGATACTCCTCCTTGGTAGCTTGCATGTAAATTTTCCATGTTCTCTCAGAGTCAAAGAACTAATAGTTGCTTAACTGCTACTTTCTTTCATCCCCTTATGCTGTGGTGTGAGAAATAGAAATATTTGATTTTGGCTTGTGATTGGCCAGGGGTTGGTGCTTTGGCTGAGAAACAGCATTATGGTTCCTTTGCACACTCTCTTTTCTAGTTGCTTCCTGAGCTAACTGTTTGTTTCTGTTAATCCATCAGCAAAATCAGGTCATGTCATGTGTCTTGGCAGGATGAACAGGTCGATCTTTATTTTGGGGACACGGTAAAAAAACAACCAGGTTGGTCAGGATACTATGCAATGTCTTCGATTGCCTTCCACAACTGTACTGAACTCTTCAAACCACAGGTATTATACGGGCACAGAAACAAATCTATGATTGGATAGACTTGAAGGGGCAAAATTATTGGTGCTAAGACTTGCTGGCAGGGGCAGGGGGGATATGCCTATAATTTCCCTTCTTATGTCTTCTAGTCTATTTCTCTGAGCAACATTCTGAGAGAGGAAGAACTTATGGCATGCTGTTTTCTTTACATGAAACCATTTGCCGTATTGAGGGAAAGGAGCTTTTCTGGAAATACAAGTGTTAGCAGGACTGGGATATAAATGAAACATGATGTTCACTTTTGCATTATCATTTGGATCTGTTTTGTTTTGTTTTAACTGTTTTACTGCCCTGAGCATGGTTATTGAAGGATGGTATTATACATATATTTAAAATCAGAGCTAACTAATGAAAATGTTAGATATGCATCAAAATGATTACAAATGATTTCCTGCCTTTTGTTCAAGTCTGTTCATGCCTATGACCTGCCCTCCCTTTGTTGATATTTGATGTAATCTATGTCACTTTACCAGTAACACCAGAACTGTTGTCTCCATTGCATTTGTCAGCACTCTCTCGTCTTTAGCTTGATAGTCTCCTCTGCAATCGATCCTGTCTGCAGGCCACCATCTTTCCCAGCATATTATGGAAAACTCCACAGCATAGTCTAGGTCAGGGATGGCCATCCTCTTGTGCCCAGTTTCCCTACCCCTCTGCCAGCAATGACATCCGCAGCCCTCCCTCCAGCAGATTGGCTATGAAGAATATAGTCATTTCTGATGCAAACATTAACTGGCAGGGTGGTGGACAGGACATGGAAAGTAAGAAAAGGTTCTTGGAAGAAGTTATACCTCCCCTACTGACATATTTCATATCTAGAGTATGGAGCCTGGTTGACTCTCATGGGCCACCAATTAATCATCCTTGATAAGTGGTGTATGCTCAGCTCATGTTGGGCTACACAACTGAGCATCTGATGTTGCACACATCTAGCACTCATTACAGGTAGGCAAGCTTTCTTTCAGAGAAGCTGGTCTGTCATTACTGACTTTTTCATTAGTATATTTTCCATTAAACCCAAGTTTTCATGGTCCCTGATTTGAAACCTATGAAAATGGTGTATAGCATACTTCTTTCAATAATCTTAAGTGCAACTCAATTATGTAAAGATAGTTGATCTCAAGGAAATGAATTCTTCCACTTAGAAGCCAAGGTTCAAAATGCTTCTTTTATTCCTAATTTATTAGCAGTGCTTCCCCTGATGGATTGTGAGTGCATATTGGGAGGTAGGACTGCTATCCCAGTGCAACACCCCAACTTGTATTACCAGGATACTGTCTCCTGATTATCTGAATCCTCATGTACCCCTGTGTCATTGTGACCCTATGTAAATAGCACTTTTGTTTTTCCAACCTTCTAGTTATCCAAATATTTTTTGTATGTCTTTCGGGCTACTTGGGTATATTGTGGTAATGCTCTAATTATCTTTCTCACTTTTTAATTAGATTTTCCACCATGAATCTGTTCATCCAGAACCCCTCTCTGATGGAAAACAAGAGGTATTTTTATATTAATACATGGGATTATTCATTTGCAAAGTATTATTTTGAGATTTTGATCAAACCTGCTTTTATTTTTAAAGCTTTCTTCTCAAGAGAATGTAACAAACAATGTGACTATAGCTGAGAAGCCTGTAAATACAAGAGAGGTAATGTATATTTGTAGTAATAAAAGAAGATATGTATCTGTTTGTCTGTGCATTACCACCAAGACTGTGAAAAACTCAACACATGAAACTTACTTATTAATATATCAAAAGCTTTTCTATCCCATCCCCTACAAATGTCTCAGGACAGCTTTCAATAAATGAGTAGAATAAAACAAACCCCACAGCATCCAACCATTAATATACTAAAACCCTAGTTAAAATGAATTAAACATTAAAGTAGTGGGAAAATAAAAAGGGTTTTGCCTGATGCTGAGAAGAATATATCATCGGCACCAGGCAAACCTCTGGGGAGCATATTCCATAGTCAGGGTGCTTTTTTTCAGGTGTACTAAGATGACCCCAGGAGTTTGCACCTCAAGATTATTTTCATTTAAAAAAACATTAATAGTCATTAACTTCAAAGAATCCAATTTATTCATGTGGTTGAGGCCTCCAGTTCATTGTCAACCACTAGAGGAAGGCTTATTTGTAACGTAGCTGCCTGAGCTTGACATTTTCCATTAAAATCAGTAGGATCTGGAAATGCTTGAGGTTTATTTTTTTTAGAGCATGTCATAAATTATCTCAAACTTTTTGTTTGGTGGTTCAGATTGGCATTTCTTTGAAGTAGTGTGCTTTATGAGACAGGAGCATCTATTACTTCAATTCTTACAAAAGATGATGCAGAACTTTATTTTCTTTCTCTGGACTTTAAACCCTTTTTTTCAGGCATTGAATGCTGTTATGAGAACCTGGAGGGATGGGCCTTACATTTTTATTGTTCAGATTGGAATTTCATCCTCTAAGGAAGGGAATGTGAAAGCTAAAAGAGCAACAGGTGATGATGGATTGCCAAAAGTTGTGGCTTCCTCTGATCCACAAAAGGCACTATTTAACAGTAAGCAGTTCCTTTATGTTTGAATGTTCTGAATACTTATATACCATGTGGTGTTTTATCTGCAGGACTGTATTTGTGGTAAAGTTTAGAAGTGAGCCGTGGGCTCACTGCAGGTGCAATCATGAATGTGAAGTGTTTAGCCAGATTTCAGAAAGGGAAACAGACAAGAGTTCTTTGTTGTTCCGAGGAAGCTCTTAGGCATTCAAGTGCAGAAATGGCAAGCACTTTACTTTCTTGGGGCCTTCCGCATAATCTGTTCAGCTGGGGCTCATTTCCCTTCAGAACATAATTTCTTCCTAGCCCAATCATGAGACAAAGAAAATGCAAGATTATGTGGAATGCTGATTCCTGTATTTAAATAAAGGGGAGCTCCCCTTCACAAAGGGGAGCTACACACGGAAGAGTAGAAAAACTTTTGTTAGGCTGCAGTGTTTAGAAAAGGCATTTATAGAGCACTACTTGGCATGTATGCACGCACATACATATGCTGACAACAAACTGAATATTCTTGTTCCTGTAGATAAATATAAAACCATGTAAACTTGCTGAAGAACCAGTTCTATGACTATTGTGTGACCTTTACAGGAATAGGGCCTGATTAGTTTTCTCTCTCAAGGTGCTACTGTCCACTACTGAGAATTTGGCTAATTGCACTGCAGAAGACAAAGGCAGTAAGAATTCTGGGATGATCTTACATGAATTCACCAAGGAAAACAGCATGACATATATTCCCATTCAGGAAAACAGCATAGCATATATTCCTGTTCTCAGAATGTGCACAAATGGTACAATGTTAAGGCACACTCTTGAATATTATTCACACTGGTACCTATTGGTGGGCTCGTGTGTTAATATAAGTGCAGAATTATTATTTCACAGGTTCTTGATTCCTCAAAGAATTTGAAGTCAACAGGAGCCTGTTTACTGAGCTTTACAATACCCATCTGGCAATCCATGACCTTATTACATACTTTTCAGGATGGCTGTATGCAACATGGGACCCACAAGCTGAACTCATCCTTCCTGTCTTATATTATGGCCTGCTTAACAGTTTGTTGTGTCTCTGCAGCCCCAGGCAGGTGGCAATAAATTGGAGTTTCATCAAAATTTCTGCCTCATCTCCGAAAGAGTGTTGCAGAGCAGGAAAAGGCTCAACAAAAATGATCAGTGGTCTACAACAACTCCCCTTTGAGGAAAGGTCACAACATTCGGAGCTTTTTAATTTAGAAAAGGGCAGATAAGCAGGGGCACTTGTTCAATCATACTTAGTACAAAGAAAGTGGTAAGAGAGATGTTTTTCTCTCTTGTCTATGAACACTAGGACCTGGAGTCAGCCAGTGAAATGAAATGGTGGGAGATTCTGGACAATGCAGGAATTCAAAAGAAACAATGGAATTCCTTAGTATAAAAAGTGGTAATGGCAATTAACTTAGATGGTTAAGGGGACTAAACAGATTAATGGAAGATAAGACTTTCAATGAATATTAGTTAGGATGATCATATGAAACCACCAGGATCAGATTTCATTTGCCTCACAGTAGCATTTGCTGGAGAACAAGAGTGGCAGAGAGCAATTGCTGCATGGGCTACCCAGAGGTATCTTGCTGGGTGCTATGGGGAACAGGATGCCATATTGCACAGGCTTTTGGTTTGATTGAGCAGAGTCCTCCTTATGCATTCCTGATTTCCTGTCTCTTCTCTGATTGTTTTTCACAGTGACTGTGGAGGTGAAAGGTCCATATGACTACCTCTCTTTAGCAGATTATCCTCTGATGATTGTAAGTTAATGCACTTGTTTGGTGCAAAATCCACCTAATTGGTTTCAAGCAGAAACAAATAAATTGACTTTTTAAAATTTAGAATGAAGAGCTTTTCTACAAGTCTGGATGACCTCCCCCTTGGTCTCATTCCTACAAAGGCCAGTTTCAACAGATTAAGGGGGGGTGCAGTTCTGGGGGTTAAGCCAGGCATCAAAGTCCATCAGTGTTATTGTGTTTTGTTGTTGTTATTTCTATATTTACTGCTACTTATTACTAGGTGCTGTACAGAACATTGACGTGAGTAGGGCATTGCCTAGAGAGGTTATAGTCTGTTTCAGATGCACAGGTGGAAGAGGTCAGAGACTGACAAGGAGTGATAGGGATGGCATAGAGGAGGAACAGATAAGGGGGATGCTCTAGTGGGTCATTAGTGAAAGCCCTGTGACACTGCAGTGGGCAGTGTCCTTTAATCTTTATCTTGCTTTTATCTCTCTGTAATAGTTCTTCATGGTGATGTGCATTGTGTATGTCTTGTTTGGAGTTCTGTGGCTTGCATGGTCAGCCTGCTATTGGCGTGACCTCCTGAGGATCCAGTTCTGGATTGGTGCAGTTATCTTTCTGGGAATGTTAGAGAAAGCTGTTTTCTATGCAGAATTTCAGAATATTCGCTACAGTGGAGAATCAGGTATGTTAAAAGGCTATAATTAGATGCATTTGTTTATTTATTATTTGTATTGCAGCTTTTTTCCCTCCAAGGAACCTAAGGTAGCTTACCTAATGCTCTCACTCACCTCTATTTTATCCTTACAACAGCCCTGTGAGGTATGTTAGACTGAAGTAAGTGACTAGCCCAATGTTACTTCATGGCCAACTCTTGTCTCCTGAGTTCCTTCTGGCACTCTAACCACAATAGATTTGAGAACGCAGGAGTACAGATGAATTGCTGTTATAAATAATAATATTTTAGTGTTATTTTACATGGCAGAATAGAAATGAGCAAATTCTCAACATCTGCACCACTAGCTGTAAGTGATCTCTGTCAATTTATTTTATGAAAGAAACATGTTAATATGATGAGGACAGCTAGTATACTTATTATGAGATTATATTTCTGAAGTGATCTTGCATCCTTCCATCATCCTTAATGAGGTGATTGAGTTAACTGAAATTATTCTAAGCTTTACCTGAAAGATATACCTATTTTGTTCAATGGAACTTGTTCAGGAGAAGCAAGTGCTCAGGATCCCAGTCATTGTACAGGTGCATCTCTTAGCAGAGATGCACTAAATACATTTCCAAAGCCACACATTCTTTTGGGCTTAAAATAGTTTCTCTTTAATATTTGGCTTCTCATGAATAAAGTGTAGTATTTCTGTTAAGTGTAACATAATATTTGCTGAAACTCATTGCAAGCTTCAAATATTAAACAATATGTTGAGTATCTCCATTGTTTTGTTTGCCTACAGTCCAGGGGGCCCTGATACTGGCTGAGCTGCTTTCAGCACTGAAGCGTTCACTTGCTCGGACTCTTGTTATAATAGTGAGCCTGGGATATGGCATAGTCAAGTGAGTATGAGCAGAGTGTTAGAAACAGTCTTCAACACTCAAATACTGGTGCAAAATACCCGGAATCTCTCAAAGGGGCCTCTGTTTTTTATCTTTAATGCTTTAAATGCGCAGTGCTGCCCATCCTCTCCAATGCTTCCTTCCTTCTCCCTCTTAGCTTACCCTGGAAAATGGGGAATGAGAGGGTAGGCAAGAGAGGGCCCTTGTGAATATGAGAGAGTAAGAGTGGGGCCCCTCTCTAGTAGGAAATGGCACCCATTTTTTCTTGCATTTTTCTTCTTCTTGAACTGTCATTTCTGAGACCCTCCTCTGTTTTCCTTACTTCTCTCCTAGTATTAGTCTTTTTTCTACCTTAGGGAGGAACACAGGTTAAAAGAGGGAAGGGGGCAGGATGAGTGTGAGCAGATTTGAGGAGGAACCTGCTTGAGGTGGTCTGGGTCTGCCTCAGTTTTGTCTTCTATCTTGCTTTGAATCCTCATTCCAGAATATCAGCCTCTCTGAAGCTTCATCCTTGTGATTGTGTTATGCAAGCTGAGATAGAAGAAAATCTACAACTTGGGGGTGCTGGCTGCGGCATGCTTGGAGTTGCAGGCCTTTTCCTGTTAAACTTGTATGGGAATGTGCCTTAAAGGCTCAAGTGTCTGTAAAACTGGAAACATGGAAAGGGTTAGAATTAGAGTTAGGGTTATGAACTTTCTCCTAGTATCAAGTACCAAGACAGATTTGGTTACCCAGTTGGGCAATGTATATGTGCCACATGTCATCTGTGAGGCTGAAGTTGTTTTCATTTTGTTTGAAATTTCTCCTTTTATTCCTGTTACAGGCCTCGTCTTGGAGCTGATCTTCACAAAGTAATTGTGGCTGGAGCCCTCTATTTATTATTTTCTGGCATGGAAGGAGTCCTTAGAGTTACAGGGGTTAGTAAGCACTTACTGGAATTTCATACATAGATAGGCAGTTGATGGATTTAGTGTGTTGTAAGGAAGTAATAAGCAGTAATAGATATTCTGGAATTTCTGAACTAGCCTTTTACTGTTCATCTGACATATAGTCTTACCAGTAAAATATGTTAAAGAGATGTTATTAATGTGCTTGAAAACTTTGAGCCCCGCAATCTTGACTTTTCTGCACCTGAATACTATTTTCAGTGCTGGTTCTTCCATTAGCAGAGCATTGTGAGGAGGGGGAGATTGGGGGCTGGGCTCTCCATCTACCTGCTTTAGCCTTCTTTACTCACCATTACTCCACACATCGCTGATTGGCTGGCCCTGCCATCCCAGTACTGCTGTGACTTTACCCATCTACCTGCAGTGGTTTCTAGGGGACTTCCACCTTTGTTTGTGCACTGCTAGTACCAAGAGCTGTCTCCCCAGATGGGTGTGAGGGCAGCCTTTGCTGTTTACAGCCACAGCAAGAATGGACTAATGATGACTGAAGCATGCCCAGCTGGGCTGCAGCAGCTGCTGTTGTTTGCTCTGCCTGCACTGGGAAAGGAGAGAAGGTGAAGCATGTAGTTTGAGCCTTTCTCTTCTTAGCCACTCCTGGGCTGCTCTGCTAGTTGGGCAAAACTGAAACAGTATAAAAACTGACAAATTCCATAGAAGCAGCATTAAAGGGAGCCATATCTGAAGAGGAGAAGTAATTCAAGTGTTCCTGTTCAGTTCTAACCTTTTCTGTTCCTCTTGCACAATGGCAGGGAGAGATGCAACTGTTGCCTTCCTGTCAATCTGAAATTGAATCTCCTACCTTTAGCTTCCAAAATGAGTAAGCAAAAAGTTAGCTTACTTTGTGGAGGAAAAGAGGATGGGATGGATGAGCAGAGAGCATCAGACAGTAATTCACTGTCTAGTTGGTTAGCATCGGGATGTGTTTCCTGTTTTGAGACCTTTTGGTTCAAATAAAGAATTTTGTGCTTAGTGCAGTTAGTGGGAAAAGATGGTGCTTGACAGTCCCCCTTAAGATGTTATCCTTTGCTCCTTCAGTCCTGAGACAGGCAGAGAGAAAGGAGTAGCTGCCACCACTCTGGATCTCTGTCTTTCTGTGAACCCACAGTATGACATGAATGTGGCCCAGATTGAGGCAGCATGCATGGAGGGCCCCCAAGAGCAAGACATGGAGGGAAACAGTGAGACTATCTCGGGGTGATAGAGTTTGGAAATGTTTACCCCATCCTTTGTGCTTCTGCTTCCTTCATCCTTCCTGGGATTAAGGTATATGGGAAGAAATCTTCATCATCTTCATTTTATTCCAGTACCATCCATAGTCAAAGCTCTCTGGGTGGCTTACAGTCTTCCCATTAAAAGGCTTCTAGGAATAACTCTTTTTCATTGAAGAGATCTGCCAAACTTCTCATTTTCTCTGGAGTCCTGCCCACTGGTGTTAAATAGCAAACTCGTGCATTTGGGCAGCTACAATGGGTAGTTACTTGTTTAAAGGGGTCTCTAAAGATGTAGCAAGAAGTCTCACTGAACTGAATGGCACTTCTTTCAGCATAAGAGGGTAAGGATTGCAAGTGTAATATGCTGTGGACATAGCCACAGCTGGTTTTATTTGTGCTGATATTAAAACAACATTTTGGACTACTTTGTTCAGCCCATTTTTGCATTAATTTCAAAGGAAGTCTCAGTGGAATCCTAAATGTGATTGTACAGGAGCAACGATTGTGCCTCTAGTCTGGAAACCTGGAAGGAACCAGCCAACCAGCCACAGATTTACTGTAGCTAATGGAGATAAAAATCCCGTGTTGGATTCAGTGAAAGTGTCTGCTTACTTTTTTATAAGTTTAGAGAGAAGGCGCTCCCTTCTTTTGCTGTGGATATCAGTGAGATTGCAGACACCTGAAGGAATCTACTTGTATAAGTTATATTATGTAACACTGTGTTTCTAACCATTTGGCCTGCCAACATTGTTTGAATGTTATGTATAGAATATTGCCAGTATTATGCGTAGATTACATAAATGATTTTAATTGGGTAAAGTTTGAACAAACATGAATCATACATAAGCTACTGAAAGGTTACAGAACTGTGGAATTGGATTTTCCTTTCCAGAACGTTTACACCTGGATAACTTGATCTCCTGACTTTTACAATCAGCAGCAGGGTATCCACCAATCATCAGTTTTTTATTTATCTTTGTAGTTGCCTTTTTATTATGCTTGTATGATAAAACTGTTTCTTTTTTGGATACTTTTTCAGTCTTTCCGTGGTGTTACACTTGTAGTTAACCTCATGCTGTCTCTCATTGACTCCTGTATTATTTATTGGATATCCTTTCAGAAGTTGTGGAGTATGGTTTTAATTGTGAACAGTGGCATTATAAGCCTTGATTTTTGATGCACAGTGTTTGTGTGGTTGAGAAATACAGTGTTTGTGTGTGAGAGGGGGTGGGGGGAAGATAGTGAATGGCTAGTTAATTATCATCCCCACTGTAAAGGATTTCTAGTTTGTTTTTAGGACTTAGCATTACATAAACACCTTATAAGTACTTTGGCAGTACTGTAAACCATAAGCAGTGATCCCATCCAGAAAACTGGGCTTAATATCAATAGGATGTAGGCCTGAAACTATTTTACTTTCTCTTATTTGTGCATGTTGTGAATGCAGTGGATATATATTGGAATGCATAATTTGTGTGATTTACATTTTTCTGGTACAGCTAGGCAGTTGTATGCATATCTAGTCAGAATACTATTGAGTTCAATAGGTCTTTCCTAGATATTTGTGTGTAGAATGGCAGACCAAGTTCTAGTGAGGTTAAGCATTTTTATTTCTCCTTCCTGCTTCCTTGCACTATTTTGTTTATGTTAGATAAGAATAACATTTCCCTGAGGCACAGCAAGTATCATTTGAATGTGCTTGTGTATGTAGAACAGAATTTGAGCTCTTGATTTAGTAACAGGTCATAATTTGAAGGCATCATGCTCAAGGAGTCACCTGTAAAGGTCTCAGGAGCGACTTCTGAATTCCACTTCAATGTATTTTAACCTCTTAACCTTCAGTACTAGAAAACAACTCCTCAGAAGTTAATTAGCTTAAACAGATTTTTACTAGCATGTCTCCCTACATGTATTATGTGATGGACCAATCCTAAGTGGGGGTGTAGGGAGGAATGAAGCTTGAGATGATCTGCCACTTGTTTCCAACAGGGAAAGACCAATACCTGTTTGAGGCTGGCACAGGTAATGGGCCTGATCCTCACCATGGGATGGTGGAAGAACTTGGATCCAGTACATCCAGTGTTGTCCTTGGGCTTGGGGTGCCCTACAGAATTTTCTACTGGTGTTCTGGCATCCTCCACAGAGGATGTGCTTCCCCTACTGCCTAAGCAGCATTCTGCCCCATCTCAAGACATATTGAATTGCACAGTGAGCTATCTGTACCTAAAAGAAAAAAGGCAATTTCTGCGAAAGATTTATACCCAGCTTCCTAGGGATGAAATAGGTGTTTGGGCAAATTACTTTTTGTAATCCTCTCCTAATGAGTCCTCAATTCAGAGAATTGCTCCAGTACCAGGACGATCCATTCTGGGTGCTTGAGGGTGGATTGATTTTTTTTAAAAAGTGGTCGTGCAACTTGCATAATGTGCAGTACAGAAGATAGGGCACTTCCAGGTGGCTGGCTCCCACCACTACCAGTCAGAAGACACTGAGTAACTATTTAGTTTTTCTGCTTATGTGCAAGAAAGAAAAATAATGGAAGAATACGGGGTTGGGGGGGGGGAGGCACTATAACATGCTATGAATGAGGCAGGATAAAAAAAGTCTTGTATAGAAGCACCCATACTTACCATATCAGTCACTGGTTAAGATTAAGTCTTGATTGGAAAGATTAAACTAAGCCATCATTTTCCTAATGTTTCGGGTGAGGATGCAGTGCGGTTGGGGTGGGAGGGTGAGTATTATACTAAAAATATCTGAATAATTTACTGTTCCAAATGGAAAGAAAACACAAATGTGTGATTCCATTCATTATTGGCAGCTGTCATTTGAAAGATGGGGTAAAAGTGTTTTGAACAATAAATAACCCTGCTACTGCAGGCTAGCCCAAACAGATGGTCTAGAAATATTTCAGAAGATCCTTAAAGATAAATTTAATCCAGTACACATCTTGATCTGCTCTGGTCATATAGAAAGAGAACACTGGAAGTCAGCTCTGATTTTAATGGTAAAACATGCATTCAGATAGGAATGCTTCAGCTTACTGGCTTTTCACAGGGAGAGTTCATACAGCATGTATGAACCCCTTGGGAATTTTGACCATGCTATATCTGACTGTCTGTCAGGCCCAAGGACTTTAACCACAGTGCATGGTAAATTCCCAGGGGTTTAACATGTTGTGCAAACTTCCCAAAATCTGTTGCTCTTAGTGCTTTTCTTTTCAGCCAACTGCAAGCCCAGAAACGAGTTTGACTGGGAGGATAGCACTTTGTGGGGAGAAACCACAAGGTGGTGTTACAGTCATGGGGATCGTTCAGCTTTCCTCAAATACATCCTTGTTTCTTCTAACAATTTAACTGCCTGAGGCTGATCTAACTGTAGGACTGGTCATGCTTGGCTACTGATGGAGCCTGAAGCTCCTGGGGTAGTTTGGATCTGTATCATGTTTACATAAGAAGAGCCATGCTGGATCAGAGTGAGGGCCCATCTTGACTAGCATTCTAGTCACGGTGGGGCAACTCACTGCCTGCAGGAAGCCAACAGGTAGGACAATTCCACTCATTCTGCAAGGAACTGGTGTACTGACTGCTTCTGACATTGAAGGTAGTGTATAGCAATCATTTAATGTTGCAAATCTGAGTGGCTAGCTTCGGAAACTTTTAAGCTTTCTGACTTAATACTAACTCCTTGCTTCACTGAACAACAACAAAATCTTTGTTGTCCTTCATTAGTATTCTTCTGATAGCAGTGTAATAACTGGTGAGTTCTTGCTTGAGGCTGCAATCCTGTACACACTTACCTGAGGGTAAATCCCCCTGAACCCATCCAGTAGGGCCTTCTTCTGAGTTGACATGCATATGATTGCACTCTCCACCTTGTATCTTGCTGCCAGTCTTCTTTGATCTCAATGCCTTTTTCTCTTTGTCTCTCTAGGCACAGAATGATCTTGCCTCCTTGGCTTTTATTCCACTGGCTTTCCTAGATACTGCCCTCTGTTGGTGGATATCCTTCTTCACTGGCTTATTTGGTGGAATGCTAATTTTTTCAGAACTGGGTTTTCATGGTGGGTGGCATTCTCCTGCAGATATTCTGCCACATTCTGTCATCACTCATTTCATTCACAAACATGATTCTTTAAGGTTATTATCAAAACTGCAATTTCTAGGGGTAAACCATTGAATTCAGTAGAATATCCATTTTAATCAAAATGTTGATCATAACACTTATGAGCTTTTTATGTGTCATTTATTGTTTGCTCATCATTCCCAACTCACTGTTATGTACAGTTTCTTCAGACAATATTGACCCTCCTGTTCTGTTTTAAAGAGGATTTTTTTAGAGTAAGGAAAACATGACATTTAATTGTAAAAGTGAATGAAAATACTTTTTTCACTTGTTTATTTGCATTATTCTGCTATGCTAAAGTGCCATGTAGATGTTATGTAGTAGAAAAGCAGGAAAAGAAAATACTCTTTATATCACTTGGATACACTTGGATATCAAGCTTGGTGACAAAGCTAAAAGTAGATTCATTGGATTGCCAGTCTTGTGTACAAATGTTCTACAGATCAGTTACCAGAGTGCGTTTTGAAAGGTGAAATTTTACAACTTGAATGACCAATCTGATGGAGTCAGAAATGGTTGTCAGTTTTGGAGATTATCCTGTTCCACAATGCAGTTATGTCATTCTGTTTTGATAGGTAGTATGTATCTAGCTTGCATTTCTGCAAAAGGAAGGGCTGGGTCCTGGCAAACTGAGCAGCTCCACCCATTTTAGTAATAAACATAATGAAGGCTTGTCTCCACATTGCATTTATGGTCCAGATTAACTCTGACATCTCCAAAGAAATCTCATGTAGAAGCAACAGAAAACTATGTTCATGTGGCAGTGTGTCATATTAGAGCTGTAAGGTTTGGGAACAGGTCAGTACATGGAAACCTGAATTGCATGAGAGGCTGCATGCCATTACTGCATATTTCCTGGACAGGGTTATCCACCATTTTCAACTGGAACAGCCTTTGGAGCACCACCACAAAGACTTGGTTTTGATGGTCTCTGTGTAGGAGCATATTTGAGCTGGTGCTGAGGGCAAGTGGTAACCAAAGCACAGTGTAGGCATAGAGGGTGATTTTCTAGTGCTTTTGTATGAATTCTATATTTGAAAAGGCTGCCATTGTTCAGGGATATAGTTCATATGGAATGTCAGAATCTGTACATGCTGAATCTGCATACCCTTGGTGACTTTGGCCATACCTGTTAGTTGATTTTTTTCTTGACTGATCATACATATTTATTAGTTTGACCCAGACGATGAAATTGTTAAAACTTAGGAGGAATGTTGTGAAACTTTCTCTCTACCGACACTTCACCAACACTCTCATCTTGGCAATAACAGGTGAGTTTTAGAAGTAAACCCTTTTTCAGTTTTAGTGCACTTTTTGAACCAGATATTATGTGAGATATCAAATATTTCATATTCATTCTGTCATGGGGCATGTCCACATCATAGTTTGCTTTGCTTTCAGCTCAGTAGTTTTTCTAAATCGGGGTTACTGAACCTCAGGCTTTAGGCCAAATCTTGCCCTCCTGGAGTCCCAATCTACAGGGTGCTCCAGATGGCCATGTCTCCTTCCCTTGAGCCTTTCTCCTGTCACCATCCTTTCTCCTAGACTGCTGGTCATTTGGTGATTTTACTGTTTCTGTGTGGTTCTTGCTCCCACCGCCCCAAATGAGTGCAACGTCTTGCCTAAGATTTAATTACTTGGAGTAAGAGCTTTGAGCAAAATATAATGGAAATTTGGCTCTGTTCCTTTCTCATTGGTCCTGCCCAGTTTTCCTGTGGCTCTGCTCACTGCTAGAATGTGGCACCCAAGAGTTTCTCCAAAAGGGAATTTGGTCCTCAGGCTGAGTGAATGAAATTCAACACCCTGGCTCTAAATAGAGTAGCTCTTGGGGGGTGGGGGTACCCAAAATTAAACAAAAAAATTGTATTTTCATGGTATAGTGACTCTTAATCATATTGTCATAGACAAACCTTTCTTATTTTATTACCCTAGTATGCAAAAGAAACATATGGCATTTCAGCAAATTTGGTGAATTGAGATGGAATTGCAAGAAAAGAATGGATTTTCTAACAGAATACAATTACCTCAGTGCTTTTATTTTAGCTAGATAAGGAGCAAGTGATACTCAAGTGATTTTGTTGCATGGCTAAAGTAATGCAAACTGAGACTACAAGCCCAATAATATACGTTGCTATTTGTATAGCTCTGTTATGGAGGATTTTAAAATAATTTAAAATATCTTAAGGAAATTCTGGCTTGCTAATCTTTTACCATCTCTCTTTCTCTCTTGCTTTCTCTGTGCATGTGTGAGAAACCTTTAGCATCTGTTGTATTTATCATCTGGACAGCCTTGAAATTCAGGCTGGTAGATTGTCAGCTGGTAAGTTTCATTTATCTTTTTTTACTGCCATGAAATGCATATATTTGTGTTAATAGGGACAGACTATAGCTCTGTGGTAAAGCTTATGCTTTGTGTTTGGAGGATCACAGGTTCAATACCTGGCACCTTCAGAGAGGGTTGGAAAAGTTGCTGCCTGGAGGCTGCTGCTCAGTGTGAACAGCCCGGGGCCAGATGGACCAAGGGTCTTACTCAGCAGGAGACCCAGCAGATGGAACAAGGGTCTGATTCAGCAGAAGAGCAGTGGCCTCCATCCTTAGCTAATTGTTGATGGCTTTAGGCTGGATTCTGTGCCTATGTTTTGTTGAAAACATTGACATATCTTCTACAAAATTTAAGAGGCACTTTCTTCACACAACTTGAATTTCTTTTAATAGGATTGGCAGGAGCTGTGGGTAGATGATGCCATCTGGCGGCTTTTGTTTTCAATGATACTTTTTGCCATCATGGTTCTTTGGAGGCCATCTACCAACAACCAGAGGTATAAAATTAATTTATTTAAATGAAATGTTTATTTAAAATGTAACATTAATAGGCATGCCTTGTAGACCTGTTAGGCCAAAGCGCTCAGTTATTTATTATTTCCTGTAATTTTTTTCAAATTTAGATTCTGTGACTACCATTAAATATGATAAATGTTGAACGAGATCTATCACAAATGTTATATATTTGGTCCAGTGGAATAGCCATTTGTTATTTTATTTTTCTAAAAGATTTGCTTTTTCACCATTGCCTGAGGAAGAGGAAGACAGTGAGCAGAAGGAACCAATGCTGAAAGAAAGTTTTGGTAAGAAGAAGACATTTCTGCTGCATGAATGTAGTTTTTATTGTAAATGGATCCCTCTGTAGCTTTACAGACATTTTTGCAGTACTGCTAATCTCTCTTAAAGTCACCCTTGGGGTTTGCTAACTTCAATTTCTGCATACTCTGGTCGCATTCTTATATTTGTGTGGCTATTAAAAATGTTAAAGATAATTATCTTTCACCCTGATCTCCAAGGGCTTAAGGTGACGCACCTTTATTTTCAAGGAGTAGTTTCATCATGCTTTTACATAGCAGAGAATTTCAGACAACAGTTGAAAAAAAATAAACATTTTTAAATGGTTAACATCTCTTCATTACATAAAGTAGACATAGTAAGTAGTATTCATTTTTAACAATCTTCCAAAGATTAACTTTGATAGATAGTAAAGGAATTTGCCCACAGTTTGTTCAGAAAGGAGGTTTTTTTTTGGTTGCAATGGAAGTAGAAACAACTAAAATGTTCCTCCTTACAATTTTTCAGCTACACACAGTTGCTGGCATGTTTGCCTTGTTTGTGCTTTGTTGCTATGATTCCATTTGAGTGTCTTTGGTAGTGGCAGGCCATGGGTTGGTTTATCTTTGCAGGGGAGAAGGGCTGCGACTTCCTGATGCTCCTGTGTTTGGCAGGGTCTCTAATTAAGCACTCCAGTTGCCTCTTGTCGCTCCTCCTATCCAGTGCACACATCTTTTATGGCTTAGGAGACCTGCTGCTGGCTATAGAAGCTATAGATCAAAAGAAGAGCAGAGTGGATAGAGGCTGGCCTGCAAAACTTAGCCTTCATGCCATGTAGCAGATCAGCGTCAACGATCAGCGTCAACGGTTTCTTTGATAACTTGTTGCTGTTTCTCTCTCAGGAATTGCCTCCCTTGAGGTATATAATACTTCCCTGTCCCATAAGTTAGTTGACTATTTAGCCAGTGATAAAACATTGGAGACCGCGTGTTACGTATTCTACGTAAATTCTACTTAATTTCTAACCATTTCTGGTGGCATAGTTCAGTGAGCTTTTTTTTCCTGGTATCCTGCACAGAGGGCATGAAAATAAGAAGTTCAAAACAAGAATCAAATGGAAATACTAAGGCAAACAAAACAGTAAGTTTGATTTTCTTATAGATCATTTTGGAATAGGAGGCTGAATTGATGAGAAAATTAGGTGCAGATTAGATAGCACATTACTTCTAAGAAACCACACAAATATATAGTATAGTTGATGCCAAATTGTAGTAATGTTAAAAAGAAGATAATTCTAACACATACTAAAAGAAAGTAAGATGCAGTAGATAAGATAACCCATGTAAACTGAGACTTAGACCTGTGGTGGTTATTTGTTCATGAAATAACCTCATCAAATGATCCTTTATTACAAGGCTGTCGTACACTAAAATAGCACTGGTTGGGAGATGCTGAGACCTGTTGGAGTTTTTTTTTTCTTTCTAAACATGCACAGGATTTTATTGTAAATTTTGAAAACCAATTTCCATACTTTCTTCAATTGAATGGGGAAATAATAATTATGAATAATCTGTTATATTGACATTAACTATATTAGAATTAAAGCAGTAAAAAGATGGTGACTTTTTTCAAAAAGGGAAATTGTTTATTAAATAATGGTGAAAGAAGTGGGGATATTATACAATATTTAAAATGCTTTAGAAAGGAAAACTTAGGTTTTTTGGCTTAATTTTCTGTGTCTTTTGTAAATGATGATTTTTTATTTTTATGTAAAATGTAATGAACTACTTATAATCCAATTCCACAAAAGAATACGTGGAGGGATGTCAAACATAGTTCAATGAGGGTCCTACAGGAATAAACCCCTTACAGACAGTATATTTTTGGTGGTTTACTTTTTATTACATTAAAAGTAATAGCCAACTGTTCCAAGATAAAAAGTGTAATGCTATTTCAAGTTAAGCAATCATCCACTAATCACATATTTTACAATAGCAGGAAGATGATTTGAAATGGGTAGAAGAGAATGTTCCTTCTTCAGTGACTGATGTGTAAGTACATCTAATTTGACATATTGATGGCTGTATACTGTAGAGAAAAGCATAGAATACTTGTTCCTAGAATATTCCGATGATGCTGATGATGCTGATAACAGCAGCATGTTGCCAGTTACATTCTAGAATTGGTGTGGCCTTCCAGATTCTGCCTGTGAGTTGTTAGTTAACAGTTCCCAATGTGTGTTTTGAATCAGGTTTATAGCTTGCTGCTGCTTTGTGTTTTAGCCTGCAAGTTTCCTTGCTCAGGACCCCTGCTAATTTTACTCAATCTCCTATTAAGAAATAGGCTATGTTTTTTCTAATTGTGTGCATTTTCTTATTCTGGGCTATGAATCATCATTTGGTAAAATGTTCTTCTGTATGTAGAGTACTGAATTAGCACAACAATGAATACTCATTGTCCATATTGTGGGTTTTTTTCTCTCAATGCAGCGCTCTCCCAGCTCTTCTGGATTCTGATGAGGTCAGTAAACCTCTTAAACGATAATTCAAGTTCTGTGATATGATAGAGAAGGCATGAGCCAAGAATTAAGGAAATGATTTTGTCCTCAAGGAAATAACAAAGGAGGGTACTGATAAATATATAAGCCAAAGGTTTTTAATCATTTTACAATCTGTCCAGTGAGCTACCATTTTAATGTTTACTTGCTGCTTTTCAATATGCAAGCTGCCTTGAGTTTCTTGAAAGGAAAAAAGATGGAATATGAATGAATGAATGAATCACCATTGCAACATATCTGTTACCTTCTATCTTCATGTAATAAATAGTTCTTCTGAATGAGCTCCTCTGTATTCAATTGTGATAATACACCAAATTGTGAAAGCCTTTATATTTCAATTAATCTTCAGGACATGTTAATTTCCTAACTTGTAGGAAAAATACTTAGAAGAAATGTTCATCACATGAATGATCAAAGTTCTATTGAGTTGACTTTACCATGCCAAAAATGAACTGAGTCAGGGTGAATTGAGTCCATGTGTAATTTTTGTTAGAAAAAAACATTTACTTAAATGGTGCCTGCATGCTTTTAATTATAGACTTCTATATTACAATAATGTAACTTTTAAAAAGTAAAACATTAGTGTTTTTTATTATCTGTGTTAATTTTACAGGAAAGAATGATCACACAATTTGAAAGATCCAAAATGGAATGAAGAGGAAAACAGGACAAGGCTTCCTTTTTTGGAGAAAGGAAGTAATGTCTGTCTCCCTTGGAACATTACAGTGCTGCAGTCTTCTGACATGTTCCATAATCTTTGAAACTGTTCTCAGATGGAGACTATTTTGCTTGGGTAACTGTGGAGGGGATCATAAACATCTTGGTAAACCTATGAAAAATTGTGCATTTCCATTGTTGTTGCAAGTTTTTTTTTAAAGAAGCTGAAACATCTTTTATTGCAGCATATTTAAGTCAAACTAAAACTGTTGAAGAACTTTCTGAGCATTTATTAATTCAATATTACAGCTAAATCCCATGTTTAACTTACAACAGGGAGGGAGAAAAAAGTAGCAAAGAATTAACTTAATTGTGTCTGGGCATTTCTAGATGAGGCATTTATTGTGTGCCCCTTACACCCTATTCATGGTTTAGAATGTTTTCCCCAAACCAGCATGGGTGATCCATCCACAAAGGTAGACTTCAGGTTATAGTTTCCAACAATCTGTTGCTGCACACAAACATCTGCCTGTGACTGTGCACAGAGGATTGAATTCCCACCTTCTCCAGTTTCTAGTGAAGAACAGGGATTGGCAGAACTGTCAGAAGCAATCATCTGTAAAAGAGCCTTGCCCATGTAGTATATGCTTGCTGCTCCGGGCAAGGATCTGTGGATTGGGGTCAGTGCCTTTCATTTTTTTAGATACAGCAACAGCTATTGACCGAAGATCCTGATATCTGACTTGGGAAAGGCAGAGAGCTTTTTTTTTTAAAAAGTGCTCTTGCTTATGGAAAATGTGTAACATAGCACGAGGGATTTATTTGGAAGTTATTATTCCTCATGTTTTTAGCAAAATCAAGTGCAAATTTATTCACTCTACTATATAGGAAAGATTTTTTTTATATTTTAAGTTTTACATATTTAGAAGAAATGACTGCTTAATTCGTAAAGTTAAATTTGTTGCACACCTCATTGCTGGCAATGGGGTGTGAGCATGAGCAGTTAGCTGTTCAGACTGGAGCCACAAGCACTTAAATGCAAGCATTCCCACACACCCAGCAGCTGTCCCTGACCAATGCCATGCATATCTTATGCTTCTCATATTGTTGTACTGCAAGAACTCACAAGATTCAACAAGCCCATACAGATTGGCTGTCTGAATCAGGCTTATAAAGGTTGTGTCCCACTTAGCCAAATACTGCCCTCCAGCTGTGTATTATGGCCGTTTGACAATCCTCCTGTTTTTGAAGCTCTAGGTAGCCAGCCAGCCAGGAAGATTTTCAAGCCCCTGGTAGGCTGTACTTAGCTACAAGGTGTACAAGCCTGCTTTTACTGGATAATTGCATTAAACCTGACATGTCTTTAAATGTGCAAATACTGTACACAGACATGTGATCCCAAATGGCAACTGTACCTCATGCAGTTCTTAAATTCCTCCCTCAACAGGGCTGTTGTCAGCACCTGCCATCCTTGGGTAGCTGTTAGGTTCCTAGTGCCCCAGCAGGGCCTACTGGTGCTTACATATGGCCTGGATCTATGAGCTATCTCAAATTTCTTACACAGTGTCCTTGTTAAGAAGCATTGCTCTGGAGTGCAGTGAGAAAGTTAAAATAGAACCCTTAACCATTTTTCACTGCAGCCAGATAACTCCATGGGCAAGAATCTTTCTATAAATAAGAGAACCCACCTGAGCACACATCACTTCTTCACCCTGTGAGATTCCAAACAGCTCTGTCCTGATGTCCAAAAAGCCAGAAGCACCCTGTAACATGTCCAACTGATCTAACATTCTCCCCCATTTTCTCCTCTCATAGTTCTTCATTTCCCTTTCCCTCCCTTCCCACCATGACTCATAACAAGGAACTATCTCTGATAGTGCATTCCTATTACATGTATTTGGAAATTCAAATACTTTACAGAATTTTCTAGATGACCTAGCAAACTGAGCCTGCCATTGGGAAGATAATAGTTTTGCAATTCATGTTTTTCTATTGAAAAATATTTTGCTGCAATAATTTATGCAAAAAAGGCCGTCCTGGAATATTTCTGTTCCAAAGGGTTTGTGTGACTGGAGGGAAAGAAAAGAGGATAAGTTTGTTTTAATTTTTGCAACTGTTTTTTTTCCAAGTTTCTGTGCCAAAATTTGGGCCTTATAAGTGATATTTGACACATTCCTCTTTCCGGGAACACCTAGAATTGGTATTTCTCTTGAAATTTGCCACTCTTTAAATTCTGCTTCCTAAATTTGTTTTAGCTGTACTTACTATGTATAGGTGGTTTGGTAATTGGTTTCCCAGGCACTTTTTCATTTGATTCAGTCTGAATTGCAGATTTATGTTCTGTATAATAAAATCTTTTCTCTCTTTCTCCGAAGAAGTGGAAGTAGTCTTTTAAAGTAGGCATTAAATTTAACTTGGAATTTCCCATACATTGATGCTAAATGAAAGTCATAAATAAGATACAAACAATACTTTACAGGAACAATTCTCCTGTATAAAGATATGAACAGTCATGCTGTTCTAAAGTTTCTGAAGTTTCATCTAGTCAATCAGTATGTTCACACAGTGGCCGACAAACTGACTATGGGAAATCCACAAGCATAACATGAGTACAACAGTATTCCTTTACCCATGTTCCCCAGTAACTGCTGTATATATTAATTCCTTCTTTGAAAACATGGGGAGGGTCCTTTTTGGGCTACCCCCTCCTTGTGAGATTAAGGTTGAGGATATTTATCAAATTTGTACTCTGCTCTTCAAAATAAGATTTCACAGGCTGTATTTCTCTGTTTTGCCATCAAAGTATGCTTGTTGTGTGGTATGTCATTGTGAAAATAATGTATTTTACAACAAATCATAGTTAAGATCAGCTATAGTTTAAGGTTCAGACACAACTGTAATGGTAGTTAATCAAAAGCCTTCTGAACTTGAAGGAGTTGGGAGGATACAATTCAAGGCCCACTACTGGCCTGTTTCCAATACAGACTCTGGTTTATTGAGATAATTGAATATAGGCACTACAGTTTTTATGTATTATTTCATTTTAAATATTCATAGGCTGCCTTTAAGGGTACAATGTCTGTTGAGGTGCTTTCCAGTAATCAAACATCAATAATACAGAATTTCAAATCACAAACAGCAAACAAGAATTTAGGAAGAACTGTGCTGAGTAACAGAAAGATCATCTAGTCCAGCATTCTGTTAACAAAAGTGACCAACTACCTTCCCAGACAAAGCCCAGCGCAGGACAGCTGAGCAGATGAGAGGCTTTTCCTTCCTTTAATGTTGCCAGTGTTTCAAGTTGTTGTAGTTATTGGGAACTTCAACTTCAACTTCCTCAATACTCAATTCCTCAAATTCTACCAAACATACCCTGTCCCTCAAAAGCAATTCATAATACGGTGGTACCTCAGCTCATGAATGCCTCAGTTCACAACCAAATCAGGTTGTGAACAGAAATTTCATAAAAATTTTGCCACAGGTCACAAAATCTGCATTGGGTGATGATCGCGAGCACGCCCGCCCGCCTTCCCTGCATGGGCGAGATTGTGGTTGTGCTGGGAGGGGGTGGGGAGATGGCCGTGATTGCACCCATGTTCCCTGCCTGAGCGCGCCCGTGCCTGCCTCCCCGCAGCGTGCCTGCGATCGTGTTCATCTCCTCCCCACACACACAATCTCGGGACAACAAGATCTTTGTTGTTCTTTGACACTTTGCTTCACATTTTTGTGAGTAAAAAAAAAATAGCTGCAGAACGGATTAACCTTATTTACATTGACCCTTATGGGGAAATTTGACTTGGCTCAATTTGGGTCACGACCAGAGTCCTGGAATGGATTAAGTTCGTGAGCCAAGGTACCACTGTATGTGTTGCTAATAACTTTCTCCAACAGAATATAAAGGAACTAGAAGAATAGCCATCCTTGACTTGAATCTAACTTACAGGGAAGACCTAGTAAACGAAGAGGCAGTTGCGACATAATAAAACAGTCCTTGATCCAGTAAAGAGGAGACTATTAGGTTTCCCAGGAAAACCCTTATCAAAGAGAGACTGAATGCCAGATCTGGTTTTAAATGCTATGCATGTAACGTTTATGATATAAAGAATACAAAAGTATAAGAAAACAAGTTTAGCAATCATCAGCGACAATATCAAGAGAGGCCTCATTCACACTCGCATTCATCCATACTCATACATGAGAGATCCTTCTCCAGCTGTGATCAAGGAGTGGCAAGGGCTGTGGGCGATCAGTTGCGGCACTGTCCTGGCACACACGGGAGCTGGAAAGCCCAGGTATTTTATACGTCAAAAAGTTTACGCTATCAGCTAGTCCAAACTGGATCGAACAGTAAGCATATTTGAGCAAAAACAGACCCAGGATGTACTGGTCTTCCCTTATCACCACATTCCATTCTCTCTGGATGGTACAGGGTGGGTTTATCTATTACATTCCATTCTCCAACCACTCCTGGCTTTTGGCTTTGCTGTGCAAATACCTCAGTCTTGGTCAGTCCCATCATGCTCCTTGATTCTCCATTTTTAGGCATTCAGGAACCCATGCACACTGTAATACAGTTACGGAAATTCTAGGGGAAAGTGACTATGACTTGACTTGAATTCTTGATTCTAAGGGGAGTGAAAGCCAAACATATCCTGGATTTTAGGAAAACCAATTTTAATAAACTCAGAACAATGATAAGTAATGTCCCACGGCAAGCCACTCTTACTATGTTTTTATACTGACTCTTTGGACAGTTTACAAGCAATTGCAAAACATTAAAAACCAATCAAAACACAAAAGTTGTCAACTCATGGTGGTTGGACAAAATTAATACATGACATGACAGTTCAGATAAAAACAATATTAAAACCAATCTCTCTTTTAAAACATCTGGTGAATAAACCCTAACTCTAACCATATCCCTAAAATAATAACAGTGCCAGGCACACCTCCTTTGGGAGCATGTTCCAGATCAGTCATCAATTCAAAGGAAGATTGCAGCTAAGAAATTTGAGGATGACTGAGATTTGGAAGGGCAGCACTAAAGGAACTAGAAAAGATCGTCAAATGTATAGATGTTTCACTGGGGACCAAGGTCAAGATAATTCAAACTATTGCATTCCTGATTACTATGTATGGGTGTGAAAGTTGGCCAATGAAGAAAGTTGACATGTAGAAAATAGATATATTGGAAACATGGTCCTGGAGAAGAGTTTTGCGTATACCTTGGACTGACAAAAAATGTACAAGTGGATCCTAGTTCAAATCAAGCAGAAACTTTCCCTGGAAGTAAAAACGACAATACTGAGGATGTCATACTTTGGGCACATTGTGAGAAGGCAAGACTAACTGGAACTGGAGAAGGCAATCATTCTACGGAGAGTCAACAGCAGGAAAAAAGACCAAATATGCAATAGATTGACTCCACAGCCTTGAATTTAGAACAGCTGAGCAGGAATGTCACTGCTAGGGTGTTCTGGAAAGCTTTAATTCATAGGGTCTCCATACGTCAGAGGCAACTTGATGGTACATAACAAGTACAGCCACAATTTCAAGTAAATGTCATGGCTCAGCCCTGGAAATTCGAACTAACCTCTAATCACGTGCAGACTGCCTCTCTTCAGTAAACATATTTATCTATTTAAAGGTAAAGGTTTCCCCTTGACCTTACGGCCAGTCATGCCTGACTCTAGGGGCGGTGCTCATCTCCGTTTCCTAGCCGAGGGAGCCGGCGTTTGTCCGCAGACAGTCTCCGTGGTCATGTGGCCGGCATGACTAAACACCAAAGTGCACGGAACGCCGTTACCTTCCCACTCCGTTGTGCAAATTCGAACCGGCGACCTTTCGATCAGCCCAGCAGCACAGTGATTTAAACCACTGCGCCACCTGCAGTCCCCTTATTTATTTATATCCCACCTAATTTTTCTTTCAAAGGAAAGTGCAGAGTACGCACACTGCTTCCTAAAAATAAACTGCTTTACAGCTAGGCCAGACAGATTCGAGAGGCCTATCATCATGTATATTTTTCGTTCAGTTTATCAGCCCGTCCTATACAATTCTATATCACATATCTGTTCGCATTATGGACCCCTCCCACTTTCCCTCTGTTTTAAACGCCAGGCTCCAAAACCCCTGGCACTTTAAAAATAAGATTCATACCAGATAACAAAAAGTGGTCGCATAAAGCAGAGCCTACGGTGATTTCGCCCCTGACAGCGAATGGCCCTCCGTCAGCGGGGTGCTTGCGAGGGCGAGGGAAAAACGATGGGGGAAGAAGCCCGGCTCCAGGGGGGTTCCCTGAGGAGGAGCCTGGCTGCGGAAGTGAGGAGGCAGCCGGAAACGTCGCGGCGGGCCTGCTGGGCTTGAAGGAGGTTCCCGCTGCTGCATCCGGGCGGACTCTTGCGGGGTGTCGCGGCGGGCCCCTTCGCGGCGGGCCGCGGCAGTCGCCTCCTTCACGGGCGGGAGCGAACAGGTCCCGCGCCGCCATCATGCACGACGCCTTTGAACCGGTGCCGATTCTGGAGAAGCTGCCGCTGCAGATCGACTGCTTGGCTGCGTGGGGTGAGTGAAGTGAGCCGGGCGCTTCTCCCTGTCACCCTTCTCGAGCCTCCCCGGGGACGCGTCGGAGCGCCATTTCCCTTCTCCTCCTTGCCCCGGATGAATGTCCCGCAACGTCCTTTGGTTTTCCAATTCGGGCCCTCTCGATGTTTTGGACGTTAACTCCCATCAGCCCCAGCCAGTGTGGTCGCTGGCCGGGAATGCCAAAAGTTGCAGTTCCAAGCATCGGGAGGACGCCCGGTTGAGGAAGACGACTTAGTGCGATCTCCTGGCTCTGTACTCACGACCATGCTCTTCCTCTTTACTAAGGAGGGGGGAATCTCCTCACTGTTCCTTCTGTGCGATGATAAATGCTGCACATAGTTTTGAGAAGAGTAGCTGTGTTAGTCTATGGCAGTCAAAACAACAGAGGCTTGAAGGCACTGTAAAAATGAACACCCTAACCCTATTTGCATCCTGTACCATGTTTGTAAGCTTTTCATGTCACCAGAAGTATCCCCTTCTTGACCTTACATTTCCTCACAAAGTATGTCAGGGTGCAAAAATCCAAGCTTTAAAGTTGGATGCATCTTCAAAGATTTGTAACTTTATATATACCAAGGATAATCTTCTGATTAATTTATTATATCTTTGCAAAATTAACCCTTCTGCATTTTTCATTCAGAATCATTGTCTGGCGACCAGAAAGTGGACATAAATTTGCTTACTAAAATAAGTAAATTATTATTATATTCCACTGTAGATTTAACATTATTTATGTCATTATTTCATAGAATATCCTTATGAGATGGTGAAGAGAGAAAGTTCATGTGTATTTTTCATTTTACTTAGATTCAATTGATTACAATGTGTTTGTTCTGGTCCAAAGTAATGTAAGCTTTTACAGGAATTAAAAAAAAGCAAACAATCCTCTCTCCCACTATAATTAGGACTGAGTAGAGTTGCAGTATTGGAGTTAGGAGAAATAAAGTAGCATCAAAGAGTAGTACATACCTACTCTATAGGAAGCACTTCGCTATAGGAATCAAAAAGTGTAAAAACTGTGTCTACCATCAAGTGTGATTGCTTGCATGCTGCTTTGTTCTATACACATGCTTATGGAAGCTGTGGCAAAGCTGTGGCAGTTTCTCAGTGTGTATATATGCCGAGATATGTGAGGCCATTTGTGCTTTTCCCTATTTGGAAAAATACTTTAGACTGTATAAATTTAATATTGTTCCCCATCCCCTTGAAAGGAATATAATTGGTGCAACATTCTATGATCCAGATAGTTATCAGCATGGGCATTCCGTTAAATAGAATTGTGTCTGTTTTATTTCACAATGCTATTTGAATAATTCCTGACAGTTCTTTGAATATTTTGGGAAACAATTTAAATCTCAATTCATAAATAACTAACATCAGGCAGTAAAAATACTTGTTTACAGACATGCATAGATTTTTGTTTTGGCCAGATTTCTTTTTTCTATCCTGTTGAAAATCTGCATGATATGTATAGAATACTTGGTGCCTTGCTTTGTTTATGGTCATTTGGTAATGGTGCAGGTCATATAAAAACAAGAGCAAAGTTGCTATTAATACCTTCTCCTGTTCAGTAAAATATTTTACAGAGGTCATTAAAATACTCAGGGAAAGCTTTAATTTTAAAGGGTGCAATCCTTTGCAAATTTAGGCAGAAAAAGGCCTATAACTCCCAGCATGTTCCAGCCAGTATTTTGGTGCCCAAAAAGGATATGTAGAATTTAGGATAGATACCTTCTGAATATAATTTTTAGGTTTCTGTTATTAAACAAAAACTCTTTTTATCAGCTACAGTGCTTTCATAATTCCTTCATGCTATTCTTAGCAATTGTCAAAACAAGAAACATTTAAAAGTGAAAGCTAGGTGCTTAAGACTCTAGTTCTTAGTATACAAACAGTGATTTGGATTTTCTAGTAAATTTTAAACGGTTTCCAGATAGTTTAGCAGCATTCTAATTTATTTGGGATCCAATTTAGTATATTTATTTGACTTACTATTTAATATGTTTAGTATTTATATAACAAACATTTGAAAATGCGCTTTAGTTTTGTGCACTGTATAAAAATCTAAGTGTTTTTCTAGTTTGAAAATTAATTGAAATTAAATATTTTATTAGGGAAGAAAGTCCAATGAAGTGTACACACAATGCAATCATATATATCTACTCAGGAGTAAGTCCTACAGAGTTACTGATTGAAAGATAAATTATAACCTGTGCTTCTACTCAGAAGTAAGTCCTATTGAGTTACTCACTGAGAGATCAAATTCATTTATAACCTGTGGTTCCTTCCACCAGGGCATCTAACAATAAAATACAGGAAAAATGGGACTAGCCACTGAGAAGGCCCTTCTTGTGTTCTTGTCCAGCCTGCCTCCTCTTTTGAGGACTTTAAAACACAGAGAGTCTCATATAGGAGAATGTAATCTTTCAAATAGCCTTTTCTGAATCCATATAGTGGTGCATAGGTTATAACCAGTGCTTTGAATTCTTCCTAGAATGACACTGGTAGCTCGTGAAGTTGTTGCAGTAAGAGTGGCATGCTCCCTGTAGCCAGCCCAGTAAATAATTCTGTGGTGGCAATCTAAACTAGCTGAAGTTTATGAATACTTTTCAAAGATAATGCTATATAGAATGTGCTGCATTGGTCCAAACAGACTGTAACTGATGTACAGAAGCATCTTTGGTTGCTCTGTATGTTGGGAGAAAGACTGGAGCAATGTAACCCTATTAATTTTCCTTAATCTCTGTGATTGACCATAGTATGCTTCTGAGGGGGAGATACTTCATTAAAATGGGGTTGTTTCTACTTGTGTTGCCAGCTCCAGAAGGCGGTACTTGAGGGATAATTGTTTGGTCCCATAAATTTTCCACTATGGAGTTTTACAGGGTGTGCTTTGGCCTTTCCTGCTATGTAGCATCTAGCTATATGAAAGGGCTGAATAGGTTCATTAGAAGTTTTGGAGTACATTGCCAAAATATGCAGTTCTGTTTCTCCTTTTTCTCTTTATTAGGTAGGGCTGTGGATCTGCTAGATCAGTGCCTTGCTGTGACAGTGTTGAAGGCTAATAAACTGAAACTCAGATAAGACTGAAATGCAATTGGTGGATCACTCTTCTGTATAGATCAGGGGTGTCCAAACTTTTTGCAAGGAGGGCCAGATTTGGTGAGGTGAAAATGTGTGGGGGTCGACCATTCAGCCTGACATTCTTTGAACCATTAACATTAAATGCAAATGAACTATTTTATGAAAGACTAAACAAATAATTTAACTTCACTAATGTGAAGGGTGATACTGAGATCTCAACTGCATTATATAGGTCAGGTCTGGCTCAAAAACAGTGGTTTTGATGTGCAAGATGTCACGCAGGTGAAAGTCACTTAGTCTCATCCTCACGCGGTTCTTGTTAATGTTCATAACCGAGAATGTCTTCTCGCACAAGTATGTTGAACCAAACAAGCTCAGCATTTTCTTAGCAAATGTTCAAATCTCTTGGAACCTGTCTTTATCCAGCTGGCGGTAAAAGTTGACAAGAGGGAGCTGTTGGTGCCGACTGCGACACTCGGTGTCACACTGCAGCTCAGTGAGCTCCAGCTGCAGGTGGTCTGGGGTGTCATCAGGGTCCACAGAGAAAGGAGATGAAAAAAGCGTGATCTCCTTTTCAGTAGCTGCAAAATTCCGAAAGCGCTGTTGAAACTCCTCAGCCAGAGATGAGATGTCTGCTTCATACCTCCTTATTTGCGCACTCATATTGTTCTGTGGAAAACTGGTCATTATTTCCTGCAGCGATGGGAAATGTGTGGTATTGGGCTGTGTTTGTGACAGGTGCCTTTGGAAAAGTAGCAGCTTGGTCCCAAAGGCTTTGATATGTGAATACAGTTGGCTT